TCAGGGATATAACGCCAAGCGAAAAGGGCGACGAGGACGGAAGGGAATCCTTCTACCAGGAAGAGAAGTCGCCATGGGGCGATGGGGGAATGTTTTCCCAATTTCACAATTCCCCATGCGAGGGAACTTGCAAATGAAGTTGCGAGCGGAGCTGCACTTAAAAACATGCCAGTTCTAAATGCCAGTTCTTCTCTCTTGAAGAAAAAGGATAGGTAGAAGGGGATTCCTGTGAATCCAGCTTCTCCTATGCCCAGTAATGTGCGAAGGACAATGAGGCCTGCAAACGATGTCGCGATCGACTGTAGAGATGCGATTATGCCCCATGATAGGACGATAGCTGTTATGTATATATGCGCGGGTATAATCTTCCATAATATGCTCATCCATTCGAAACAGATATATGCGATATAAAATGCTGTGATGACCCATTCATATTGATTCGAATCCAAATGTAAATCTCGATCGAGACCGGCTATTTTTGCATTCCCAATATCTGGTTTGAGAAATAGTTAGTGTTATTCGACCCCTTTTATTTGACGAACAGTGGATGAAAGAGATGTTGTGAAGGGGGGTTGAGGTGAGGAACATACTTGATCGATCCAGAAAACTTAACATGTACAACAAAGCAACAAAAGCCACCAATTTCCTATCGAATTTCCTCACCACAGCTCGTTCTTCATCTGGCGTATATAATTGATATGAATGAGTCGTCGAAAAGCTAGCCCTCCTCCTACCATCCCCTACAATCCTATCACGATATCCACCATCATTATTATGCTCATCCTCATCCATAGCAGGCAAATCTTCAGCTCTCGAATCTGCAACCATGACCTTCTCCTTATCCTTCCCCACCGCCGGCCTAGTATACATCTTATAGCTTTCTCCCCCATCTCCCCCCTCTCCCCCTCTCTCCCCTCCCCCCCTCTCATATTCGCATTTACACGGATCCCCATCCCCCCATCCAAATCCGAATCATAACTATCATCTGTCCCCTCATCCGAATCAAAAACCGGCGTCAGATGCACCATCCCAATCTCTGCAGAAGCGGTGCTTTCAGAACTCGACCTAGAGTGTGTATATAAATGCTCATCTGATGATGTCTTGGGAAGCACATGTTGAGGGTTTCGGGACGCCATTGCGGCGCATGGGGGGCATGCGACCTTGAGTACGAGATTTTGGGGTGGGTTGTAAGGACTATAAGGTGCTGACTAGAAGATACATTATCTATCGATCAACAATTAAAAATGAGGCATTTAAGTTTCCCGATGTTTACAGTACAGTACAGTATGTGTATTTGTATTTCATCTCAAATGGTATCGATCGTTATCGTAATGTGATTTGTTGCGAATGTATTCGGACGGACGCCATTACTAAAAGGGGTGATTAATCCCTGAATTTGTGGGGGTTAGACCTATGCACGAGTTTCATAGGTACCCGGCTTGGCATTTTCGGTACGCTACAAGTCCCAAGTTTTATTTTATATGGCATCTAGTCATTCACACGCATAAGATTATCAACAATGAGCTTCCCTTCCCTTCCCTTCCACCCTTCCCTTACCATCTTCAAATTATTATTCAACCAAATAATAACCAAACAATCTATTCATCTTCTCTCCTCTCCTTAATCTTCTCTAAAAGAACGAATACTCGTATATATAAGAAAATGAGAATGTATCAAGTAATATATGAATACGACATTTAGCTGCCATTCACCAGAGCCACCATGAATCATTGAAGAAGCTCACCAACAACCACTTTAACCAACCTCAAGATTCGATACTTACCCCATCACACTATTCCACTCCTTTCTTCTTGATATAAATCCAAGGCTAAACGCCACTTGAATCAATAAACGCCAACTCCCTTCCTATCTTCTCACTTCTCACTCTCCACTAACTACACCTCCTTCCAATGCGAGTTTCAGGTGCAGATTTTTGAACCCCACGCCTTTTCAACCATTTTGACACTAATTAATGTCAACCATACACCACCTCTTTAAACCCATCCATACATCTATTCATCAAGTCCATCAACCCATCGGCTTCTAGTGACTAGTATAGAAACACGATTTTAAGGCCACATCTCCTATCTAGAGTAAGTACTTCATTGCACGGACTTCGACGTGGTAGCTTTGCAATGAGGGTGCTCGTAAGCTAAAAACGAGTTCTAAGTCTTCGGGAGAAAGCCAAAATCGAGAAGCAGCGCTGTGCTCATATGAAAGATGTGTGGTTTTTGGATGAGTTGAAAGTGTAATGGATGAGTTGATAGGCAAATGTTTGATGGGGTTGATGGGGCGCATCATGGAATGAGAATTTCTCGGATATTTTAGATTTTGGAGCCGTGACTCGCTAGATTCGCCGGGCAGAGGTAGGTAGGTGGCTTCGATCTTGGCATTGAGTGTGCCCTAGGTCTTTGTGGAGATACTGGATATCTTGCATTATCCTTAATGTTCATCGCATCTGCTGATTCCCATAGTTTCGATTAGACATCTTTCCATTTGCTTTGCCAATGCACCCTTTAATAGAAAAAGAACTGCGATGACCTCGTTGGTCTCCCTCTGCAGTTTGACCAATGATTTCGAGCCGGCTTGGCTAGAAAGCACGGCTACTGTCAAGATGATCAATCCTCATCCTCATCGTCATCGTTGGATCCATTGTAGCCGCCACGGCCAAAGTCTAAAAGGGCGGATGAGAAGTGCGGATTTGTTTTCGAGGCAGACATAGCGAACATTGTCCATTTCTTGTTATGTGGTATTGGGGATATCTGGGAATGATATAATCGTCTTCAATTGCTACAGGATTGCATACCTGGACTGCCTTGCCGTGCCGCAAGGCCAAGTAAGACCATATGTTGTTTTAGTGTTGAAAACCATCAAGAAACGGGACCCTTTCTCAACTCAGGTCCCAAAAGTATGTATTTAGAGTTCCGAATATTGAATTAATCGCTAACAATTTCAGCTCAGCGTGAGCGCTTTTGAGTGGTGAAGCAATATCTCGTGCCATAGAGTCGAGCTCTCAACATAATTGCTGCTTAACAATTTTCCATATATCGCAGCCGAAACAGGCATTCGTTCGTATTGGTCATGACAACATAGATGAAGACAAAGGAACATGATAACCATGGAGGTAATTGTGTATGGAAAAGACCTGGAATCACAGCCCCTTAAAGGAGATGCCTAGAACCTGAAATCCTCGGTTCTTAAACTCTGCCAGTCGGAACGCCATCCGAAGAGCAATCCATGTACTCGCGTAGATATTTGCTCAGTTTAGAAGTTAAAGGAAATACGAAGAAGTTGCAAACCAAAGCCAATCATGCTGATATTGAACGACGATACAACCTTTACTGGGCGCAACAGCATGGGAACCATTGAGACTTCTAATGGTATTCCGAGCGTTCCGCACTAATTTAAAAAGCTTCGGTACCAGCAAGTAGGAAATTGACTCCAGACCTAGATCTTTGATCTTTGCAGAAGCTCATTTAAACAAAACATTTGTTAACATATGTAACCTTACACCGACAGTTTTGTCTGAACTTGAAACATTATGAGTTTGACACATGTCTTCTAGTGCTTGAAACTATTCCCCTAACCGGAATTCGCGGAGAAAAGAATACTGTACCTATATAAGGCTGATGTGTGTCATTTGGGAATCTTTACTCGAGTTCCTGTGGTATCTACTGTCGTGGTATGGTCGTTCAATACACCGATATGCTTGGGAGCTCCCAGCTGACTGTTGAAATATCTTGTTGCGATGATATATGGATAGGTTCTTCGGGAAAACGATCAAATAGAGGTACAAGATTCGACTTCATATCTTTAATTTGATCTGAGAGGTAGGAATTGATTGACGATGAGAGAGTACGACCATGAATCAACCATATGGCTGGAGTTGTAATGATTCGTATTGAGCGACGATATGATAAATCTTCGTATCAATGGGCCATTTAATTGCATCTAGATGGCGTATGATGGCGTAAATTGACAAAGTCTGTAGATTGGCGTTGATATATATGAATCGATAACTGAACATTGCTCTATGTTTGCATTTAAAAGCACAGTACGATTAAATATTGTTACCGGCGACGTGGTGAGGTGATGTGATGTGTCTAGAACAACTTCCCCAGATTCTAGATGAAGCGCCATTCGCTGTTATCAATGAACTAATTGCCTTAACTCAAGTACTGGTATGTACCTGTGGATAACCTTATGGGGCTTACGGCATGTTCCTGAACCCTGAAAGCGTAATTAAAAGGATAGAGAAGTCATAACCCGAAAACAGCAAAAAACCCTTCATTATTGTACGAAGTCTAATAAGATAATAAAGTTCTATATTGACAATTCACTTCACTCATTCTGAATTGTCTTTCTATACTCATAATTGATAGACATCAATATTACTCAATTGAATTTATATACCAATTAATATTCCCATACAATCACATCGTTCTTCTTCACAACACCAAAATATCAGCAATTATTCATTTAAGCCCGACCACAACTCTAATCACAGATACTGGTACATTATACATTACTACATTACTCAGTACAAAGGAAATAGTTGAAAGGATCGACAATCACAAACCTAAATAACTCTCTAAAATAAACAATTGGTTCTAATCCAAACTTCCTTACTACTTTCACTACTACTTTACTACCACTCCTCTACTACTCCTCTACTACTACTACTACTACTACTACTACTTACTGTATGTACTTAATATTCATTTCTTGATTTACTTTTACTTTCCCATTATAAACTTGATTTCTTCTCTTACTTTTGTTAATAAAGGTATCTTCGATATACTCGGACCTTCATTCCATACAATTCAAACTCGATATATCTCCAAAAGGAATCAATACATAAAAGGAAACGTTTCCCCAGATATATCAATCACCGGCTCCATCCGTCTTACAGCCGTGGATCCTTCTCCATTTTCCCATACAGTGGCGCTAGATACCCCGTTTCCACTCATCCTGCACCTCAGAACAACCCAACCCAACCAATGGCTCTATCGACATCGGGCGCAGGACAGGGGAACGATCCCATTCAAAAGGCGAACTCATCAATCAATACGGCATCACTCGAGATGGACGAACTCAAACTCGATACTTCGAAAAGAATAACAGACGGCGCTGGAACTTCAGGTCTACTCAACGATATATCGATTCCGGAAACTTCACCCATAACATCCGATTATTCATCCTATCCATTCGCATCTTCAGCTTTACCTACAGCGACAACAACAACCACAACAACAGCGACCACCACGAAGAACGAAATGGTTCACCCTTCAAATCAAAACGCGAGACATGGAGATCAAGGCTACACGTCTCAAGAACAATTAACCGCGCCAACTACCACGAACGACTCAACCTCATCAGCCCCTCTCACACCACCACCAGCAACCATGACGAAAAGCGAAGGCAAAGCCCCTACAACCACAACCGCACCTGCCACCTCCTCCTCCTCCCCAGATACCACCCCCCAACCAACACGATCACGACTCGATTCCGACGCCATCGGACCCTCGACCGACAACCCCCCACCCGCACCCAGCAGCACACTCGACGCCGGGCCCACGCTCATGATTACGCTCCTCCTTACATCTGGAGCGCGGCACCCCTATAAGATCGACGAGAAATACTTGACCAAGCGAGCTGTTGCCGTACCAGGTTTCACGGAGAATGGGAGGGTTGATCCTTTGACTATTAGTGTATATACGCTTAAGGAGTTAATATTGAGGGAGTGGAGAGATGAGTGGGAGATGAAACCTAGTAGTCCGAGTAGTATTCGGTTGATATTTTTTGGGAGGTTGTTGGATGATAAGAGTGCGTTGAAAGGTGAGTTTTGATTGTTTTTTCATTAAATGTATATGAGGGGATTGTCAAGTGAGATCAGACTCACTCATCACTTGATCTCTATTCTCAAAGAATTAAGATCCAGATCCAGACAAGAATCCCAAAATCAAGCTCCATCCATCCATCCATCCACCAACCCACCCAGCTAACTCCTCTCTTCTTCTCTTTCTCACCCATAGAATGTAAATTCCACCCCGACACAGCAAACGTCGTCCACATGACGATCAAACCACAAGATTTAGTAGACGAAGAAGATGCATCGAAGGCGAAATCTCTCGGGAGAGATCGAGATGGGGGGGAAAGTACTGCTAGTTGTCGATGTGTTATTTTATGAGTAGGGTAGCATACTATGGGCTATGGATATGGATATGTGGTTGCATATTGTGGATTGTGGGTATTGGGTTGTATCTTGTGGGTTGTATCTTGTGGGTGTCATGTAATTTGATATGTTATTTTCACATCATTCTCGTATAATACTTGAGTTTGAGTATTCATGATATGATAAGATTAAGATTAAGATCTATTCGCTGATATGTTTGAAGAATGTTCATACTGAATTGAATGAAATTGGGCAAGGCAAGAAGGAAGCAGAGTGTGAGTTTGATAGGATAGGATAGGATAGGATATGGATAGGAAATGGATAGGGATAGGAATGAAAGAGAGATTTATATACATGTGTGCATGTAAGTAAGTGTAAGTAAGTGTACGTGCATCTCCATACGATATACACAGACAGCATTTGAAAATAAAATAAAAATACACATATAGATCTTACAATTCGTTCGTCAGCGCAGCGCAGCCAGCAAGTATATACATACATGGTCTTATTCATAGATATTGTCAGTTATATTGAGTCAAAGCATAGTCATATTTGGCCATAGCATAGTCATCCCACTACACACAAGGGGGATAGTCGGTCAGTTAGTTACTTAGTTAACTATTTGGTCAGTTGGTCAGTCAGAGATAAGGGCAGAGAGAAGAGCAGGGCAGGCAGGGCAGGCAGGGCAGGCAGGGTGCTGTGGGATTTTATTTTATTTTCCTTGGTTTATTTTGCCTCTTTTTCTTTGGTTTGGCGTTTGAGGGGAGGGCTCGGTTGGGTTGGGTTGGGTTGGGAGAGGACAGGGATGGAGAGGTTAGGATTGGATTTGAGGATGGATGGATGGATGGATAGTAGAGGTGAGGATAGGATAGGTGAGGAGAGGTGAGGTTAGGATAGATGTGATAGAGCTTTCATACAATACAACACGGGATAGGGAGATACGAGGGTATGGATGTGGGTGTGGGTGCTAGGTAATAGGTTATGGGTAGGGCAGTAGGGCAGTAGAGTAGGCTGTATATAATGAGAAGATAATGAGAAGAAATCGGATGGATTGGATTGGATTGGATTGGATGGCTATATATGATATGATATGATATGATATGGTGGAGGGTGGAGTAGGTACACAGTATTGGAAGAGGTATAGGAATAGGTATGGGAAGAGGAAGGGGTATAGGAAGAGGTATAGGAAGTGGTGTAGGAATAGGAAGAGGTATAAGAATGAGAATGAGAATGAGATGGAGATGAAGATATAGCCGAGAGGAGCGGAGAGGAGTGGACAGGAGTGAAGTGAGTGAAAGGCAGTGAAAGAGTGCTGAATAGTGAGTTAGTAGATAGTGAGTGAGTGAGTAAGTGGATAGATAATAATCAGGTATAGAGAGGAAGAGAGTGGATAGTGAGTAGATATATATAGGGAATGGAATTCGATATTAGGAGAATGGATAGAGAATGGATAGGGATTGGATAGGGATTGGATAGGGATTGGATATTAGGAGAATGAACATCGTAGAACAAAACAGAAGAACAGATGTAAGATGTAAGATGTAAGATTACCTATGTTCTGGATAGTGATAGAATGCAATTTTTACTTATTATAGTTGTTATACTCGTATTTGTGAGGATTTGTGAGGATTTGTGAGGATTTTTGAAGAAGGGAGGGGGCTGACGGGGGCTGACAAGGGTCGCTGTGATATGATGTGATGTGATGTTATGGTATGATGCTATGGTTTTGATACGATTGGTGTAGAGATCATTATGCAGTTGTGACTTATTTTCATGATGTTTTCTAGGAATGTATGGTATCGTATTCTTCAAAGTCATCATAACTCTAGGTTCCGTATTTGAAATGTATGATGATAGGTTGGTGGTCCAAGCAAACAAGCGGCTCTGCCCTTTCATTTATCACTCCCCAAATGCCAATCTATGAATGCTATGCTTTCCTTGCACCACGACCACGCTTCATCGTCGATTTTGAAGAACAGATCATATCAAAACCATCCCATCACATCACATCCAACCTAAAACCCCATCCCCACCTTCCTTTCAACCTCCTCATGAAACCCAGGTAAAGTCCTTGTCTCATCCCCACGAAACACATCCTCCCAACAAATCGAAGTATCATCACCCCTCAATATTTCCTCGTGTACACCGGGTCCACCTCCTCCTAACATCATCGGTCGCCATTCACCTTCACGCACAATTTTAAGTTCCATTCCGCGACGGATAGGTTCGCTCATGCCGAATGTGCGGCGCAAGGAAACTAGTTTGAGGTTTTCTTGCGTGGATTGCCATTTGGCGAGACGGTTTTCAAGGGGGTGGGAAGATTCGGGGACGCTGGTGAGGGAGGCAGATTGGGTGGGGCCAAGACCGTGGCGGAGGGTGTCGTGGAGGCCGGGGGCGGAGGGTGCGCCGAGGGAGGCGGTTTGGAGGTTAGTGTGTGTGGTGGTGTGGGAGGAGGCGGGGGTAATGCGCATGGCCTGGGGAGTGAGGGAGGGGGGTGTTAGTTAAATGCTTGGTTTAGCTGGTTTGAGGAGAGGGAAAGTGAAGTGAGAGTGGAGATAGAGATGGAGGTGGAGGTAGAAGGAGGTTGTGAGGTTTATGCATTTGTTGGTTTGTTTGTTTGTTCGTTGATATGTTGATGAATGGATAGGTAGAAATAGAGATGAATAGATCGAGATATAGAACATTGTATGTGAGGAACTTACCATGATGAATTAATTTCCTATTTGTGATTTAGAGGTGACTTTAGTGTAGTATCAACTTGAACTGAATTGATGTGATGGTGACAGTTGTGGTTGCGGTTAGGAAGCTTGGAGTTGATGTAATGGTAGCTGTTTATTGTAGAGAGCTTGGATTGCTTCAGGCTGCACCAGGGACGTGTAAGCGCGAGATAGATGGAACGGGGTCGGAATTATTATTAAGCGCGCTTAACGCTTACTTAACGTAAGCTTACAACCGCCATGTGGAACTTACCTAGTTAGGTATAAAAGCTATCTGGAACACATGAACAATGTTTTTAAAATGGTTATTAAATCATTGCCATATATTCTACACTTTCAGTCATACTATTGATTCTTAGTGAGCTTGATTTATATTTTAACAGCCATATTTAAATCACTACGATACTCGCAAGATATTCCATTACTATCTAGTACTCAAAAAAGCTTATAAAATTAGCTTTTGGTGACAAGTACCGGTACAGCCCGGCTTCAAGGGTGGGTCATCAAAAGCTTTCCCCGCGTTCCGGGGTCGTTCGTTTCTCTCTTCAACTTCTTCTTGAAAGGTGAGTTAACTTTCTTTTCTTCTTTTCTTCAAGATGGTCATTCCAATTACGAGTATATGAATAAGCAATGGGAAGACCTATGATATGGAATCGCAAAGCTTTATTGCCATTGCGTCGATACGGCCCAAATACTAGTACAAACCAACCACCAATCCTTAGAATCGACAATGGCACATTCTATCGCCACCATCCCACTTCCAGCCATCATGTCGCCGGACAAAAAAATCCCGCTTTATTTGAGAAGTTACAGTTTGAGATACCTTCTTTCTCAGAAAAGCAGAAGCATTGGGCTATATTGGGAGCTTCATCGTCGGGAAAAACTACACTACTGCAGATCTTGAGAGGGGGACTTTTGTGTATTCCTCCAATTGCGCGATCGTACCCATACCTAAGCAGCAATGCTGTTACGGCCAATGAATCCCAGTTACGAACCCCAAGTAAGGCGATTAGATATGTAGGATTCGATGGGGAACAAGGGTTAGGGAAACAGGCGCCGAAAAGTGCATATTTAAGTGCGAGATATGAGTCGAGGAGAGAGAATACGGACTTTAGTGTACGGGATTATCTACAAGGTAATACGGAACTCAATCCTTCGACGAAGATAGATAGTGGTGAGTTAGATGACGAGATACTCGCACGTGTTGTAAAGGATTTAAGCCTGGGGGAGCTACTGAATTTGCCGGTATCGAATCTGAGTAATGGACAAACGAGACGGGCAAGAATAGCGAGAGCGTTGTTGGAGAATCCCGAGGTGCTATTGTTGGATGAGCCATTCATGGGGCTGGATCCTCCTACGTTGTTAACGTTAAGTCCAATGTTACATCGATTGGCGAGGGCGGATACTCCAAGACTTGTGTTGTCTTTGAGGCCTCAGGATCCTATACCGTATTGGATTACAGATATGGTATATTTGAAGGGAAATTGTGAAGTTGCTTTCTCGGGACCAAAGAATCATGTTTTGAGACAATTGAGAAACCATGTTTGTAGAAGCAAAGATGGGCGGGATGAATTGAATCTTCATTTGACTCCGTCATCTTTAACAGAGATTGGCCGGAGGTTAGTTTTGGATGGGATCGAACAACCTAAATATTTGGAATATATGACTCCAAACAGCAACCAGAAGATATTCAAACAAGGAAAATGGGAGAAGACAAGTCCAATGAGCCGAGATGGATACCCCTTGAATCATGTTCAACCATGTGAGACGGGTGAGGCACTAATAGAGATAGCAGGTGCTCGAGTAAAGTATGGAGATAAATCTGTACTTGGAAATTGGACAGAAAAGATAGACGGCGTTGAAAAGGATGGTTTATGGTGGAATGTGAAACGAGGTGAGAGATGGGGTATTTTCGGTCCAAATGGTTCTGGGAAAACGACACTTCTATCTTTAATCTGTTCCGATCATCCTCAAACCTATTCTCTTCCTATTCGACTATTTGGTAAGTCCAGATTACCAGAACCCGGCAAGCCTGGAATATCCATCTTTGATCTTCAATCCAGAATTGGTCACTCGAGTCCTGAAATCCACAATCATATCCCTCGCAACCTTACCTTGAGGAAGGTTCTCGCCAATGCATGGGCAGATACTTTCATGGGCTTACCAAAATTAAATGATAACGCGAATGAGCACATAGATGCAGCTTTGAGATGGTTCGAACAAGATCTGAGACTAGGGGAAGCCATTGGTCAAACTGGTCAAATTGATCAGAACGAACCACCCACATGGGCCAACGATTTTCTTTTCCGCGAAATGCCATTCTCATCTCAAAGAGTGGCTCTTTTCCTTCGCGCTATCATCAAAGCTCCTGATCTCATCATCCTCGACGAAGCATTTAGCGGTATGGACGATGGTGTTCGCGATCGATGTCTACTATTTCTAGCTCATGGCGAAGAAAAACAACTCGCACAGGTACAGGTTCAAAGAGATGCCTGGTCTGATGAACCGGCGTTAAATTTAATTCGTTCCCAAATCATCGAATCCGATATCTCGAAGGAGGGAAATGTGAAGATTAAAGGATTGAATAAGAATCAAGCACTTCTTTGTATAAGTCATGTGAGAGAAGAGATACCAGGGAGTGTGAGGGATTGGATTTGTTTGCCGGATGCTAATACGGGGGAGTCGGCGAGGGTTGGGAAGTTGGATGGGCCGATTGAGGGGGATTGGAGGAGGTGGAGTGATATTTGGGGGTTGGGGGGTAAGTGACTGAGGTGAGGAAGAGGAAGGTAATTGTGTGGAAGTAATATTGAAGGCATGGTTTGGAATGAAATGATGATGATAGATGATAGAATGGGTTTGAAGATTGTGTAAGTAAGACAACCTACCAAATACCAGAAAACCTTTTCTTTTCTGAACATTGAGTAGGATGGATAAAGGTATTATATTTTTCAAGCGAATTTCTATCGGTAAACAACCTAACCACCTTTCAACCAGAGCTTGCGAGGATGAATAGATTTATCTCCTGCTCTTATACTCGTATTCATTACAATCTTGGAGATACACTTGATTAATTCTTGTATTCATCTCCATCTCTATCCCCTTCAAAACAAAAACAAAACAAAAAGAAAACAGAACAGAACCGAACCCAAAACATTGACAACTGCGGAAATACCTGTGTTTATGGGAATTAAATCAAGTCAAGTCAAATCAAGTCAAGTCAAGTATCTTTCTTGTAGTGTACTCTAGTATATCATGTTGAATGCCGAGTGCCGAGTGCAGAGTGCAGGGAAATTGTTTGTTATATTTGTTATATTTGTGCTGTGGGATCTATTGTGATTTGTGATTTGTGTTGTTTTGGTATGCTACCGTTATGGTAGGAGGTTATTGTGTAGAGGTAGGTAGGTGGGTAGGTAGGTGGGTGATTGCGCTGGTTAAGGGGTGGATGGTTGGTGTTGAGGTTGGTGTTGAATAGGTTGGTGGAGGTGTTTAGGTGTAGGTGTGTGGGTATGTTGGTATGGTATGGGGATATGGGCTAGATGTTGGGGTGGTGGTGATGGTGGTGGATAGGATAGGATAGGATGAGATGGGGCAGGATAGACTTGTGGAGATTTAGAAGGGGGTGAGTGGAAGGAAACAGGTTGAGATAGTAACAAGATCTAGCTTCTAGTCTAGGTGGCAATCTTTGAGTCTAATTATTAGGCAATTGCAATAATAGATATGCCTTCAAACATGCAAGAAAACAACAATCAGGACCCTCGTATGATGATAATGTATCTCTTCATCCACATCTAATCCCTCCGTACGCACCTACCACATTCCCTGGAGTGCCATCCAATCCGCGACATCATCGGGCCATTCTTGGTGCATTCTCAACCATTCATTATTCCGTCCCCTGAAAAGATCCCAGCCCAGATTGTGATTTTCCCCTATACGATGCGCTCCTTGCCAGAAAACGTCATATTCTTGTCTCAATCTCTGTATCACTCATTAGTAACTGGTGTTGTTGGTAGAATTTCGTAAATGACTTACGTTGGGACCGTTATAATTCCAATCTTTGAACTTGGAAGGATCGACTCGATGACCTCGATGATAAGCCCGATACATTTTGTTCAGTTCATCCCTGGTTAATCGTGGATAACTTCCTGGCTGGTTTCCCACGCCATAGCCGTTCCAATCTTGAGCTTGTTCCCACTCGACGTATTTCCTCGTGTATGGATCGTATCTTTTGAAATCTCTCGAAAAATATCCTTTCACTTCGCGGATATGCTTATTTTCATCGTGATATGAGTCCCTGTTGGAAAGTCAGCCAAATCGAATAGCGATGTATGCTTGCGAGATGTTACCAATTCTGCCAGCGATCGGGACGAATTCTGCTTCCTTGTTTCCCGATGAAAATATCAGGCCCTCGATTTGTTACAATATTGTTGAGTCTTCCCCAAAATCCTTGATGACCTCCGGAACCTCTGGGCCCATCTTTGGGCCAGATGAATTGTAATTTTTTCTTGTCTGGCATATTGAAAGGGGGAGTAGTTTATGATGAATAAATTCACAATGCAAATGAAAATAATAATGAAAGAAACTTTAAGAGATCATCACATAATGACTACATATAATGATGGCAATAGCTAGGTTTGACTGGTTGGCCTGATCAAGATCATTAAAGCTTGCTCTATGAACTTGCTGTCAACTCTGTGAAACTTCACTTGGCCAACAGAGCAGAGTAGATAGTTGAAACAAGTCTGCCAACCATTGTAGGAGTCATATCTGGTCATATTGAGGACAGCAACATCCCGTACTATTGCTTGTTCTGCAAACACTATGTATATATAGAAAAGCAATCTTAAAAAGCATAAAGAACTTAATGGTCGAAGTTGCACGAATTTTGAGGCAGATGAAGAGAACAGCAGATCTCATGAAATCAATTTCGTAGCCAGACAAGCAGCAAACTTATGGCATAGCATCCTGTCACACCTTTCACCAGGTAGTGTGAGTAATATTGACGTGCCATACACATTGTACCACTTGGTATGCTATTTCTCCTCCTAGAGGTTTGATGAAGCTCAAGATATCTTATTGATTTGTGATAACCAAAATTAGTACTGGTAATCCAAAATAGACTCCTGTACAAAAGATTAAGGTTGATCGAGGGCAGTGAAGATTGGAGGGCTGACAAAACTGTGGGGGATTCTATGGTCCGTGCGAGGAACGCGGTTGGATAGATTCGGCAGTATATCGCGTCTACCTCTCAAAGGACCAGAGACTTTAGAAGAAAGTAAACACCATAACCAGCAACGTATTTCCAGTGCAATCCTTCATCAATACGAATCAATCAAATCCAATCATCTTCGAAGGCTCTGGAGGGAGAAATAGGGGCAAAACTATCCACGAAATAATCGATTCGAACTTTATATCAACGTTGACAGGAGTTGGAAAGCCGGGGATCTGTCTGCGCGTCGAGTCTCGAACCATCTACGATATTCACCCATTGGATTGGAAAGAGGAGAACTTACTCTACAGACAACCTGCTTTTTGATACAATCGATGCGAACGCTCTTTCGAAGACCTAGATCGAAATACACAGCTAGCGAAAGAGAACTACTATTCTTAGCAACCCATCCTTTATTCGGCAATACAGCCCAGTTACGGAGCAAAACAATAAGTTTAGTCATTGGCGTTAATCAAGGAGTTTGCTTGGGTTTCTTGCATTTCGAAAAAGCATTGAGGAGTTCCGAGGGTCAGAGTCGTTCATAATTGCAGCGTTCAGCACATAATAACTACGAGAATTTGGGCTTTCGAAACGCACAAGAACCAGGCAAAACAGCTCAATCTATCCTCGTCCGTGGTGGTGGTGACATATCCGAAATGATTTGAATTGCAAGTTTCTACTCGGACACAGTCTTGATCGCATATTCACCCAGCGCAAGACACTAGCCCTGGACTATCAGAAACCTGGGCTTCAAAACGGTGTCTTTGAGACTCAAATTGGTTCTTAAGGATAAATAAGAGAAAATCAGAGCAGTGCCGGTCTGTTTACAATATCGCCAGAATGCCCACGATTAATGTTGCGCCAAGTTCTACCGCAGACCTACAGGTAATCGCAGACGTTCTTGCGAGATCAAGAAAGGTCGTGGTTGTGACAGGAGCTGGGATAAGTACGAATTGTGGAATACCCGTAAGTGGACAACGGCTCACCTATCACCTATTGCTCAGCTGCTGACACAACATGATAGGATTTCCGATCTGAACATGGCCTTTATTCAATGATCCAGTCTCAGTACGATGCTGCACTTGAGAATCCTCCATGGGAGGTTAATGATGATGATATCGATGATCGACCGAAGAAGAAGAGGCGTGTCACAGAACGATTTTACTATGAACTTGTCACGTCTGATGGAGTAAGGGTAGAGCTGCCCCACGAACAGTCTTCTGAAGCACCTCTTGAGCAGCCAGTTGAGCAACATTCCGAGCAGTCTTCCCAACGAGGCTCTCAGCTACCTTCAAAAGAATCTTCAGCGCAGCCAGAAGCGTCCGCTACAGCTTCATCTCGAAGAAGTTCTCGCAGGCACTTTTCTTTGGCACATGATAATTCTAAGAATGAATCTCCGAAACCGAGCTTGAGAAGTCAACCTTCTCAGATGCAGCATGTTTCCCTAGTACAGGATAATCGTATCAAAGAATCGCCGAAACCAAATTTGAAGAGTCAAGTTGTTCGACCTCGGAATGCATCTTTGGCACAGGATAAATCTATTAAAGATTCGCCGAAATCCCATTCGAGAGGTCAAATTATTCGACCTCGGAAGGCATCTTTGGCACAAGACGATCTCAAGAATGAATCGCCAAAACCGAGCTGGAACGGTCCCCTCTCTCGAGCTCGATTTGTTCGCGCCTGTGACCGATGTCGAGCACGAAAGATCAAATGTGGTGAGGTTCGACCATGCTGTAGAACATGCTCCAAAGCCGGAACTGAATGCATCACGACCGAGAACCCTAAACGACGAGAATCCCGTAATGGAGATACTAAGTCTCAGGAAGAAAAAGCCCCTGCATTGGATATCGATCTCGATTCGGAAAGTTTTAATGTGGAAGAAAAAGCATCACAACAATTATTGCAAGAGTCGAGTGAATACTCTTCTCAATACTCATCTGAAAATTCTCGGTTGCCTGAGGATGTGAATGTTGATAGTACACAAAAACGCGCTCGACGTTCACTACGAACAAACTCTCCCTTATGTTTTACAAGAGAAGAAAGCTCTGTCGCCAATAGAATTCTTTCTGACTCTTCTCTGTCAACTTCACTCCGACGTGAAAGTAGCATCAGGTCGACAATTCAAGCCTCAATCACCAACCAGCAGTCTTCATCACAGATACCTTCTTCCCCCAATACAATCATCGAAAGTAGACCTTCTTCACGGCAATCGACGAGATCACGAGCTGACAGTTTACCGCCACAATCTACACAACAATCCTCCTCACTCCTCAGAAGATCTTCTCGACGAAATACCCCCGCGTTTGAATTTCACAACAGTAAACTCTCTTCCACCACTTATGTAGAGAGTGTATCCGCAGCTAGCAGCGCCACACCTTCAATTTCATCAAACGACTGCGACAGCAGCAACAAACGTAATTTCCTGAGTGAAGTCAGTTCCATTACGACTGCTTCCGAATCTGAAGATCCTCCCTCACAATCATCTCAATTGTCTTCGTCACGTACATTACCCAATCTCAAAGGAAAGGACCTATTTGACTCGGTCATTTGGTCGGATCCTTTCTCAACCTCCATATTTTACATGTTCATTTCCAATTTTCGCCGCAGAATCAAAAACGATGTTAAGTCTACCACCACCACCCACCAATTTATCCGTGCTCTCAGAGACAACGGTCGCCTCGTCAGGAATTACACACAGAATATCGACTGTCTCGAGGAACGTGAAGGTCTCACTACAGATCTCGAACTTGGCGCGGGTGATCGCACGCGTTTTCAAACCAAAGTCCAAAGTAAGACTATCTCAGCTGGAGGAGGAGGCGGCGGAGGAAGAGATACCTCTGTTGCAACTGGAGTAGAGTGCGTTTTACTACACGGCTCACTTCGTCAGTTGCGATGCGGGGTGTGCTCAAAACTCACTAGTTGGGATGAGGACGATCGAGAAACTACCACAATGGCTGGATCTGCTCCCGACTGCCCTTCATGTATCTCAAGCTCACTGTCGCGCCAAGATAGAGGTCGCAGAGGCTTGGCCGTTGGCAGATTGAGACCTGATATTGTTCTTTATGGAGAAGAACATCCACACGCAAATCTGGTGGGACCGTTGATCATTCACGATTTGAAGTTAGGTCCAGATGTCCTTCTCATTCTCGGCACTAGTTTAAGAGTTCATGGCCTCAAGATCATGGTCAAAGAATTCGCACAAGCTGTACATGCTCGAGGGGGAAGCGTAATTTTCGTTAACCAAACAAAGCCTCCAGAGAGTCAGTGGGGTGATGTGATTGATTATTGGGTAGAATGGGATTGTGATGCCTGGGTTCTGGACTTGAAGAAACGACGAAGCGACATCTGGCTGCCATATACAAATACTATCCAGAACGTTGCTATCAAAGATCCAGCGCCATCTAGGCAGCGCAATACGTCCGACAAAATACCAGCATATCGACCACAGTGTAAAAGAGATGACAAGACCAATGCAGTTCATTTCACTTTTAAGATTCTCGACGATCTTCGAAAACTTAAGGATACTCAAGGAAATGGATCAGTGCGGCCGATGTACTGGCAACCTCTTGATCGCAGAGCTTTCAGAGCTTCTACTGGACAAATACTAGAGCAAAAGTCACTCAAGAGGTCTCGACCATCAATATTACCCATTAGGAAATCTCGCAAATCTCTTCCAGCCTCATCAAATAACACACTATCGTCAGCAGCCACAACTAATAAAACTCAGAAGCGCCAAACCGCCTCTGAAAATACTCCTGTCGTTAACACCCCTTTGACCGAGCCACCTAGCAGTGGCCAATGGCTTGGAGAAGCCATCTTCAAAAAAGTTCGCACACTCACCAATGACACCCTCCCTGAAAGCGTCTATGACGACCTCCGAGCCAGGGTGCCATTTGAACGACTGGCTGGTAACGTGCCAGGGAATAGCATTGGATACAAGAGATCCTTCGGAGAAGTCGGGATAGATGGTGCACAGGAGACTATTGGCCTGCCAAATATGAGGGGCCTGCTAGATTCTAGTATCAGTATAGAAGGGATGAGTTTGAGTAGCTTACCGCCGACAGGCTCTCCTGAGTCAGGGAGGAAAGACAAGGACAAGGGGAAGGGGAAGATGATTGATAGTATAGAGATAGAGAGGGCTAGCTCGCCGCTGGACCATAATACAATAGTGGTTCAACCTAGAGCGGTGATGAGGCATTCGTATGGGACGAGGAGTAAGCGTTCCAGTCGGGTTGGAGGTGAGGTGGTTGAGGATGCGGATGAGGATGGTGATGGGGATGAAGATGGTGATGGGATGAATGGTGGAGATACAATTGTAGTGAGAGGAAAGGATAGAATGAGTATTGGGGCAGTCTGTAATGAAAGATGAACGATGAAAGTTGGGCGGGGTAGAATTGCTATGCTGTGCTGTGCTGGAATGGAATAGGATGGGATAGGATGGGATGGAATGGGATAGTATTGGTAGAATTGCTGGAATAGCCAAGAGATAGGACAGACTAATTGTTCCTTTGCTGTAGCCTGAGGTAGAACGAACATGATACATGATATCGTGAATGCAGTACTCGAGTACATTCATTATGTACAAGAAATGAGACGAGAGTTGATTGTTATTTTGTTATTTGTGAGTGTTTGAGGTTGTGATCAATTGTTTGCGGGAGGTATGATCCGAAGGGGGGGAAGCTTGTGACTGGTTGTATGAGAGTATGTAGTAGAATGGTAAAATGCAGATATATCGTATATCTAGTCTGATTTGGATGAGAGATATCTGATGAGTGTTGTGGTGTTGAGTAGTAGAGAAGTGGATTGGTAGATTAGTTGGCTGGGAAGATTAGTGGAGATATACTGGGTTTGTTATTGTTGTGAGAGCCGCGGGAGAGATCTGTGTAAGACAGGCATATATCGTCGCATTATAATACTAGAGTAGTTTAGATTAGATGAGTATTAGCTCGAAGGGAGGGAGGATTGAGGATTGAGGGTTGAGATATGTTATTGAGATGTATGTTATGTTATGTAATGTTATTAAGCTGTGATATAATTTGAGTGATGTGATGTGATGCATTGTATTCGAGTATATAAGATGTTAGAGAGATGTTGGTGGGATATTTTCGCTGTATGTTTGTATACTGTTTGGATGCCAGGGGGAGGAATAGGAGGGAGAGAAGGGATAATTGGGTAGTTAGTTTGTTTATACTATAAATTGGAGAGGAGAATATAGGTAGTCGAGTGTATGTATACAGTCATTTGTAGATTTCAATCTAGATTTGGATCTGAATTCGGATTCGGATTCCCTTCAAAGAAATTGATGTACTCAGTAGTGAATACAAGTCTAGATTCATCTATTTTACGGTTATTAGATAACTTCTATGGAAGTTTCGTGTCAAGTGAAAGTTCAGTTAAGTGGGATGAGATTAAGAGTTGGAAGTTGGGATATTTTTTATCTCTCTCTTCAAGTTATATCTGTATTTCCGAATTCAACATCTATGAGATGAGATAACTAAAGATGTGATATCATTTTCTTTTTTGGTATATACTCGAGTATTTATTTGGTTATACGATTTAAAATGATAATAATGATATTCAATGCTTAAATGAATACTAGTAGTACCAGTACTCACTCATAGATGTTGAATTCGGAAATACAGATATAACTTGAAGTATTACTGAGTACTACTCGTAGTATTATCCCATCTTCTCGGTACTACTCGTAGTAGCTAAATAGTTTTCTTATCACGGTACCGTGACATCTACTCCAGTACAACTTTCCAGTGAAACAACATCATGATCCTAAAAGTTCTTAATGAATTCGAATCGAATATCCTCAAGAATTAGAATCAGGATCAGTAACCTTATTACTGAACTTCCATCCAAGTCATCTTTCTCTCCGTTAACTTATTTCGTCTTTCGTCTTTCGTCGATAAAATAATTTAGCCCATGAGTTTATAGAGCTAATCTGAGAAGATATGGTTAAGATATTAGTAGTAGATAAGAGAGAAAAAAAGGCAAAGTTTGAGAATGGTAATTATTATTTGAGGAGATGAAGATTTAGATGGAGATTTACTAATAGCGGGTCACGGTAGTTGTAGTGTTTTCTACATCGTGGAATTACCTAGCTTACTACTAGTTTTTGGTTTCGAACGAAGATAGATTTATGCATTGTGTCTTGTGTCTCGTGTCTTGCTGTTGTTGTTGTTGGTGTCGGTACAGTATCGGTGTCTTCTTATGGTGGGTGAGATTATACGACTACTCTACCTGTGTTTATTTCTCTTTTATACTTAGGAATTTACCTTTGCCGTTTGGATATATTTCACTTAGATTCCCCTAGGCTAAATAGGCATATATCGTAATTATTCTACCCGAGTAAATGGATTAGATTCAGGAAGCAGCAAATTCCCAATCCCAATCCCAAATCCCCTCCTCTTCACCTCAACAAGAAGATCATTCCATGCCATCCCATTCAATCTTAATACAATATCCCCTTAACTCCTCACTCCCCACTACTCCCCCCAACCCCCACCTTACCCTCACCCCAACCTAACTCTCACCCTCCTCCAAATCTCCCTCCTAAACCCCCTCACCCAACACCCCGTCCTCCCCAACGCATCCCCATTCTCCCTAACCCTCCTTAATAAAAACTGAAGACATTCCTGCGTTGAGCCCCAAACCATACATTTATATGCTTTTGGTTTTAATGCTTCAGCTTTAGCTTCGGCCTGTTCTTCTTCCAAGCATACAACTCCTCTGTCTTCACCAGGAGCATTCCCAGAAACCTCCATCTCGTGACTTTGCTTTCGACACAATTGTAACAATGAACAACTAATTTCATCCGCCATTCCCTGTAGCTGTCCAAATGCCAATTCTATTGTTTTTTCGCCTTGCATGATCCTTGTGCTTTGAATCGCATAGGCGTGTTTTATACTATCCTCGTTATGCGTTGCTAGGAATAACTCTGCTCTCGGATATCCCTTTCCAATTCCAATTCCATTTCCATATCCATGCCCATTAACCACAACATCTATTCCCGGAAACGATTGTGTCAAAAGATTCGCCGCGATACTATTATACGCCACATGCGTATCCTCTATACGATCATGAATCAACTCCCTCTTCTCAGTCGCTATATACGCACCCCTAACCAACTTAATACCCAATGTCCAATTCTCCGCTTGAGCAAGTTTCAAATGATTTTTTATATTAGAAGGTGTTGCTTTCAAATATGCTTGCATGGTGGTGTATAGGAGTGCTTTGGGACCAGTATTGTAGATGCGCATGAGATTTATGGTCCATTGCTCAATACCGTGTTGAAGATCTTGTTGCTCGGCGTCGACCCAGATGCGAGCTTTTTGCGCAGAGGCGGCACGGAGGAGGAGATGCATGGATTCTGAGACGAGGGGTGGTGGGGGTAGATTATTGATGAGGGCATGGAGGGCAAGTGGACCGGCTCCTGAAAATCTGGGTTGAGTTTAGTGAATGTGTTCTTATGATTTCAGAGATGACTTACTTGACTGATAGAAAATCAGCAGGTTGCAAGAGTGAAAGTGTATTCATGAGACCATCTCTCCATTCTCTAATAGCTGTCTCCCCTACTTCCTTGGTCACGGACATTACATCTCCGAATTGAACTACTCCTCCCGTAACATTGGCTTCCCTCGCATATCCCAAGATAACACCACTAAAGCCCAACTTTTTCATAGAAGCTACCCTTGCTCTCACTTGAGAAGAATTTTCACCAGCTATAAAATGATCGTAAATGAACTTCCTGACTATCATGTGCAACACTGGGTTTCTATCTGGGTTTAGCAATCTCGATTTAGAGTTTGCGAGCGTATTGAGCAGTGGAAGGAAGAACTTGATGATTCTTGGTGAAGCTAGAATTGAAGTTATGAAATATGACTTGAGAAGAAGGGGCATTGGCATTATCGATAATGGTGGAATCTCAGAACTTCTACTTGGTTTCGGAGGAGTTTGATTGTGAGGGAAGCCATTTTGATGAGAGATGGTGGTCGCTATAGATGAGTATCGTCTTCGAGATTGTACAAGATATTTCTCCGTGGAAGGAAATGTATGAACCCGTCGTGAGAACATTTCTGTAGGAGTAAAGGCTTCAACTTGTCAAATGAAGCAAAACTCCAAAAGATCAAAATCCTTGAGATAACCATTACCTAGGTAGCATATACCAACAATATCTCTGATTTCGTCACCTATCACCCCGACTAGTCTACAGTAACAGTTGGCTTGTTTGTATATCACCGGGTGTATATTGGCATGCATTTCCACCTCGTAATGGATCTCCGACCCCGCATATCAACCTCATAATATTACCTTATCGAGACGGTGGATCCTTATCGTGATACCAGTTGTTAATATTTTGGTGCATAAGTCCAGAATAGGAATCTCGCTTTGGCCATGAAACTAATTCTAGCGTATAGATTGGCTGAATTGATGGTTGAGTGGCTTGCACCATCTATCTCCGACTGCTGTGGTTGATATGTTGTGCAGGGAATCATGCCGTCGCTTACTGCAATAAAACGGGTGTAAAATGCATAAACAAACCTGTCTCTGTGGCCATTAGAGGATGGGGAGAATCTTACAGATAAACCTGTTTACTGGAGAAATTCATCCTTGTTATTCCAATTGAAAGCTTGTTGCTTGTTGCTAGATATCGAATATTGTTAATTAGGGGACGATAGAAGGGGATTAACAGCTGGTGTCACAGCCGGGACCAGATTCCAAGTATCGATCCTCCTAGATTTATAATCAAGCAACGTCTGTGTCAGTACGGCCTGGGAGTTTCAAATGTCCGTGGTATTCCTGATTGTGAGCATAGCGAACAAAGAAAATACTCGAAAGCAAATTGTATTGGTGTGATGACAATACTAACGGAAACTCTACTCTATTGAGACGTGTTCTAGTCTATCGAAGCTCGAGCTTCGTCTATACGATTGTGTCTGTGTTCCGTGAGAAGGCTACATGTGAAATATATAGCAAGACTGCTTTCTCTCCTCCAGATTTGAAAGGCGAAATATTTGGTCCGGTAATCGAGCCCATTCCAGTCCCCGATACAGGCGAGAAAGAGTTTATTTCTTGCCCATGTTCAACCCATGATGTACCGCGTCGATGGTTGCATCAGTATACGTGGATCTGACACCACCTTTCTCAATGGTTTTGAGGCCTTGTATCGTGGTACCCTTGGGCGATGAGATCTTCTCTCGTAAAACAGCAGGATGTTCACCATTCTGTATCATCTTTGCGGCTGCGAGCATAGATCCAGCCAAAATCTCCGTTGCAGTATCACGCTTCATCCCTTCGGAAACAGCACCGTCAAGGATTCCATCGAAAGCGGTAAGAAACCACGCTGGAGTACAGCCTGCCAGGACACCGGCAACTTGGAAAACATTGTCAGGGACATATGTGTACTGTCCAATACTTTGAAAGATCCATTTCATCGCCTCTTCGTACTTTGGTGAGATAGTTTCCGATCCAGTTGAGATGACGGTTTGTGATTCTTTTATCTGCGCACCAAGATTTGGCATACTCCTGACAAAAGCACACCCTTTCGTGTTGGAGCTATCTTCGAAAGCGAATTCTTTGAGCTGTTCCGTTGTCGAGCCTGCCAAAACCGAGATGACAAGTTTGTTTGCTAAAGCATTGGCAACACCAGGAGCTCCAAGAACTTCCTCGGCCATGTACGGCTTACATGCCAGAATAATAACATCAGCCATTTGGAAAGCTTTGAGGTTATCATCATAAAAGACGGCAAGTCTATCCCCAGCTATGCAGTCTTTTGATGCTTGATATACTCTAGAAGCTGAAGCTTCTGTTTTAGTACAAGCAATAATATGTGAGATTGGTGTATTATCTCTTGCATCCAGCACGGAATTTGCAGCAAGAATACCAGTAAGTATAGCGCTACCCATATTTCCTAAATCTGTGAGTAAATATACTCATTATGTACGGTATCAAGTGTCTGACTCACCACATCCTACCACGGCGGCGACCAAATTATTTCCCTTGGCCATATCCCGGTTCTCAATCCATTTCTCTATGTTTCCCAATGCTACATTGAAACTTGGATCACTGCTAATACCTCCTGTTCCGTTTTGTGCGGTCATGATGTCTAGATTGATGGGAGGTTTAGAGTTTTGATGTTGTTGAGATTTGATTATCAATTTGAAAGAGAAGTCGATGGATGATGGATTGTCCCACAGAAAAGTTTGGATGTTGATTAGTCAGCGATGTCAGCTTAGCTCCCAAATTGTATGATTAAGGAATATCACCCACCCACCCACTCATGGGACTTCGACAAAGGAAGCCTTTCACCGAAAAGATCATCAAATGCCTTAGAAGTATAACAATATCTGTATCTTTGCCGTCTTTTAATGTTTTGCATCTCTTTCATATGATCTTCCAAAACGTCGGCAAGGTGATATATCTGTTCACTTCACATCATATGCTGGCGATAATGCTGACTGCGTTGAATTTGCCATCTAGCCGGCATCGGAATGCTGACCTGCATTACCATGAGAGGAAAGAATACAGGAATCCTTTCTTTCATTGGAAATAAATACCGTCAGACTCGCTGTGTTTGTGATCCTCTATCACATACATGACCAAACTTCTCATCCTCTTACTACCAGGAGGATGCTGATCTCAAAATTCGAGTCGACTGTCTAGAGTATCATTCTAGATCTGTCACTCCGTACAGGACCACTGCTAAGTTTAAGGAGTTCCATTAACTTCCCAAAATTCTGGTCTTGGATAAAGATAATTCAACTTGTATATGGATATACGTGTTCATCTAGGTCATTGAGTGTGGTCCAAGTCGGATTCATTGCTCCTTATACAATAGTACAATCAAGTGATTTCAACATCTAGGGCATCGATTCTTGAGCACAATTTTCTCGGCTCAAAGCAGTGCATTTCATATTTATACAGCCAAATACTATCCAGAATCACTACATCTCCTTCACAAGCAGCCCACCGACTAATTTCTACTCCCTTAAACCCAATACAAACCAACCTCCTTCCCCTACAAACACCCCACCATATCCTCATACATCTCTAAAGAGGTCTTTGAAGGGTGTGATTTGAAAGTGGGAACTTTGTATTTTTATACACTTTATGTAAAGATTGCATACACACACACTACAATGAACCAGTAATTCATCCCCGTAATGTTTTCTGTTTCTCTCTCTATCTTTACAATTATATCTCTCAAAGGTTCCATTATCATATTCTCCAATTCCTCCTTCAAAAGGCTGAAACACAACAAAAGAAAACAAACATCTCCAATCACCTCCCAACTCTGATCTCTACTCCCATCCACAATGTCCAGCCAACTCCCAACTCTCATCTCCACTCCCAATCACAATCTCTAAACCCCCCTCCAAATCTCCTCTCACCACTCACCCATCACCCACACCTCAACAACCAATACCCTTAAACCCCCTTACCACCAGCAGCTCCCACAGAAGCAACCGGCACAAACACAACAACACTGGTTTTTAACGCTGCGACTGAAATAGCTTTAACAGGAGTAGATGTCGTCTCACCAGTATTAGGCTTCGACGTGGCCGTCCCCTTATTCCCCTCCGTTGTTGAGATAAAGATGCCGGTAGATTTAGCAGGCGCAGCGTTTCTGATCTCGTTCATTAGAGCAGTATCTGGTTTTGCTGTTGCAGTTGCAGTTGCAGTTGCTTCTGTGTCAGGCTCTGCAGTAAAGTGCTGGGTTGGTTTAGCGGTAATAGCTGGAACAGAATCTGTATCTGGTTTTCCAGTGGCTGTGGGTTCCAGACCTGAGTCAGGCTCAGCGAGACCTCCTGTGGGCTTCCCTTTATCGTCACTCTCCTCCATATCTTTCTTCTCTCTCTCATCCCTCCCATTCATATTCTTACCCCCCTTCGACGCCTCCGCCGCATGCGCCGCCACCACCAAACTACTCTGCGCAGATTGTTCCTCTCCTTTAGTAGTAACAGATTCTGATTTTACTGCAGCAGCCGGTGTCGGATATAGCTTAGTGGGATCAATAATGGGGATTGATAACCAAGTTGGCTTTGCATTGATGTTTTGGACTTCGGCTTCTTGAGTGGTGGCTGGAGCATCTTTTGTAGGTTCTGGCTCGGCGAAGGGAAGGGCAAGAGATAGGGGGGCCGATATGGCTAGGGCTGCGATGAGGAAATTTCTGTGGTTCTATTAGTGAGTGGTGGTTGGATGAGGGATGGAACGTACTGGTAATGCATTATGAATTTCTGAAAAAATATGATATGGCGATGGGAATATAACAAATGTAATGCTCGAAGCGAGTGAAAGAAGTCGGTAACGATCGTACAAGTGAGTGATTGATATTGAAAAAGTGAGTATAATGATTTAGAACGAAAGATTGATTTGATTGCTGTATGAATTATTTTCTTTCGACAATGAAAATCGAATATTCTTATACTTTTCAACAACCACAACCACAACCACATCAACATCAACATTCATACTTACCATCTACTTACCATCCTCAAACACAAGCCAAGAATACTGTCTCTCATCGTATAATCATATCATGTCAAATCGCCTCCTATCTCATTGGTGATCTTCTCATAATCAAAATAACATCCATTCCTTCGACGCACATTTCCCGAAACAGCCATTCAGTGCTCGAAATGAATCAAGATATGAGCATCCGCACTATTTACCAAGAACTCCTACACCACTTGACATCTATAGAGTACAAAAAACAACCAAGCACAACTCAAACAACCGAAACTTTATTCCTTCCCCCAATCCATCCCCAAATTTTATCACAATACTCGAGTACAAGCATACAGACTCTCCTCACCAAGAACTTTTACGCCATTTGGTATAAGGCACACACACACACAGTACATACACATTCAATAAATACCCAAGATACCCCAATCTTCAACCCAACCTCAAACGCATCCCTCAAGCCAAAAGCTTAAAACGTCTTCATGATTAAAAACAGACGAGTACCGGTACTCGTAAGAACCAACAGGAAGAAAGCTTCAGCTCAATTCAGTAACATGTTTCAATTTCGATAACTCAATGCCAATTGCATCCCAAACCTCGTACTATGAATACGAATCTATATTCCGATTCTTATTCCGATCCATGAACCTGCAATTCCATGCCATTCCATCATGATGTTTTGTTTTCGAAGAGGAATAGACGAATAGACGAATACTGTACCGATATTCGAATTGAAGAATAGACACTTACCGATACTCGAGTACGAGAGAGCCGAATAGAGAAATTAACGAATACTCGAAAATAATCATCCTGCTATCCGCAGGAATTCTATATAAAGCAATACAAATTTAAGCAATTCATATATAATCTGGACTCTAGATGAATCTTACATATAATTTTACCGTACCTGCCAAGTTGCTGACTCGACTTGAGACTTGCTTGGCGATGGGCATATATAAGGTTACAATACTCGAGTACAGTAAGCAAGCTAGAATTTTCAAGGCCGCTGTGAGATGAGATGAGATGAGATGAGGTTATGGTGTGGTGTGGTGAGGTGTGGTTACAGTATCGTGTGTTTTGTATTTATTTGTGTTAACAATCAATATGTATGATGAAACCATTAGATATGGTATGCTGTGCTGTGCCATCCTGATATTTATCCTTATGGTTATGGTTATGATTATGGTTTCTGGTCTTTCTTGATTTCTTTTTCGGGGGGAGGAGGTGGTATTTGTGAAGTTTTGGATTTGGATTTATAAAGGCGTGACATTGATATTGTGGGATCAGTTTTGAATGAAATTGAATTGGTAATGGGAGGGAGTAGGAAGAAACGGATGGTTTGGGATAAAAGACATTACATCGCAAGTCACGGTGATCAAAGAGAAAATTTGTGAGAATAGGGGAGAGGGTGTATATATATCCCCTAGAATACAAGTATAAAGAAGACGGAGACATTTTGAAGTGCCTATGTCTAGGATACAATACTCACTGCATTATTTAAATTCGAGTATGTATAACGTCTTATTCAGTCTTATTCGTATTGAAGAGTGCCATTTCATTGTATCTATCTCAATGTACATCGAAAGACTATCAAGTCATACTAGTACGTAACAGAAGTACTACGTAGATAGTGGAATTGCTCAGCATCTTTTGATATAGTGGGCACCTCCAGAGCTCTTCGTTATCATGGGGAGGTAAGTAACCCATAGTCGAGCAACCTCTCAGCGTGGGTGTATATGAATGAATTCACATAGATGGTAAAAAATCTGACTGAATCTGAAAGAAACCTACAGGAATAACCTCAAGCTTCACTTGACCCTTATTATCAAAACCATCAAGATCGACATGATGTCTCCTAACACAAGTCTCAAAATGTGTTGATAACTTGATGTTGGAGTTGTGATTATACCTATCATATCGCAATGTTAAACATGGCTATTGTACATGCGACGTAGAAATCAAAATCTTAACCCTTATCAACACCGGTATCCCTTTCTCGCCGAATTTCCCCAAATAACTACTTGTGACCCGAGAGAACGCTTCCTAGCTCAACACAGCCTTCTCTACCATCCGCCATTCAACGTCTTCTCATTTCAGAAAATCTCTTATAGTCTCTGACAACAGGAACCAAAACAGGAACCTCCTGTTCACCATAAAGAGGAATCCTCGCCATCGCATCCGCCGATTTATTAAACTCTCTCTTGACATGCCAAAACCAAACCGGGATCTCGAAATAATTAAACTTCTTAATCAGATAATCTAGCTCCTCAAACAACTCTCTATTAGTCACCGGCTTTCCTGTCGAAGTCTTGAATCCATTCTCCTTCCACTTGAAAATCCAGTTTGTGGCCCCATTTACCACGTACGCTGAATCGATGATGATGAGAACTTTGCATGTATATCGATCGGGTGACCTAGCGACTCCGTTTTTGATATCCTTATCCAAATATTCCTCCATGATTTTCAAAGCCTCAATTGCTGCGATGAGCTCAGCAACCTGATTGGTTTGTGGGATATTTTCAGGGACGAATCCAGAGCAATTATCATATGCCTTGTCGCCAAAGTAGATACCGAAAGCAGCACGAGCTTCTTGTCGTCCATTCTCACTGCAGGCTCCGTCGATAGCAATGACTCGTGACTTATTATCGTTGATGACGTTGCCGTTGTCATCTCTGAACTTGATTTTGAGTTCCCTACAGTTGTAGCAGGCACCCAGAATATCAGCTGGGTGGTTTTCGTACAAGTTGTTCCACTCTGGATTGAAACGGCGGTGGGAGAGAATCTTATGGACGTTATCGCAGTCCGTGAGGCATTGGGTGGGTTTACCGCGGACGTCCATGATGGGCGAGTGAGGTTGAAATGATTCTTGTTGGAAAGTAGCTTGTGGTGTGATTTTGTGAGGAAATTTCCCTGAGGATTTGATGCTTGAAAGATAATTTGTCGGGGGTGATGCTTCTTAAGCTGCAAGTGGGTGGGATGAATTGAATGATCAAACTCACCACGCCAGCAGATACAATACAATGAGTCATTCTTTTAGCCATCAAACTTGGTGAATAAGGAACCAGCAGAGTGAACATATTTCAATTCAAAACATGCATTCATCCAAACACAACTTTCCGAAGATTCTCCCCAAATAACCGAGAATCTTAGATTTTTCAAACGTGATCAGCGAATCTATCAAACTTATCTCTTCCCTTCTTCCCAAAATACACATTATATTACCTTGCGCTACTCCCTCTATTTATAACAAGAGTAGCATAACTTCTCATAACAAGCAAATCACCACGAAGCAAAAGGAAGGGAAAGCAAAAGGAAAAGCTATCAATAAATCTGGAAAGATAAATTCGCTTTCAGAGATCGATAATCCCCATCCCATTCATTCTCTTTGACCTTCCAGATACTACTCGAGTAAATATTTAGTCATTCAAGCATACTCCGAGTCTACTTACAAATGCAAACGATATCGTATAGATTAAAGAAGATAGTGATAGTATGTTGCAAATTTCAAAATTCAACTTGGAGTCTTGGAGCATAATCGAGACACACTCCCGAGTAGTTCGAAATGAAGGTGTGGAAAAAAATATTACAATCAATTCAATGCTTTGGAAGTTGGGGAAACGACGCCCATCTTTGATTGTAAACATCTTCAGATGATATATCCAATATCCGCTCTTACTGCCAATCCTATCCTCGTTTCAACGAGTTATGAATATGTACGAGTGGATGAGTTGTTCACAATTTCGCATGCAATCCTATTTTCTAACCATTCTTCATCAGAAGTCTCTTCGCCAACATGCCATGTACAGACCTCTTTCTAAAGGGTATTGGAAGTGCCTCATGTAAACTTGGTCGTTGACCACTCAGGGAGTCTTGAAAGTCTCCATTTCATTTAAGTTAAGTATGCAATTCGAGCATTGGGGCCGAAGGAAGGCGATATTAATGTGAAGGCGTTCGTTTGAGTCGTACCTATTATCAAGCCATCTTAGGACGATTGCAAAATAAGGAAGTCAGTTGCGAGGCTTGCGGAGTCGTTATGGAGATAGGTGTATCTGGTACCCATCTGTCGAAAAGCGATAAAGTTGTCGTAGTTGGTTTTAGCCTTTTCAAAACACTAGCTTGATGCGAGGCAAGTGGGGTGTGGAAGATTGTAGAATGGATACTCTTAGAAGATAGTGCAAGTATGCCTTTAGTGTTTTTGACCGCCTGGAACACTGCACACAATATCGCTCGAATTCCGAAGCCGCGAAATGATCTTGATCTACGAATCTTGTGAAGCAGTCGGAAGTCGGACAGGCAGCTAATCAAGTAGGTAGCCCAACATTTTGACGCAGAGGCTGTTACATCATGTCGCACTCCAGATCCAATAAATCTACTAGTGAAGAAGTATAGGATATCTGTACCTCGCGATCATATTATCGAGATAGACGATGAAACTTGGCTTCGGGTATTCTGATGTATACAACGGAGGGACATGGAGTGGACGTGAGTATCAATACCTTGATGGGAGACGGCCTGGCCGCATCGTGGGAAGTATTGGTTCCTACGGACGATTCGTTAATATCCACCAAAGTGATATAAAATACAGTCCAACTCGACTCTTGAATGTATATCTTCCGGAAAAACGGGAGCCTTTCGTCCTTCGAGGTTATTTCCTGGTTGCAAGACCGCCCAGAACAGGCAAAGGAAGATTTTGAGAATATTGATTAACTCTTCGGATATGCTTTACAGCACAAATTCGTCTCAAAGAAAGCTAATGATGCTATTAATGATTTCAGAGCTTTCCTTGAGAACTCAAATTCGGTGATGGAGGCTAAGGCTAATGACGAAGGGACTGATAATGAAGTTGGTGCTTAGTGCCATCGAACACACAACACATGTGATCTGCGTCGTCCACAGGTGTTCTCCCTCACATACCCTTCTCGTCGCGACTCTCAAAGTATAGATCCTCCCCACTAATCATTGGTGTATACTGTACAGCCTATAAACACATCCGATGTATTGGCATCCATTCAATACTACTCGAGTATAATCAACCCTCTGTGGCCCCATTATCCCGCTTGGCCATTCTGCAAGTCCAGAGATCTACGTGCTGGTATCACTCTATCTAACCCTTCCATCTCACAATCCCAATAAGCATTTGAAATTTGAAATACGAGGAATTGAAGTTATAAAAGCGGCTTCAGGACGAATAATGGGTGTGTTTTCCCAATTAGCACTCAGGGAGTACGGTTGTCTTGTCGAGGGTAATTGGCTTGAACGTGGAGGAAGAAAATCCTAGGGCATCGTGGGTGGGTCGGAGATATGAAAGAAAAGGATATTAAGATTGAAACACGTGAGTTAGGATGCTTGGTAGTGAGTGGGTTGTGGGACTGACAGATGTCGGGTAGAGGTCGCAGGGAGAAAATAGGATCATAAACAGAAATACTTCCAAACAAATTCAACCCCTCCTGCTTCTCTTAGTAGCAATGCCAGTGCCATCAATTTCCAGTACAACACTCCCATTCAATTCCACTGTCCTCCTTTGCTCATCCATCTCTGGCCGTAATCCAGCATTAAGTTCCGCGATCCAAGGCTGCTCGTCCATTTCTTGCAAACCTATAGCTTGAGCAGGAGAAACTGAGGAAGTCTCAGATTTCAACGTGGTACCAATTTTTACTTGTCGTTTTTGTCGCCGTCGCCAGACTAGATATCCAAAGACAGTTAGGAGAATTACCACTACGACGCCACCCACTATACCTCCTACTATGGCGCCAGTGTTCAACCTTTGTGATGTGATAGGCGTGTTTGAGTTTTCTCCGGAGGTTGTAGAAGTATTCGTAGCGGAAGGAATTGATGTCGAGTTGTCGAGGGATACAGATGCTCCGGTCGCCGTAACGTTGATAATTGCGGCCAGACTTGCGTTATTGAAAACTGGGAATCGACTCGATGCATTATAGTAATTGGTGACGAGAGCGGGAGGAGTATAAGGTGCAGCTTTTGCGTTGTAATTGAATCCCCAAGTCAATTTCGTCATGTCAAATATTCCCATCCCGCTTGTCCAAGGATCTTGGCTATCGAAATCATTGCCATGGCCTCCTATACTTAACATTTGTCGCTGTCCGATTATTTGGCAATGATGACCGCTTCGTACTGTACCTCCCGTGGCTGGGGTTTCTACCCACTGAAATGCTGGAAGCGTGAGAATATACACTTTATCAAGACCAAAGCTATTGATATCCCCCAAATGAAAACCTCCATATATAAATCTGTGAGTGTTAGAATGCAAATTTGGTGTCGGAAGAGTTCTACATACATCTCCCATGTCGAATTATCCGAAGAACCTGCTCCAACTGCACAAAAGTTTGTCCTCGGAAAGGGAATACTATCACCTCCTGCATTCTGCAAATAGAACTCCCGAGTGTGAATATCATAGATGGTAATCTGATTCATGGGGACCGGGTTGGAGCCTTTTGACGATACTGTTTGAGTGAATGGAGCATCTCCACCCAAAAAGATAATATTTCCCTCCTGTCCAAAGATGGGTACGTATAAACCTTCCCCTCCCGATCCGAAACCTGAGTGCCCACCAAATACTGTTCCGCCATAATTTGTACTACTCGAGTTGGTCCATTGTGTATTTTCGAAATTATACTCCACCATGCCTGTCAATGGTACCGTGCTGATTCCTAGCCCTACAAGTCCCGGATCGGTTGATCCAACCATGTTGCCACCTAAACTGTAATATGCATTTGGAGTAGCTACTCAAAGTGCATGCCATGCAGAGGTGAAATCAGAAAACGAAGCTACGCTAGAGCTCTGATGAATACCTCCAGTGTAGTTCACAGTCCAACTGACACTTCCTTTATCATCTACAGGAAATGCATATACTGCTACAGGGGGGCTGTAAAAAGACCAACCACCGAATCTGAAGATGGATTTCTGGACTGGATCATACCACATGGTTGGGCTTCTTGTCATCATGTCTGCTCCTTTTGGTCCGACCCGACTAAAATCTGGAAGGGCAAATATTTGGGCGACATAGTTACTCGTATTCCAGGATGAAGATAAATTGATTGAAAAGCTGCATAGGACTACAGAGAGAGACATTAGCGAGAGATGTAAAAGTATGAAAGTAGAACCTACGGGGTACCCCCGAGTTATTTGCGGAGAGAGATTTAGCCCATATCTCACCACCATCAATATAGAGCCAATTTTCAACCACAACGGCTAGACTATGTTAGTACAAAATGCATTTAAGTAACCTGACATAGCTTACAGGTTTGACCCCACCATTCGATTAAATCAGATGGAAGCCAAGTGGAAGAGGTCATGACAATGGAAGCAACAAAACTTTGTCGTCGATGATGACAAGAAGAAAAGTAAAGAAAAAATGGTAGTAAGTAGGAAAGACGAAAAATGTTCTGAAGCCGAAAAATAAGATTGCATTCATGTTGTCCGTTGTATTAACAGACGGCTCGAAACCTGGGGTGAGTACAAAACCCATGCATCCTGGCGGTAATTATAGGGGCAAATGAATATAATATTCATGGTGATTGGGCAAAAGTTGAGATGATCCTTCGAGTTATTTACGTACAACATTGTGCGACTTCTGCACTGTGATTTCTGGGGGCCAGGGGAATGTAGATGTTATATGTAAGCTTATGCATCATTTTTGATAGGAAACCTATTTGCGGCTTTGTAAGTATAAATACTTGCTTTCTTGTGCTTCTTTCCTTGCTACTGAATGCTCTAGGATCAACAGCGAGCGATAACTAGATACAGCTGTGCCAGTCCTATCATCTCCCAATATCAATAGACCTTTTAAGGTAGTGAGTGAGAGTGATCCATATCCAAATATTTGGAGAACATGTAGATTTCGTATATCTGTTCTATTCATATAACTGAACTTGTAGATAATCGATCACTGTAGAAGTCGAATTCGGTCCAAAGTTTGCGACATCTGATGCGGGGATCTGATATGAACTTATTCTTCGACTCTCCCAGTACGCCAATCAGGACTGCTTTCAAGTTGCAGCTGCTTGTAGAGTCTGATGTCAATTAATTTGCCATTTCTCAATTGGTTTGTGGATTATGCATGGGTGGTTGTAAGATTTGGGGGATTGGGGGGTGAGATGATAAGATAAATTTGTGGGAGGACAAAGGCGGTGAGCTGGCAGAAAAAGTAGTTGTGTTACTACGAGTACCTATCCATCCGATACTTGTACTGGTATCTACCAGTATTATATCATCTCAATGGAGTCAAGGAGCTGAATGTTAAATCGAAACCTGATGGCATTTCTTCCACCGTAACCGTCGAATACTGCAACTTACAACAAAGCAAGCAGTCCAAGCTGCTAAAATCCCCTGGTTCATCGTTGATATACCGGTACAAACGCTACATACCTTCGGACATTGGAATGCAACATCACCAGTCGAGTCATATCTGATATATTTGCAGGGTGATATGGAAGGAAGCTGTTGATAATAATAGATGGAGATGGAGTCCTATGATGGATGAACAAAGAATCTCGGGCTTCATTGCCTTATCGTGATAGGTGGTGGGGTGGGCTGAAGTCTTGAACTTTCACTACCACGCCTTTTGCTTGACCGGTCTCTTCACTTCGCCTCCTCTCCATCTCATTCGTATGGAACCGGTTATAACCCTTCATGTCGATTGGTAATAATTTGACTCACCAAGAGAGTTGTTGATATCAATCATTTATCATTATTACTGAGTATATTGTGATCGTTCTGACCATTCATTCATACATGCGTCTCCACTGGAAAGGGTACCGATGACTCCTCAAGCCATCTCTCGGCATTTCTCCACTTAGTACTTCGAGTAGAATAATAGACTTCTTTTCCCCATCATTACTTTTCATCTCTGTTCATATTCATATTCAATACATACCAGTCTCTATCTACAACTTATCACAATGGGAGAATTAGATACCAAACTCGGAGAAGTTTCCCTCAATGAGTCAACAATATATCAAGCCACACCTTTCGGCAAAGAGATGGCCAAGCATTTTCTTTTCGAGCCAGGATGGAGAAATCTAAATCACGGTATATCCACCCAATATCTCAACTTCCATTTCCCAGCTCACAACGTCCAGGTTCCTTTGGCACTGTTCCTCGTGCCATTCGTGAGAAGCAAAGAAAGTATCAGGATGATTCGGAAGCTCGTCCCGATGACTTCATCCGATATACATATCCTCGATTACTCGATGAGTCACGGGAAGCTTTGGGGAAGCTTCTGAATGTTCTCACTGGTACTGTGGTATTTGTTCCCAATGCTACGACTGGTGTTAATACCGTTCTTCGAAATTTGGTTTGGGACGAGGATGGAAAGGATGAGATCCTTTACTTTTCTACTATATATGGTGCTTGTGGTTTGACTGTATGTACCTTCCAAGACGAATGATTCACATGATTTCAGTTTATGATGTTGCTGGCAATTCCCATGACAGATATTAATCCTAACTCATAACTCCTAGATCAAATATGTTTCAGAAGCAAACCGTGGCCTTGTTCAACCCAGACAGATTGCCTTCCAATATCCTATCGAGGACGATGAACTCGTTGAATTATTCGAACAAGCCATTGAAACTTCAAAGGCAGAGGGCAAGCGACCTCGTGCTGCTGTTTTTGATATTGTGGGATCGCTTCCTGGATTGAGAGTCCCTTACGAAAAGTTCATCGCCATCTGTAAAAGGGAAGGCATGTACTCTATCGTTGATGGAGCTCATGGAATTGGTCACGTATCGCTCAATCTATCAGATCTTGACCCCGATTTCTTCGTCAGTAATTGTCACAAGTGGCTCTACGTTCCCAGAGGTTGCGCGGTATTTTATGTGCCCTTACGAAATCAAGATTTGATGAGAACGACGTTACCTACCTCACATGGATTCGTTCCTCAGGGACCTAGACCATTCAATCCATTACCACCCAACACCAAGAGTGAGTTTGTGAATCAATTCGAATTTGTTGGTACCATCGATAACACCAATTACCTCTGCACCGCGGAAGCCATCAAATGGCGCAAAGAAGTCTGCGGTGGTGAGAGGGCTATCATTGACTACTGCAGCAATTTATCACGAGAAGGTGGTAAAGCTATTGCCAAAATACTGGGTACGGAGGTCCTGGACAATCGTACCTATACTTTGACCGATTGCTGTCTTGTTAATGTATTATTACCATTGGAAATCGGAACATCGGATATCGAGGGATTCTTCAAGGTTAATGAAGATTCAAAGATGCAAGCATATCAATGGATGTTGGAGACGTTGATGAAAGACTACAAGACATATATCGCAATAGCGTTCTTGAATAATAAATGGTGGGCGAGACTCAGGTATGTGATGCTCGTGATGATAATCCTCATTCTTTCTTGATTCATGATTCTTGATTCATAATTCCTTTTCATATCATATCACATCATATTTCTTCTCGTATATATTCTGCAATAACTCCCTAACTAATAATATCAACCACTTTCCTACAGCGGACAAGTATATCTCGAAATGGAGGATTTCGAATGGGCAGGCCACATACTCAAAGAATTGTGCGCGAGAGTTGGGAATGGAGAATACCGGTATCTACTCGAGTAACAAAGTAAAGTTGGAAAAGTAAACATTGTTTCATGAGTTCGTTCTAGACCCTAGAGTAGAAATAGAAAGGAACAAAGTGCGATGAGATGAGATGGTGAAACATCCAAGTACATACTGTACTGCTCGTATTTTGCTGTGCTCGGACTGGGAGTTTGGTCCTGGTCCCCTTGGAAGTTGGTTGGTGCATATATGTCCGTCCCGTCTCACAAATAATTCGGATCGGCTGTTTCCATGAACTCGAGGATGGTTTTATGTATCTTTATTGTTGGATTTATTAATCAGTTATGTTATTATATATATCAGATTACTTCCATAAATAAACTCTAAGCATTGTGAAATCTACGAAATATTAATGGGTGGGGGATTTTCATATTTCGATACTGTATGTAAGGTCACGGTACGCTAGGACGCCTCCCCTCCTCTTCATCCTCAACATTTCCTCCCACAACTTTCTTTACAATTCACATTCACATCACATCCACCAATACACCCAAATAGAATACAATCCGAACTCCGTCCCCTCACTTCCCAATTTAGATTCAAAATCTACCCCCTATGCATATAAATGTCAGACGCAGGTACAGTACAGTAACACCACCCGAATAAATCCGCTCACGGTCATTCAATCCACAACACAGATCACCGATCAAAAAAAAGAAAGGTCAAAACAGCGTTTGTGCATTGTGCAAAGCTCGTGCTCAACGAACGACCCATCCATCCTTTGTTTATTTGCGCATCGTCTTGCTATCATATCAATTAGTATCAATACCAAATGTTGCATTTCTCGTCGTGTCAAGTGGCAAGATGCCAGTAGTTCCCCTGAAATTCTCGGACGGAAACCCAAGCACAATACGAGGAAGGATATTTTCCCGTGGGAAGTTGGAAACTCACATATATGCAGAGAATCCCTCGATCTTTCTCGAGTTGAGATTGATCTTCTCTCAGATATCGACTGTCTTTCATTTTTTTATACTTTCTACCTTTATTGTTTGGTTACTCGAGTACATTGCATGCAGTGTTGCAAGTTTCTGAGTCTTGATTTCTGGTAAATCAGTCTCCACCTGGACGGAATTCTTCATTCATATATACATACATTCATTGCACTTTGGCAAATAGTCTTGTTTTTATTCCATTTGTTTACTGTCGGGTGTGTCAAATTGACTCAACTCACATCTCTTGTTTGGTTCCTATCAAATTGCGAATTCTGTTTCATCTGTTCGAAACAAAACATCGTCTTATTATTGATCCATCTCCTTCGAAACTCGAAACATATCGGAAGAAAGTGCTTTGACAGTCTTTCTTTTCTTTTCTTTTTTTGATACAGGGCCCAATACATTACCTTTTATTCATTCGATATCACCGCAATCTTGCACTTTCGTTAATTCGACATTTCACATCCAAAATGCAGAATTCATACATGCCCATGCTGGAACCCGACCACCAAGATGGCTGGCCCTTCAAAGTCCGCCAAATAAGCCGAAGATTTATCGGCCATCAAATTTCGGAAAAAGCTCCCCCAAGATTACATGAAAGACCCATGTTGGTCCAGACTCCCGAATTGGATTTGTTAGAAATCCTCTCGTCTACCGTCAACACCACACCCGCAGCAAGCATCAATGTCAGACCAGCTTATCAACGACAAACTACGCTTGAAGATCCTAGACGATTTAATGTTCTCGATACAAAAGCCAATCAAGAATCAAGTGTATTCAAGAGTTTGAAGAGGAGAATACCGGATAGATATAGAACTCGTCGTCCAGATTCATCTCTCGCGACGAGGGCAACACCCACTTCTTTGGGTTTCGGCAGAGATGGAAGAACTTCGATGGATTTGGATGCTAATGATTTGCCGGGTGTATACATGGCAAGACCAGCCACACCAAAATTTATGTCTAAAACTCGGGAAAGCTCTCCTGTCCGCGCTGCAAGATCTATCAGAACGAAAGTATCTCGAAAGTTCTCGAGAAAGGGAAAGGGATACAAGTTAGCGAGTGATGCCGATGCAGCTTATCCCCCCGATCTCAAGATAATATCCCCGGATCCTGTGGCCAATCATCCTGCATGTATATATGACGCAACTACATCTGCATTTCCTTGCAACCCAGAACATTCATCATCCACCCGACCCAAATCTCTCCGTCGATTATTTTCTCGCAAAGATCTTTGCAGACCTACTACATCCACTTCTACATCAACCTCTAATTCTCGTCCACCATTACCCAGCATGAATTCAATTACCGTACGGAAAATGTTCTCCAGTTCTAGTATCCGACAAAACGGGAACATCGTGACGGATCTTCCGGTCATGGAGGCTGAGGAAATTCAATCGCCACCGCCTGCTTATAGTGCTTCGATGGATTTTGCGACCAAGGCAAAGCTTGAGGTGGACTTATTGGAACATCCTGCGCTTGCTGGTTCAAGTGCTGGATATAATACATCGAATTCACGCTACGAATCTCAACTCCAATCTCAAATTTCAAATCTTCTCGAGTCTACCATCGTAACCACAGCCACAGCACCAACGCAATCTCACAGCCATAACTCAAGCAATGCCCCCCGTCCCTCTATGGCCCAAACAGTGCGCTACCCACTCGATCTCTACATCAGCAACACCATAACCACCTACCCCACCCACGACACCGTCGCTCCCCTTCTAATTCGCAAAGCCGCCCGAGGCCCCTCCCCCACCCCCTTCACAACCCTCACCCGATCCCTCTCAGACTTTGCATCTAAATCGCGATCCCAATCATCACGCCCCACGCCAGCCCCTCGCTGCCAATCCCAAGACACCGGCACTCAGCATCTCTTCCCCAAACCCCCACGCCCAACAAGTACAAACAGGCGTTCCAAATCCTATTACACATTAGGCAGCGCAGAGTCTGCAGTACCAGGTATATCGAGAAGCACGACCGTTTCGAACGCGCGGCGCAATTCGCGTATTTCTGCTACTACTTTCTCTGCAAATGCAAATGTACATGTACATTCAAATGCATATGCGAGAAATTCGACTTCGACTATTAGGAATGTGCCGCGCGAAATGGGGTTTTTGCCTATTAAAGCTGCTCCTGCACCGGGTGCATTAAGGAATTTTTCGAGACCGGGTACTGCAAGGACTCAGACTCAGACGGAAGGGGATGTACTAGATGGTGTACATGATGAGGTACGGAATGAGGTATACAATGGAGCAAAGAAAAACATGCAGATGCAGAGAAATGCACAAATGCCACGACGAGCTGCGAAACCGGATTTCTTGAAATTGTTCGATGTGCCTAATTTGATGATGGATTGTGTGGGGGGGTATGATGATTATGGATATGGGGATGGATATGGGGGTGGATATGGGAATGGGGAGTATACGTATTCTACGGGGAAGATGATTAGGGAGGTTATTGGGGGTGGTGCAGGTGTAGGTGGAGGTGGGAGTGGCTTGGGCTTGAATAGTGAGGGTGCTCAGGGTGGTGATAGTGATAGGGTGGAATTTATGAAATTTATTGCGGATGCGAGAGAGGCTAGGGCTAGGGAGGAGGTACCTAGGGTTGTAGGGAGTGGGAATGGGAGAGGGAGAGGGAGTGGGAGTGGGAGATGGGGAGGGAGAGAGGGGGTTGTGGGGATTAATATGCATATGGGTATGGGGAGTTTGAGGATGAGGGATTCGGTTGCGAGGGTGTGAAGGGTGAAGGGTGAAGGGTGAAGGGTGAAGGGTGAAGGGTGAAGGGTGATAGGTGAAGAGTGAAGAGTGATTTTGGAAAAGGGTTGAGGACTCGGAGAGTATTGAGCGGCAATGATCTAAAGTGATATTAAGTTAAATTAAATTATATAGAATAAGGATAATTATAAGTGTATAAATATATAATTAAAAAAAACATGTTTCAAGTATTTCAAGTATTTCAACCCGAATTTCCATTCAATAATAATCATAATTATAACCACTAGCAAAAAGCTATAATCTATAATCTATAATCTATAATCAGAACTCCAATTATCAGTGTATACTTGGAATTTACAACTTGAAGTGAAGAGTTATTACTTGTATTATATAGGGTGCTATAAACTTGAACTTGAAGAGAGTGTTTATATACATATATCGTGATAGGTTTGATAGGTTTGGTAGGTCTACTAGAGATTAGATTAGGTTTAATAGAATGAAGAATGAAAGAAAGAATGAAAGAATAAAAGAAGGGAATTGAGGATATACGATGCCTAGGTCTAGAAGTTTTCTTAGATTAAGAAAGGAAGATCTAGGCTAAGAACTTGAAAGGAAGATCTAAAACTTAAAGAATTGTTTTATTATATTATATTATATAACTTGAAGGTGTATATATACCTAAGCTATTATTAGTAGATGGAAGTCTGAGAGAGCCGTCGATTCCGTTATACTACTCTTATTTTAGATAGATAGATAGATATAAGTAGAGTAGAGCAGATAGATAGATATATATTCACGGCCTACTCTACTCCGAATTTAAACTAGATTAGATTACTCGAGTCAATATCAACTTGAAGTCAAATATCAAATCCATACCTATTATCAGAAATTAAATCAAATATCAAATCACATGTAAATCTACTCATACTACTCGAGTATCAGAATTATACCAAGAACAAATATACATGTAGATACAAATACAAATACAAATATAAATACTCGAGTATAGAATATACAAATAGAAGTATAGAATATTCTTGTAAGATTTATAATATAAGAGTAATTTCATTGATAGATTATATGTATTGATATTGATATTCAAGTTGATATTGAGATTGAGATTGAAGTTGATATTGACATATAACTAACAAATGAAACCATCCCATCATATCATATCATATCGAAATGCCAACCAACTACTCTAGCTACAACCAACCAAGTAATGAGCAATAGCCAACAACCAACAACTACTGAACTAACTATCATATCCTATATCAAATCAAATCATTGAAATATCTTCATACAATCATCCATCCCCTATCATTTCGTCTCATTTCATTTCATTTGATTTCATATCATAGCATAGCATAAGACAGTATAATCTATCCAAACGCCAAATCCCCTAGTCCACTTCTCCACTTCTCCACCACCAATCAATCAATCAATCATCTTAAACAAAAACTTCATCCCTCATCCCTCATCACCCATCACTAATACCTATCATCATCATGACGTCTTCCATGCGAATGATGCGAATGACTAGAATGTCTCGAACGACTCCTATGTTCATGACCATGACCATGATGACCATGTTCATGTTCATGCCCATGCTCATGCCCATGACCATGTCTACCATGTCTCTCCTCCTCATACCCCCCATGCCCACTATATTTCTCATCTCTGCCTCCATATCCTCCACCTCCATCCCTACTCCCATACCCACCCCCTCCCCCTCCCCCCTGCGCATGCGCATGCTCCGGACGTAACCCCTCCCCTTCCCTCGGCGGACTCACTTCCCTCCCCGTCTGCTCATCCTCATAATATTCCACATCCCGATCATTATGATCCTTCCTATACTTCTTAACCTTATTCCCTAAAAATTGTCCGGCAATCATTCCGCCAGCCGCATATAAGATTTTTCCCATCGTTCCCCGTCCAGTTTGCGATGCGACACCCCAGCCACCAGCAGCTCCAAGACCCATGCTGACGAGTCCTCGGTCGCCTCCTTCGATGGGTTGACCGTTAGCGTCGAGTTGAGGAGGGGGCAAGTTGGCGCCTGGTTCGGTGTAAGTGGGTGCGAGACCGGGGGTGGGAGTGCCGTAGGGGGCGGGTGCGCCGTAGGGAGTTGGGGCGGGGGAATACCCGCGTGGGTCGGAATAGTTTGCTTGGGGGTTTCCGTATGGGTCGCTGGGAGGTGGGTAGGGGTTATTGCCATAGGGAGATTGCTGAGGTGGAGGGGCTCCATACGGAGATGGTGAGTGTGCGGGTGAGGGACCGGGTGCGCCATATGGTGGTTGGAGGTTTTGAGGAGGGTAAGGGGCATTTTGACCGTAGTCTGGGGCGGGAGGGTAGCCAGTATTTTCTTGACCGTATTGGGGTTGTTGAGGATATTGTTGAGGAGGTGCACCATATGGTTGATGAGGTGGATAGGGGTTAGAATTTCCACCGCCGTAGAACTCTTGATTGGCCATATTTGTTTGATTTGATTTGTTTATATTGTCTTCTCGTATCTGAACGTAGAGTATCGTATGATGAGTTTGATAATGTTTGTGATAACTTTGATAATAGAACTAGATGCGATATGATCGATGTATGTTCAATGTAAGCATAAGAAGAAGAAAACAGATAAGTTGAAGGCGGGTAAGAGGATGATCTTATAGGAACACAGCACAGCACAGCACGGATATACCGGTGTGAGGCACAGTCAAGGGCAGTGAATCATATGCAACCTTGGAAGAGTAAACGGATAGAAAGCTGACTTGTTATTGAGAATTTGATTGGTTAATTAATAGGCCACATTCCGAGTTCCGTTATGAGGGGCAACTAACTGCGCCACGAGTAAATGATTATTATATAATAGAAATGCTTCTAGAAGATTAAAGAATGAATTGGGGTGGAGGGGTAAATGATGTTGTGATGTGATTGGTTTGAACGGGAATAGAATATCTGTATCGTTCATCTGTTGGTTGTAGAGAAGTACTGGTCGTCAACCTGTTTTTTTCTTTCCTATACTCGAGTAGATTCATGAAGAGGAGTACAATATTAGACTTTGTAATATTAGACTAAGGATATTCACCCCAATCCATTCAAATTGATTCATATCCCCCCTTACCCCTTACGCGTAAATCTTACTGAGTACCGGTATTGATACTTGTAAAAAATAAACGACAAAACACTCGTTAACCTTACCGCTTCATCTATGATCCATCCCATTTCATCTAATTCCTTTCCGCCCCTCCCCTTTTCCTTCTCCATCCCTCCTCCATCCCATCAACTTCCCTTCCTACCACCAAAACCTTACCACATCCACCACCAAAACCACATCCAAAACCAGAATCCACTTATGTAGCTTACTTATTTTTACAGTGTCACCACCACACACGCCAAGAGCCAAACCACCGGAAATCCGGAAAACTCGGCAACTTTCGCTCGTACAAAGTTGGCGGGGCTCACACCTCGCGGGGCTTGGGCTTTACATAGGTTGATTGATATGGTATGCTATGAAACAATATAAAAATAAAACAAAACAAATCCCAAATCCTACGAGTAGATCCCAAATCTCAAATGCCAAATCTCATGACTCAAATCTCCAGATCTCTCGAACTCCCTACACGAGTCGAGCGAGCTCGATATTTCGATACAAACACCGAATTCAATCCATCCCAATCCATCCCAACCCAATCCATTCAAACCCAACCAATTTGAGCCGAGGGAAGGAGAAACAAAAATAAAAATGGATTTCATAGGTATATTATGCTATGTGATGTGATGTGATGTGACGACGGGGAGTCCGTGAAATACCTACCTATAAGAGTCACGATAGTCATGAGGGATATAAGGGATACTTGGCATTAATCCATGTTACATATGTATCATGTGGTATACTACTCGAGTATATCATATGGCACAATACTACCTAGCACTGGGTATTATAGTTGAAGTCCACTTCGCCTCTTCATACTCCGGATTTTTGGATTTTTTTTGGTATTATGTTTATATTACTCTACCGATTGATATAACTGTGTACTTCGTACGAGTATGTACCGCTATGTTTGGTTTAGAAAAGAAGGGTGTGTCCAACCCCAGTTGCATGCCTCATGAGTGATAATTCATAAAATCAACCCATCAATCAATCAATCAATCACACCAATCTAGACCTCGCATACGCATCACCCTCCATTGGAATCGAAGCCCGCTCATCATACCGGAAACCTCCTCCATCCATCACAGCCTGTCTCTGCATCATTTCATCCTGACCCTGCACCCCCATCCCCCCCTCACTAACCCAATCTTCTACATACGGAGATTGATAATTGGTAAGGTTATCTGTATCCAAATGCAAGCGGGCCGCATGAGCACTGCCAGCATTGCGAGTGCCGGCATAGCCATGAGTGGTATATGGCATCATCGCTTGTTCGATACCCATTGAGCGTCGTAAACCCGCATGACTTGTTTGAGGGGAGTGAATGGATCCGTAGCGGGAAGAGGTGAGTGGACTGTCCATTTCGCCGTAGATGAGGGGATTGGGACTTTGTTGGTGGGAAGGGTGGTGGGGGTGGGGATGGGGATTTTGTGCTATTTCGTTGTACATCATTCGAGGGGTGGAACGATGAGATGGACGTGGGGAGTTGGGTCTGTAATATATGGGAGGAGCATGCTGAGGTGCGGTAGCGAATTCAGGAGGTCCGGGTCTTAGATCTTGGAATTGCATTGGGGAGATTGGGATGCGGGAATCGTGGGACGGAGGATTTCGCATGCGAGGAAAGGGATAGTCGTCTTGGAGTGGGTATTGACGGCTTGGTATGGGAAGGCCTCGGTGTGATGATCGGGGTGTCATGTTGCGATTCATCAAGGGTTCGAAGGCCGCGTATTGGTCTGATCGTAAAGGTGATGGTAATCTTCTATCACCAAGTCCTTCAACATGTTCTAGGCCTGTTGGGAGCGTACCGTCCAAGTTGGAATTTCTACCTCGAGGATCATGTCCACCAAGCCTGAGAGCCTCGAGACCTCCAGGGTTTTGACCGATGTTTCTTGGTCTTGGACCCATTCCTCCCATTGCAAGAGCTTCCATACCACCCGATCCTTCCATGTATCTTTCACTGGGGCTAGAATGATTTCTTTGAAGTAAGGGTAATCCCATTGAAGAAGTTGGATCTCCAAGTCTGGGTATTGCTCTACCAGAACTTCCCATTCGACCTATTGATAATTGATCTCGAGTGGTCAGTTGTCTTGGATGGGGGTTATAATTTGGACAACCTTCCCAGTGAACTCCATTCTTCTCGTGACGAATATCGTAACAGCCAGAGGTTGCACCTTGATGACTGCTGAGGCGTGAAAGAGCATGTCGAGATTCACGATGATGAGATCGTCCTAGGCCAATGCTTTCGAGAAGCATATTGAGAATAGGTTTAGGTTGAGGTATTGACTCAGAATCAAGTGGCATAAGTTGCGAGGTGAAAAAAAGATGAAGAGAAGAGCTGTGAAGAGGGAAAGGGGAGAGATCATAAAGCAAACTTCTACATGTGCATTAACCGATACCGGATACGACAGTGAACAACCATATATGAGTCAAGATATCTTCTGATAATAAAGATACCCATGAGGCGGAAGAGCTGATGCTTAGATTGTTTGCTTGTTAAGAAATTTTGACAAACTGTAACACTTGTTCGTGGTCAAAACCGGTGTAACGTTAGAAACATATAATCAGTAGCCAATTGATCAATTGGATATATATACCAGCCAAGAACATGAAGTTTAATAGGTATAGCAATGGATGCCTGCTCGAGACTTCTCGTAACGTTCTTTCGGGTGAGCAAACAAACATTATGCGACTCGGCTTATGGTCGTTCAGAACTGATTGTCCGGTACTCGGATATCCCCTGAGAATATTCGAGGGACCAGGTGATGAATAGGAATGGTCTTGGTACTTCCTTACAATAAGAAGGTTATATCAATGAGAATTGATCCTTATGCCAATGATAATCGAAGTAGACAAATGAACAAACCTTTTACCACCATTTTAAAGACAGAAACTCCGATTCAAAGTTTTTAGCACGGATAATTTTCGAATCTGTAATTTTAATATTCTCCAGTAGGTAGCCATAGTGAGTCCCTTTGAGCTTCCCTCTTCCCGTTCGTGGTATATCGCATATGTATTGACTGATGGATGCAAAGATGATTGATTCTAGATGTATTGATTGCTGCAGAGATGATGAAATCTAGATTAGATGTATGAGTGAGGTATGTATTAAAGATAGAATCAAGATAGAGGTATATTTAGAAACAGTGTCTAATTGGAGAATCTCGTCATACGATAGATACCCTAGGTACTCGTGGTTTTGGTGAGGTTGTACAGAAGGGCTGGCTAGAATTGATGTTGCTTGGAGTATCGAGGTTGTCCTTGACTGTCGAAGCTGTCTTTGACTGACTAGACTGCTAACCAGATATAGATGTATAGAAATCAATGATAAAAGCTAGATACGAGTAGATATTGAATACCGGCATGTGTAAGAGTACTCGTACAGTGCTCATGGTTTATACCCATGGCCAATTCAGAGCAGCGAGTCAACACTTTCCTTTGTGCGTAGAAATTGAGAAAGATATGAATACGGTAGTGGTACAGTCTTTTGTGTGAAAGGTTGCTACATGTGTTTCGTAAAAGGGGGTATATCATAAAAGGGGCAAATGAAGCATCAACAGTTGTATAAATGTTATATTGTTTCTTTGTTTTTGCTGAGGTTGGCCCATCGATATTAAACATGGACCAATGAATACAAAATCATGATTTATGCCTTATGATTTGAAACCTTATTATTCAGGCCACAATACCCCCCAATTTCAAAAAATCCCACCACGCTAAACTCTAAACATACTAACCTATCCTCTTACATTAGAGCTATTCCATTCCTGCCCTTAATAACATCCTTCGCTTTTTTTTGTAACAAATTCGAGGACCTTCAAAATCCAAAGACCTTAAACCTTCAAGATTCAAAAGACATTCGCCCCCCCGCACACTCACGCAGAAAATTCAATACTAAACCAATATCATAAGATATTCGTTTTACAGATAATTCACATCTTTTTCGCGATCATACAATTTTAAACAAAACTTACTACCTATTCAAATTTGTGCGCATCATCGCATCCAATCAAATAAGTCCCCCGCGCGATCAAAACTTAAACATCAACATCAATATCATCGACACTTCCTTCTTAAAGAAATCAATATGCCTTCGCAATTGCCATCAAGTTTTGCTTCTGCAGCAGCAGCAGGTTCGGGCCCTGGTTCGAGTCGTGATTCTCGAACGGGAAGGAGCGAGAGTGGTGGTGGTGGCGGTGGCCGTGGTACTGAATGGTATGTTCGATCTTCTTTTACAATCTTCCTTTTGTACACATTGCACACATTGCATGCAATCACTTCATTACCGTGATTGAGTTGATTTGGATAGCATCAATCATATCTACATACATTGCATTCCTTCAGTTTCGTTTTCCCCAACTACTTGCTTAGTTACTTGATTGTTTGGAGATCCTAGACGTCATCAGTAAAAAATAGCCATGCCTTTTTTGGGATCTGATAAAAATTTCGAACTCTTTTCGCCCTCCAAACCAAGATTTCAACAACAGTCTGAGAGACTTTCCGACCCCATAACTAATCTGATCTCCCATCATAGGGCACGAAGAGATACTAGATCTACCAATGGTAGTGGCACATTAACCTTCCGCCGTTCTTCCAATGCTCCTCATACATTATCCGCACAAGCAGAAAATCTTCCAACACATAGTACTGAAGCCTCCGAGGATGGATCGCAGCAACCAACTCAATCATATGAGCCATCTGCTCCTGCAGATCTTCGTTACCCAAAAGCTCATTTATTGGATTTATACCAGAAGCATCGGGAGGCTAAAGATTCTGGCGCACGCAATGGCGACGTTTCAAGACTTTATGTTGAAGGGTGGAACCCTGGTCAATCAAACGGTACAAATGGTCGAGCATGGAGTAAGGTTCCTGATGGCAGAGAAACTCATGGCCCAGATGCGTGCTGGGATATGAGTGGTAATCAGCGACCAGTTTCTTTGGAAGAAATGTCTGAAGAGCAAAGAACCGTCAGTTTGCCTATTCAGTAACTTGTTGCTGTGATTTGATACTAATCTATTCATCAGCTTTTCTCCACTGATGTTAATTCCCCCATGAAACCACCGCCACAGAATCAGAATAAAGGTCCGAACGAACAAGGATCAAATACAAATGGTCGCAAAACCTCGATTTCTCATGGTTCAGGTAACTCGACTTTCGCAATATCTTCGCCAGCATCAAGTAGACCTGGTACACGCCGCCGCGAGACGAGCGATTCAGTCCCATTCTCAGTTGGAGTAGGATCCCCTGCCGGAGCTAGTCGGTTTCCCAGAGACGAGTCTTCTCCCTTCTTCACTCGCAAACTCACGGACGTGAAGGATGATGCAGACGATCGAGGGGACGAACTCAAAAGTTCCTTACCGTTCGGCCCCTTGATGCGTTCGAATACAGGCGGGGGAGCTAATTTGGGAGGTGCACCATTATCTCCTTGGGGACCAGCGCCTGCAAGCGCTACGATGACTCCAATGGGAACCTTTGGTGCCTTCGCAATGCCAGCTCCTGCAGCCCCAAGTGACAAACGACCGGGTTTTGGTAACATTCGAGGAGAGAGTCGACTCGCACATCTCATGCCAAAGGACAAATCGGAGGATAGTGCTTCGCAACCTGCTGAACGCTCATGGAGAACTAGACCTCGGACGGATACCGATCCGTTTGGTGATGACGGAACTCCCAGCGGCAGCGCTGGTCTTGGAGGTGGTCAAGATACAAGCCCGATCTTGAATCCACAGCGAAAGGCCCCGGGACTTGATACGCCAGTCCGCGGACACTCTAGTGATTTTGGGCTGAATGATATGCCTGGTTTTAGGGATGCGCAATTGCGTTCTCAGAATCACCACACGCCACAAGGACAACTTTACAGTGAGCCACTGAGCCCAGATACTAATCCTTATCGTAGCCCACCCGAGGAACGTAGAGAAAGAACTGGACATGACGGCAGTTCTTTCGACGATGATAATTCCCATGATCGACCTCAACCATTGGGAGGTATTCCAGAGCATGGACCAAATGCTTTCAGTAATCTTTCAAGAAATTTCGGTAGTGGTGCTTTTGATGGCAGCGATAGGAGTCAAACTTCCAGTGTTGTAGGTGGTGTTTCTCGGGGACCCTTCACCACTCTAGGCGGGCTTCCATCATTGAGTAACATTGGTAATATGGGCGGTTGGCCAACAAGTAATAATATGGTGTCGACACCGGACCGAGAAAGTCGATCGTTTTTACCCAGCGCATTTGGAAATTCCATATTTGGATCAATGGCTGAGGCGCCATCCCCAGTTCATAGCTCTATGGGTGGAGGTATGTTCGGCCATGGAAACCCGATGGGATCTGTTGGTCGCGGAAGTAAGCTTGGATCTTTATTCCCAGCCGCTATGCAGGCTCAGATGCAGGGCGCAGAGAATGACAATTCCGGTGAAAATGGAGACATGAGACAAAACAGCGCATTTGGGGCGATTGGCCGTACCCCATTGCACAACCATGGTTCATTCTTTGGATCGGAATCTCGTACTCAGGAGCCGTTCTCTGCCGCGGAGTCTCAGCCTAGTACAGCCGTTCCACAAGCTTCTTCGGCCCAATCCAACTACCAGCAATCTCAGAGTGGGTCGGATTCTGCACCGGGTCAACTTCCTAACGCTCAACAACGCATGATGGTTATGCCAGATAGAATGAGATGGACTTATCTTGATTCACAAGGACAACCTCAAGGACCTTGGTCTGGATTGGAAATGCATGATTGGTACAAAGCCTCATTCTTTACCCCGGATCTCTCGGTCAAGAAACTCGAAGACACCGAGTTTGAACCGCTTGGTCAGCTTATTCGTCGTATTGGGAACTCCCGCGAACCGTTCCTTGTACCTCAGATCGGGATTCAGCATGGACCTCCTAATACCCAAGCCACACCTTTCGCTTCCACTACTACAGCTCCTGCTGCTCAACCTGGCTCTGTCCAACCTCCTTTTGCTGGAGCTTTCCCAAGCTTCGGTACTACCCTGACCGCCGAGCAGCAAAACAATTTGGAACGACGCAAGCAAGAGGAACAATATCTCATGGCTCGACAGAGGGAGTTCTTGGCGCAACAGCAGGTCAGTATGAAGCAAATGCAAATGGGCGGTCTTCCTTCTACCTTGCACCATCATTCCAGTGCTCATAGCTTGCAAAGTCAACCTAGCTTTGGCAGTATGTCATCGCCAATTTCTATGCCACCTCAACCCCCAATGACCGGTGGATTCTTTGAAACTGGCCCCCGACCAGGCCTGTCTCAGATGATGGGAGGGGTGCCTAATGAATATCTTCACGATGATCTAGCTCGTCTTGGTCTTCAAGACCGTCAACAGCCGGGAGCAGTTGGCGCCCCAAGTTCTCAAGCCCAGCAAATTAATGCACTTTTCGGCCAACCTCAGCAGGTCGGCAGTCAACGTGAGGCCCCTAGAGCAGAGCAAGTTCAAAATGATCCGCAAGGATTCATTTCTCGTCTTCGACATTTTGAACAGCTTAGAGCTGAGCATGATGCAGAGGAAGCAGCTCAATCCCCTAAGAATGAAGACACAATTGCTCTTCCAGCTCAAGCTCAACAGGAGCCACAAGATCAGCAATCACAATACCAAGAGAAAGAAACTGTGTTAGAGAAAATCCCGGCACCACAATCTCCTGAGGTGCTCTCCTTGACTCAACAAATCAAGGATCAACAGGCAGCTTCCACTGCCGTGGCACCCTCTAAGCAATCTCCGATTTCTGCTCCTCAACCTGAGTCTCCCTGGGCGAAGGTGAATACTAGTCTTCCAATGCCTTTCCCACCTCCCGCACAGTCGACAACCCCTCTTCCCGCCCCAACTGCGCAAAGAGGTCGCTCCGGCTTGCCAGATTCGTTACATGCGGAAGTTCAATCGCGCTCTGAGACTCCAGAGGTAGTTAGTGCTGGACCAACTCTTGCACCATGGGCTGTTCAACCTGTCGAGGCCCCTAAGGGTCCTTCTCTCAAGGAGATCCAAGAAGCTGAGGGAAAGAAGGCCGCTAAAGTTGAGGAGGCTGCTGCCGCTGCACGACGTGCTCTCCACGAACAAGAAATGAAGTTACTTGCCAGTCAGCCAGCTGCTCCAGCTCCTGGTCTACCAACCACCTCCACTTGGGGTGCTATAGCAACACCAACTACTCCCTCCAATGCTCCCTCTGTTTGGGCCAAACCTGCTGCTGCAAAGACTCCTGTCGCTACTAGTTTTTCCAAGAAGACGCTCGCAGATATTCAAAGAGAAGAGGAATCGCGCAAGAAGAAGCTTGCAGCTACCACAGCTGTGTCTCAACCTTCTCCCGTTGCTGGTGGGAAACGCTATGCCGATCTTGCAAGTAAGCCATCTGTAATCACCCCAGCTATGGGAGGAGGCTGGTCCACCGTTGGCGCCGCTGGAAAGGTCAAAATTCCAACTGGACCATCGGCTGTGATTACACCAGCCCCAGTTCGGTCTGTCAGCAGTGCTTCTGTGGCTAGTCCCGCTGTTCGCACAGTGCGTCCAACACCATCTGCTCGCAGTGTAACAATGGCTAGCAGTCAAGCTGGTGGCAACACCGCCATTGAAGAGTTTAAAAAATGGACAAAGGCTACTTTGAGTGGCAAAGAGGGTCTCAATTCTGATATTGATGGTGAGTCGAACTTTATTCTATAACCGATAGCCGTGTGCTAACAAATTCTAGTTGATGAGTTCATGTCTATGCTGTCTTCATTCCCAGATGAGGCAAGTATCATTGCCGATGTCGTGTATTCTAATTCTCGTGTGATGGATGGTCGTCGCTTTGCCGAGGAATACATTCGTCGCCACAAGTTGGCTGATAAGGGCATTATTGAGCCTGCCAATACTGGATCGAATGATAAATCTGGTGGAGGTGGATGGAGTGAAGTCGCCAAGAAGGGTCCACCAAAGGAGGAACCTACTGCTGGCTTCAAAGTTGTTCCCAACAAGAAGAAGGGAAAGAAATGAGGAAATGTATGATTATGTTTGATCAGACTTTGCTGCATTATGGATAGCTGTTCTCAATGGCGATTTGGTATTTCAGGCTACGTTGTTCATACTATACAAATCGGCGTCCTTTTTCATGATGAGAAAGTTGCCTATTTATTGATTAGCGAAGGAAGAAACATGTTCAAGTTGTGAATGGTAGCTTATTAAATAGCCTCGTTATAAAAATCTACATTTACTTCCGCAATTATGAGTTTTCGTCTGGTTTCTTGAAACGATACGGTAAATCTTCTTCAAGCAAAATGCTTCTAATTAGTAGATAGATGAAATACAAGATGACTACGAATATGTATGAGTTAGAAGACCCTCGCTTACAAATCATCCCACCCCCCGACCTTAATAAATAAATTTTCCCACACGAAAAAAAAAGTGAAGCCCATTACAACAAATAACAAATATTTACCATGTCTTTCGCCTCAGATTTATCTACTGGTGGTAAAGGCAGTACTTTAGACGCTCTATTATTCAATTTAGAGCAGTTAAAACAACTTGATGCCGTATCGGAAATTGTCACAAATTACCTAGATGGCGATTACAAAGCCGTCCTTCGCTCGCCCACAGCGCAAATCCTGATACAAATTTTGGCAGAAAATGTAAATCTCTCTAAAGAGCAACAGAATCTCGCTCTCAAAGATGCAAATCTTCAAAATCGAGAGGTGATCCTTTATACTTTCATCACGGGATTGGCAGCTTTCAATGCATTTCTCCAAACCAATGTTACCGGCCCATCGGTAGATTTCGAGGATGTTTTTCAAAGCTCCGAATGGAACGCTGGTGAGCTGAGGGAGAAATGCTTGAGGAGTTTGGATGTGGACGGTGTTAGTGTTTATCAACATATTCCCAAGGTGGAATTGTTTTGTCTGGCGAGATATATCTTCACGACGGTGTTCCCGAGGCGGTCTTGGGTGAAGACGTGGGATTGTAAGTGGATGAGGATTAGAATTAATGCATATCATCAACGGTTGTTGAGCGGACATTCGATGAACGGGGGGAGAATGAGTGATTCGACTGTGTTGCAAGATTTGATTGAAGGGGATCTGAAAGATTTAGAGAGTGAGCTGTTTGCCGAAGACAGTCCTTATAAAACGGATGCGAAGGTTATGCTGTTGTTGGAGAAGGCGCAGATTTATATCATGGAGGGATTGGACTTGAAGGCGAGAGAGAATGTGAAGAAAGCTAGTGAGGTTTCGGGATTTGAGTATGCACTTTCTGGAGCTCTGGGAAAGAGGACAAAATTTCAACAAACCGATATTTCGCAGTTGGTGGTTTTCGCAAAGAGTAGGGATGGAGCTGAAGATAGTGAGACTGTTGATGCGTCTGAAAATACCAAGGAAAGCGCTGAATCATTGAAAAAGCCTGAGGAACACAGCACGAATGGTCCTCAGGCTTTGGATCTGAATGATGATACATTATTGGAGTCTATCGACTTCGCGAAAGCTCCATCCGACAAAGTAGATGATTCAAACCTACCAGCAGCTTTAGCTGGTATGAAACCAGACGAGCAACCGCAACTTCACGCTCTGGACCAAATTGCTCTGTTAACGGAAGCTACTCTCAAGGATACTCTATCTCCTCTCGACAAATTAAATAGTGAAGAGATTCTTCCATACGCTGTCCGCGTCCTATCAGACAAACCAACAAATTGGCAGATCTACACGCAAGCTCTCTTAGTCCGAAGTAGGATTGAAGCTCATAGATCCAGAACCCAAGAAAGATCTGTTTTACAACTCCAAGTCATCGTGGACCAAATCATTGCCGATACACAAGAAACTGCACCATCAGCAGATGCTGACGGAATACCTCAAATTCAAGTAACCTCTTTCCTTCCCCGGGCCAAAGCAGGTGAATCTGCTCCGGTCACAGAAAGATTAAGATATGTTAATCAACTCAACACACCTACGCGGTGGGAAATCGAAACCGAACTCGCATTTGCATGGTCCAATGCCGGATCCCTCATCAGCGCTCTCGAAATCTTCAAGAGACTTAAGATGTGGGCTGAAGTAGCATTATGTTATCATTCCGTTGGCCAAGAAGATAAAGCTAGACAAATCGTTCGAAGACAATTATATTACTCTTCCGAAGGCCCCGAAATGGACAAATACGATATCGACGCAGAAGCAGTCGTCAAAGAAGGATGGAACGGCGAAATGCGCACCCCACACCCACCACACGCACCTCGTCTATGGTGTATATTAGGAGACCTCGACCAAGATCCCACCTGCTGGGAACGCGCCTGGACCATTTCCAAAAACCGCTACGCCCGCGCTCAACGCACTCTCGGCGATTACTACACCCGGCAAAACGACCTCCCCGCAGCCCGCGAAGCATACCTCGCTTCCGTCGTTGTCAATCGTCAAAACAACGACACCTGGTCTCGCCTCGGTGATATCGATCTCAAAACTGGTAATTGGGATGGAGCCGTCATTGCTTTTCAGCAGAGTATCATGATCGACGATACCGACGCCAAAACATACAGCAACCTCGGATCCGCCCTCCTTTCCAAACACGATGAACTCATCTCCCTGCAAAAAATCGCAAAACAGGAAGAAGCATGTACCGATATCCCGGATGATGAGGAGATTGATATTTCCTCGTTAAATAAAGGAGATCGATCCAACGACCCCAAGGACATCCTGCGACAGGCCTTAATGTCCTATAAAAGAGGCGCGTCTATCGCATACGACAATTGGAAGATTTGGGATAACGTCATCACCATCGCCACGCGGATGTCTCCCCCCGCATTCCCAGATATCCTCATGGGTCTCCGCAGTATCCTACGCATACGCGCTCCCGCTGTAGGTGAATACGCCATCGACATCGACGTACTCAGCACACTCGTAACCGAAGTCGTCAGCCGCGACAAAACCTCCGAAGTAGGCACTCCATCCGCAACCGGCATCTGGATCCCTCGACGCGGCACGCTCGCTCGCGCCCTAATCGAAATGGTAGATTCCGAAATCATCCCCCTCATCACTAAGCGCATCGAACTCTACGAAATGGTAGAGAAATTACGATTGTGGGCAAGAGATTACCAGGGAGCCCTGGACGCGGCGGAGAAGGGCTGGAGGGTTAGCATGAATATGAATGGGGAGGGAGAAAGCTGGTTGGAGAAGGAAGAGGGCTGGACAAAGGTTGTGGAGGCAACGGGGAGATTGGTGGGTGCGTATGAGAATTTTGGGGTGGAGGAGGGCGGCAGGTGGAGGGTTAAGGCGAAGAGTGCGGTGAGGGGGGTTATGGGGAAGGGAAGGGAATTTTGGGAGGGGAGTAGGGGGTGGGGGGTTTTGGAGGCGTTGTTGGATGAATTGATGGCGGAGGCTTGAGGCTTGATTGTGTTGGGGTGTGATGTGTTACCGGTACTATACTCGAGTCGATAGTTGGGATTAGGATTAGGATTAGGTTTAGATTTAGATTTAAGATTAGAGGAATAAACGATCAAAATTAAATCACTTTTAGCAGATCATAAGTGTTAACTATCTATTGATTACTGGAGTATATATCCATGAATTCGTGTATTCGTGTGTCTATCTGAATCTACATCTACATCTAAATATACCTCTAATCTAACCCACAGCATGTTCCTCAACCCCCTCTCTTCTATTTTCCATTCCCTGGTTCCCACCAAATGCACCCCCGTTTAGAATAATATCTTCATTATCATCCATATCATCTTGGACTCTCCTCCACGTTTTCTTTTTCCTTGTATATGCATCCTCATCGTTTGCAACACTACCCTCCCCGCTACCAGCCACCGCTCCCTCTACCTCCTTCCCCTTCGCCGCTTTCCAGATCGGTTTTATGAGCCCCCCTAATAAAGGATTTCGACTAAACGTTCCCCCTCCCCCATTATTCCCCCTCATATTCGTATTCTCCACTTCATCCACAGTCTCCTCCTCCCCCTCTCCCTCACTCTCAAACGTCGGCCTCTCAATCCTAGCCATCCTCTTAACAATCTTTCCCCCCACCAAATCCACACTAACCACCTGCCTCCTCTTCTCATACTCGGGCCTCGCATTCCATTCCTGCTCCGCGAGAACCTTCTGCTGCCTCTTCAATTCCTTTGCTCTCTCCGCCGGACTCGCCCACATTCCCCCCATGCCACTTCCGCCCCCCACACCCGCCGCCACACTCGCCGCCAACCCTGTATCGAAATCCGCAGCTTCATCTTTGACCGTGGTTCTCTTGGCATTCTGTGCCTGGAACCCTAATAATGTATCGCGATGTTCTTTGGCTTTTTGTTCCGCGGGTGTCATGTCTAGGTTCTTGGGTGCGGAGAAAGGAGCTGGGGTTGTTCGAGATATGTCGGCGCGTCGGTGGGAGGAGGCGTCGAGACGCATTTTCTCGGCTCCGCGTTCTTCTTTGAGGGTGCGGATCATGGATTGCACTTCATCTCTTCCTAAGATGGCTGATCCGCAGAATGTACATGGTCCGAATCCCTCTTTTACGCAGATTACTTTTCCACAACTTAAACAGTTTGGGGCCGCGGCGAGAAGTGGATGACGGGTGGCGATACAGTTGCACTTTCTTTTTGAAGGGTCGGTGGAGAGTGAAGAATTGGTGGATATTTCCAGCGTACGGATTGCGGCGTCAAGATCAGAAAGCGCGGTTGAGGCGCCATGCATAGCGTTTCCACCTGTGATGTTTATTTTAGTTGTCGCTGGTTTTGGTTTTGGAGCTGGCGATGCATTGCGAGAGGGGTTTTGGGAGACGGCGCGGGAAGAAGAGGTGGATTTTGGTTTTCTGTTGAAATCGGATATTAGGGTGCCGGCTGCAGAAGGAGGAGGGCGGGGGGTGGGTGATTGAATGGCGGAGGAACCGGTGTCGAGTGCAAGGGCATTGGCGGTTGACGAGGATTTGGAAGTCGATGGTTGGGGTGTGGATCTTCGAGATACATAATCATCTTCGTCTTTCTTCTTGTATGCTGTTCCTTGCCCCCCATATATACCGTGAACTTGACGTGGCGCTGGTGTGTGTATAGGAGGTTTCTTCTTTTTTGATCCTCTGGTTGACTTTGGTGCACTGGTCGATGTTGAAGCTTGTGCTGATGTTTGCGTTTGCGTCTGCGGAGTTGGTTTGGCAGTAGGATCTTGTCTTCTCGAATTAAATGAGGATATAAACTCTATACTGCCTGGTGATTCTCCCAGTAGGTTGTTGAAATGCTCGGCAGCAGCTTGTTTGGAAAGTGTGTTTGCATAGTCCAACGCTTGCTTCAAGTCTTCCTCTGGCAGAGGTAGTAACCTTTGTAATTGTGCGAGAGACATGATTGATCTCTTTGTATAATACCAGGAAGACGAGGTTGTGTTGTTTTATTCAGAAGTTGATTCATTCGCAACTGGGACGTTAGGTAACTAAGATATTACATAATCCCCCACCTACATTTATAATTCTTGGTCTTGACTCTTATTCAAACTCCACCAACAATCCACTCCATTCAAAGTGCCATCCCAGTTTCCAGTCGTCCACTGAGCTTTGGTCTCGAGCTTTGACTTCCATCATGACTTCCAAATCCTTTAATGAACACGACAAAACTCCTCTAATAGAGAACAAACCTCTCCAACGCTATTATGCCTCCCTCGAATCTCGAATTGGATATAGGTTGGTGTTAGGAGGTACACGCCATTTTGGTTTCTATCCATCTGGCACAGTATGGCCATTTCCTATCCCCAAGGCTCTCCACGCCATGGAGGACCATCTCATCGCGAATTTGGCTTTAGAATCAGGCTCGAAAGTACTAGATGCAGGATGCGGTGTGGGACATGTCGCTATTCATCTCGCAAAGACTGCCGGTTTCCGTGTTCATGGAATTGACGTGGTGGATCATCATATTATCAAGTCACGAAAGAATGTCAAGGCAGATGCATTGGACGGGGCGATCACCATTACCAAGGAGGACTATCATCATCTTGACGCCTTTGCAGATGATTCTTTCGATGGGGCGTATACAATGGAAACATTTGTTCATGCAGTTGATCCAGAGGTTGCTGCTGCGGAATTCTTTCGTGTTATTCGACCGAGAGGTTCACTTGCGATGTAATTTCCATTTCCTTTTTTTAAGACATCCATTGAACCTTGAGGGATCAAAAACCTTCACCTATGACTGAAGTAACGACTAATTATGAATATTAGGTATGAATACGATCACATCGACTTCACCACTCAATCTAAGGATGTCGGAAGTTCATTCACCAATATCAACACACATGCAGCTATGCCCGCACACGAGCGGTTCAACCAAGGCGTATTGGAAGAGATACTTGCGGAGGCCGGGTTTGAGGATATTGTAGTGAAGGATCTTTCAGATAATGTTCTCCCAATGTTGAGGATGTTCTATCTCCTGGCTTTCATTCCTTACTTCATCGTCAGTTTTCTCGGACTTCAATCGTTCTTCATCAACACGGTGGCTGGCTATAAGGGCTATGTTTACAGATCTACATCACGATATATTGCAGTCTCGGCCAAAAAGCCTTTGGGGGCGAATATGCAGAAGAATCGGGGATGAGGAGTGTTTGTGATATTTTGAGGAATACTTGTAGCAAATAGGTTAGTTATTCTTTTAGTGTACCTTTTAAATACCCAATGCTATTTAACTTCCAGTTGATACAATGAATCCCAAGATAATAAGAGACCTGTACCTACCCACCTGCACTTAGGCCCCTGAACCCTTACGATTGGTTGGTTAACCACCGTTAAGGATAATCAACCCCTATCGCACCTGCAGGGCAAAAGAGTCAAGGGCTTTCGGGCTTTTCAGAGCAAATCAATCATATCACTCACATGCATTCGCAGTTGCTTTAGCAGAAATAGCGTCTCTTCCTGCAACATTTGACAAACGGTGTGCCTCACGTTTCATAAGTCAATTAAAACAAATCTTTTCTACAGCGAGTGCTTTATAAGATACCTACAAATCCTCACTCAAGTAAGTGGAATGCCCATCCAATATATATGACTTGTTTAAGATCATGTCAACCAAATTTTGTCTGATAATAATAGCACTTGATGTCCAGCGCTCTTTCGCCATTCCTACCTCCAATATTACTTCGACCCAGCAAACTTCCAATAACTTCTTAGAAATTCCCACACAAGGCTGGAACGCATCACCTTCCGGTCGAGGATCGATTGATATCCTATGGAGTTGTTTGGTCACGATTTCCCTATGTTCCTGGTCTGTTCTCTGCCTCCAAGTACCAGGACCTAAGGACTCGCGCTTGACAATACTCTGGCGCAGACTTTGGCTTACCGCACTCTGTGGCGTCGGTCCTGAGTTTACATTTCAAATTGCACTGGGACAACTGCTATCCGCTCGAAGATCCGTTCGAGATTTCCATAACTCCGATTATCCTGATTGGACGATGAAACATGCATTTTATGCAGACTCTGGCGGGTTTCTCTTGCATACCCCCGATTTCAAAACCATCCCAATCGATGCGAAGCAGCTTCTTTATTTGATCAATCATAACTATGTCGAACATCCCAATATCAAAGTGGAGGATATAAAAGACAAAAACAAGGTGGATGACCTCCTTCGTCTAATCTCAATTGGCCAAATTATATGGTTCAACGCAACGGTCATTGCCCGCGCCGCACAAGGCTTGGAAATAACGGGAATTGAGCTCACAACAGCTGCGTTCATTATCTGTAGTCTTGGTACGACTTATTGCTGGTGGAACAAAGGAGCGGACGTTGCAGCGCCCATTACGTTAAGTACCAAAACCACAATGGTTGATATTTTACAAGGTGCAGAGGACGCACCACCAGGAGGAATGCACCAACAAACTCCTCTTGATTTTATCAGTCGTCATGAATGGTATTGGTCTCGGTACTGGAAGCACTGGATCAATATTCTCCGAAATATGCGAATTGTCTTTGCGTCGAAAACTCTCCCGTTTGACCGACTCGAAAACACAGATTGGAGAGAGTTAAAACGCGGTGGCCAAGCGGCTTTCTATCTTATGAGTTTGGCCTACGCATCCATCTTTATCGCCGCCTGGAACAATCACTTCCCTACAAATGCAGAGAAGATCATATGGAGAACATCGAGTCTGTTGATGGCGGCAACAGTTCCTCTCTTCTTCTGCATTACCGCCTTTGCTTATGAAATCTACCCCGCTCTTGTGCGATATTTTCATTCAGCCCCAGTGCCAGATATCGAAACCCAAAGTTGCGATACATCATCTCAAGCATCGTCCAAGAACGATTCAGACGCATCGAACATTGATACGGCAGAGCAAATGTCATCACAGCCATCATCCCAGAACGAGGATTCAGCATCCTCCAACCAACACCCAACTTTTGTCCCATCAAAATATCGCTCTCGACTCTCCCGCATAGCAGCCAGTCTTCGAAACAATTCACTTTCCAAGGATCCATCCCTTGATATTCCCCTAAAGGCAACTTTACCCATGTATCTAGTGGGATTTCTATATTGTAGCTCGCGTATGTTGATTCTTACCCTCGACGTAACACAATTGCGTTCTTTGCCTGCGACCGCATTCGATACTGTGGATTGGGGGGGTTTTCTACCTCATTTTTCTTGATTCTTGAGTGCCTATTTCTGTATCCAATAGTCCAGACTGCAATCCAACAATAACAGATTCTTAACTTCTGAATATATCTCAAATGTTTATTTTGATTCAAACAATTGAATGTATCAAGAATGTTCAAATCATACCAATTATTGAATATATCTGACATAATGAATAACTTAAAATGGTTCAATTATTTTCAGAGATCAAAAATCTTTTGAATATTGGATTTTCTCCCTAACTTTATTTCTTCGAAACTTAATGATTCTAATGAAAATAACTTCAGTATTGCTGAATTAGAAATTACTACTCGAGTAAGTCTATCGGTTTCTAATAGTTCCGTTTATAATTAATTATATGCGACATTTTATAGATTTAATAATACTAGTAACAGTACTAGTAATATAAAATCCATTAATAAATAATAATTTGTATACAGAAAAATGCAACTTGAATGCACCTCACTAGAGTGAGGCGTAGAGTGAGGCGTATAGCGAATATATCATAAACTTCCTCCAATCACCGATTAATATCAATCCTAATAGTATTACCACCTTCAGTTATTGAGACTGAATGTGCTATCTCCGTGTAATTGACTAGAGCAAACCCAGAAATCGATTCCTTCAAGACCACCATCGGGTTTACTGTCATATAGTTTGAAAACGTCGGCACTAGTTCTTGAAATTGTGATTTCGTATCAGTACTACGTTATTCACCGTATCCACCGCAATAATCACACGATTCACACCTCCCATAAAAACCATATATTTGTCCGTATCAGAGATAATACCGATCATATTACCAAAAAGAAAAAATGATGTACAGGTATCTGAGGCGAAGTTAATATGATCTCATCTCTAGAAAAAATAGATGGCGACTAGACTAGACTAAGTGAGCAGTCAGTAGGCGCAACATGTGAAGAACCAGGGAAATTGGTGGGGAGATACCGGTACGTACCCACAAGAGTCGTTTCCGAGCGACCCAAGGTGCTGCACTATGGTTCCTGCGAGACTGGATTTAAAAGAGATGATGGGAGGTGGTTAGGTTGCTTGCTAGTATTGGAAGAGAAGAGGGAGATGTTGTTGAAGGAGGAGTTGGAGATAGTGGTGAGGTTGAAGTATGTAGTGGAAACTTGAGCGGGGGATAGATAGGTCTTGAAGAAATTGAGGGTGGATAGATATTGGGAATACGTTTTGAAGGTGGATGGATGAGTGGATGAATAACTTCAATGAGATTTTTGGGCTTTTGTATTATTATATTTTGCTTTATATATATATACACATTTATCAAACGCTTTTGACGGAAAAATTCAAACAACTTTATTGTAGACGAGAACCTCATTCTGGAAGTTGAAAAACACAAATAAAGGTTAATAATGATAATGGAACTACTCGAGTAGTAACTAGCGAACAAATAAAACTACTGATACTACCAATACTACCAAAACAGCATCTATCTATAAACCACAAACCATAAACCATAAACCATAAACCAATCAATAACTTCCGAATAAGCCCAACACAAAACTCCACTTCAATTTCTCAAGAATGAATGAATACCAATATCAAAAACGAAACTTCTTCCCCCCATCTAAACCTGCGACTCCAAAAGCACAACCCATTCCTGCGCCTCCTCAAAACCAATCATATCTAGCGGACCAAAAATGCCGAAATCGATTGTTTCAGTGTCGGGGTGATAGTTTAATTCTATATCGATTGATGGCTGTCATTGATGAAGTTGTTAGTTTGGGGCTTTAGTTGGGGGGGTTCTTTGAGGATGGATGGAAAGATGAGGATTTGGTCTTGGGTTGAAGAAGAGAGAGGAGATGATGGTTAATGGATGGGATGTTGTGAGAGGATGAAAGAGATAGAGAAAGAAAGAGAGATAGAAAAAAAAGAATATAAAACTTACCACATACGCCCCATGATCCTGCTTAATCTCCACCTCCCTATTTATCCTCGTATGAACCGCTCTCGCATAAGGTTCCCTATCCACCAGCGGTTCAAGAAGTCCTACCTTCTCTGATTCTTCTTGAGCGGGAGTCTCTGGAAAGGAAGCTGGAATCATCTGGCTCTGCGCTGCCTGCTTATCCTTCTCCACAACTTTCTCCTCATCCTTATCATTATCCTCGCCCGCTTTTCCGTCCTCTCCCCTATAAATATTAATCGTTCCGAAAACCCTCACCCCCGTCCACTCAAAGATTTCATCCAACCCCACACTTGCCACCCCCCCACCCCAAACTTCCCCAAATCCTTCTGCACACATCTAGCCAACTCCTCCACCGGCGTGTCACAATCCACACTCTCTTCCATAATTTTGATCGGTAACAAATTAAGCGTTGGAGCCAACATTGACGAAAGATCCGTGGAAAAAGGAAAGCGATTCGCAAGATACAGACCCACGATTGTATCTTCTCCATTTGTGTTTGCATAGAGAGAAGCGTCAGCATTCTTCTGTTGTTGCCGCCTTCTGATGAGTCTGGATGCCATGACGATCAATAAATGATCAATCGACACGCCCGCAGTCCGCGCAAGTGACTTGAGACGTTTTGCTGGTAAATCCGGAATAAAAACTTCGATTCGTTTTGGCCCTTCGTTTCCCTCTGTGACAGGTTGATATACAGAGGTGAGATTGTGCTCCGGAGAAAATCGGAAAAGCTTGTTGTTGTTACAAGCAGAACCGAGATACTCTATCCATTGTTCCTTCACGGATTGTTCATTCTTCTCTTGAATTGTTGTCGCCACAAATTTCTTCCATCTATTTTCAACACCCGCAGGCATGGACATCAACTTCGGATCTTCATAAAAGCCTATTAACTTCTCAATTAATAACGAGATGCTTATGCCGTCGTAGAGAGCGTGGTGAATAACCAGGTGCAGCGTAACGTATGGATTCAGATTATCTGACAATGTCCTCCTGCTAGTGACAAAAAGACGCACCGGTGGGTCTTCGAGGTGTCCTTGATCCAAGAATTCCATGAAATCCTCAACCATAGGTGGCTCCTTTCGATAGCTTATCTTATTTGTTGGATGTTGGTAAACGATCTGAGCAATGCTTGAATCTGTGTCTGAAATAATGAAACCAGTGCGTAGAATATCGTAATCAGATAGTAACTTAAACCACGCAAGATCGAGGCGATGTGCGTCAACGCTCTCACACAACTTAAATTTGAAGGTTGGATAGAAGAGACATCCTTGCGAGTTCTGCCAATGTTTAATCATATATTTTTGTCCTGCTGTTGCTGGCATGACGTATTTTATTTGACCCACAGAAGCTTGCAAACCATCAAGATAGGATTGGTTGATAGGCAGCATAGAATTAGCGATGATTGTTTCAACATCGATAGGAGCGTCTTTCTGTGGTTCTTGTTTCCCAAGTAGGTAATTGGCGATATCACGGATCGTGAGATATTTCATGATTTCCGAGGCAATAAGATGAATATTGTGCTTCTTGAGAAGTGCTGGAAGCTTGAGTACCGTAATTGAATCCAAACCCAACTGGAAGATCGTGGATTCTCTGAAAATATCCTCTTTGGGCAGACCTGAAAGGACAGAGATTGACTCCCGAAGCTTTAATTCGACGTTGGACCAATCTATACTCGGGGGAGTGACCTTTGATTGTTTCTGAGGGCGGGCAATGTCTCGAGGTTGAAATTTTGGAAATCCGCATATAGAGATTCCGTCGGGGTGTATCGTAAAAACCTGTTCTTGCTTATTCTTCATGATTCTTCCGAGGATCATGTCTAGAGTGTCGAGAATGTCTTTGCTCTGCTCCAGGTTTCTAGCCACAGATTTACAAGCCGATGTCCAGTAAAGAGAATCGGATACATCATCAATCTCCATTTCAACACAGATTGCGAACTCGACATCTGAAGAGCCATCACACGATGTATACAACGGAAATTCTTCCTTCTTGGGCCTAACACCTTGATATGTGAACAATGTATCGAACAGAGTGGTATCTTTCGTGGGATCATCTCGAGATCCAAGTCCATATGCTTGAGCTTTCTGGAGGGGGAAATGTTGAAACTGACGGGTTGCAACGCTCTTCTCTTGCATATCCTGAAGCATTTGATCCAGGGTTCCACGAAGAACCGATCGGATTGCCACAGTATTGAACAACGGGAAATTTACTTGGTCAGCTTCGGCTGTATCACGACAAGCAAGCACCGCACCAAATACAACATCGAGTTGACCCATGAGTTCTGCAAGAACGACAGCCCAGCATGTTTGACCGAGTGTTTGTAACGTAATATTCGAAGAGCGACAAAAGGTTTTGATTTCCCGTAATGAAAGCCCGGACACTTTTTCATGTCGATGAGTGGTGTGCTCGTGCGTTGGTGATAGTTCCTGTTTTGGAAATATTGAGGGTGGCGAATTCCAAAGTGTGGCCTTCCAGAAGTCTTTTGCTTCTTCCGTAACAGAATTGAAAACCTCTGCGAGGTACGGCATATAGCAAGGTCGCTCAGTAATTTCGTCGCCCCGGTACGCTTTGCCAATATCATTGTGTATCATTGGCAGTGATCCTCCATCGTAAAGTGCATGTGATATTGCCATAGATATGAACCGCATCTTTCCGCAATATACGAGACTTATCAGGAACAACTTCTCCTCCAACGATGCCCAAGAGTCTTTTAATCCGTTCTTCACAGTTTCTAAGAGATCTTCCACAGTCGTAAGTCCATTCCCTATTATCGGTGGCGAATCAGATAACTTTGGCCAATCTTTTTGGACAATTTGTGCGTAACTCAGGGGGGATTGCGGGTCTTGAACTGACACAAACGTAGTTCTTAAGATTGGCGACTTTTCAATAACACTATCCACAGCGCGCATCAACCTTGTCGCTTCGGTCGTTTTGTTTAGTTTAAAAACCTGGACAGTAAAATAGCGTTTGAATCTTGATTCAACCATTTCCTTCAACATGCTCTCCTGTAAAGGTGTAGCTGGCAAAATTCGTTCAATCTTGATTCCAGTGATGAGAGGCCTTAAACCCCTGTCAAGACGTTCACTGATCTTCATAAGGTTGTCGATAGATGGAGATATGACTTTTTTGGCTTCTGAAGGTCTTGCCTTTTCTAGAATTTTGGCGATGATCTGACATTTGATTATCTCGCTGACAGATAGTTCAATTCCATTCTTACGTAGTCGTGAGGATAGCTTGATTACATCAATGCTATCAAGTCCAAGTTCGAAAATAGATCTGGGCTCATGGGTATGTATCTTATCAACCTTAGCCAGGATTGCAACCTCACTACAAACAATGTCTTGTTGCTGAATTGTTAGGATTGAAAATACAAGCTGATACTGTGAGACAGAGGGAGGTGGTTCCAAACTTGACTTGACGCCCAAATTCTGCTGGTCGTCTGGTTCAATCTTTGGGACTATCGTCGGTCTGCTTTTGCCACTGAGAATAGATTGTATCGTGTAATCCATCTCATTGAGTAAATTCTTCGCTATGACTTCTGGAACAGCCGAAGTCTTGGCAGCAATTTTCAGCAAAAGCTTAGTACTATCGTGGTTCAAAGTAGCTTCGAGTGCTAATGGATACTACATAAAATTAGTTTGACTTGCTGTTCAGTAATGAAAACTTGAACTTACATCGGCAACATTAGTTTCAAAAGCATCAATCTCCCTCCCCAGACTATTCAAAAATCGTTCTTCGTTAACATCCGCACGTTGAAACGCAAAAAGGGTATCGAAAAGTTGTCCGCCAATTCCAGCTGGGCTCCATTTCCTGATGAGTTTCAAAGGAGTGTGCTGAAAGTCTTGCATCTTCATGTTGATACGATGACATTCCTTTATCAAAGAAGGCATTTGGGTGCCAGATTTGATGGGGAGATGGAAAGGCACAGTATTAAAAAGAGGTCCGACAACTTTCTCGACTCCTTCAAAATCCATTGCTCTACCGGACATGATGATTCCGACTGTATGTAAAGAGAATACCATTTGAAGAGTTGAGATCCATGCTGCTTGAATTGTAGCTTGCGGCGCAACATATAGAGCTTTTCGTGTACTCTCAAAGTCGTGTAGATCAATTAATTGTTTGAACACAAAGTTTCCCTCGTCTTCGTAGTGATGAGGTAACGAATGATGAGACCACGTTTTCAAATGAGATTTCCAAAAGGTTTCCTCTCCAGAGACTATTCCCAATGGTCCATGTGGCAGTGCGGAATGGAAAGCTGGCCCATATTGAATATTTTGTACATTATGGAATTCGTCGGAAAAATGATTCAATATCATACCTAGACTGTTTCCATCATAAATCCCATGGAAAATTTTCAAGATCAAGTCATGGTGATCTCCATATGCCGCAACCTCAAAAGACCACGGGCTCTTAAGAATGTCTGTTGTTCCTTTCCAGGCTCTTGATGCTGCTCCTTGTGGTGATGACACAGACTTGATAACCACTTGAGCAAAACCATCATTTGTCAAAACGAACTTGGTCCGCAGTATCTGAAGATGAGAAACGACACGATCCCACGCAGCAGCGAGCTGCTTCGGACAAACCCCCAATTTCAACCTGTACTGGAGTCTGTTGACATATAACTGGCCATCACTTTCAAGAAACTTGTAGATCATTCCTTCCTGGATAGGAGTACAAGGTGCAATGCTTTCGATCTGTTCGAATGCATTTCCGAGCTCCTTGCAAATAGCCAATGTATGCCTTTGTGAAAACCAAGAGATATTCAGTCTAGCTGCAGTTAAATGTGCATTCTCGTTGCCCTCATTTGGCTTTGCAATAAGGAGTGCTTCGATCAATCTCCCTATTGTGGAATTGCTTCTCACAGTGGCATTAGTGGCATTTCTATATCCCGAATCTCGTAAGGATTGAGAGAAAGTAATCATGGAAATGGAGTCGAGACCGAGTTGGAAAACATTCGAGCTTCGTGTCAAATCGGAAACCTCGACAGGAAACGCCTTGACAATAACTTCGAGGACTGACTTTTCTGGTGTCGTCCATCCCGCATGACTTTGCCCCGAGAGACTCAAATTAAAAAGGTGGTCCAACCTCATATTGTTGAATTTTGCTGCGAGCTGTTTAGAATCTGCTTTGTTATTTGCATTGAGTGGAAGTGCTTTAATGAGAATGAAGTGTGTAGGGATCATGTATCCCGGAAGTCGCGATTTGCAAGCATCTCTAATGAAGGGAACTACTCCACTATCATCCGGCTCATTCTTTCCTGAAATGACAAAGAAAGTGACTAGCTGCTCTTTGGCTTGAGTTGTGTGCTTTAAGACTAACGTGACTACTTCTTCGAGATCGTTTCTGCTCTTCTTGATGACCTCATTGATTTCACCGAGCTCTAGACGCTGTCCGCGAAGTTTGACTTGGTCATCAGCACGACCGAGAAAAAGGAAGGTACCATCGTGCAGGATGCGTACGAGATCTCCAGTACGATATACCCGCTCTTTAAAATTGCTAAGAGTTGGAAACTTTTCCGTTGTAAGTTCTGGGCGATTGAGATATCCTTTTCCAACAAGTTTTCCGGAGACACAAAGCTCACCAATAGCACCTCTTAAGACTGGCAACTCTGTGCCTGGTTTGAGAACGAATGATCCTACGTTATCAAATTGAGGGCCAATGTTGGAAGGTTTGCCATTCTTTGGTACTCGAGGATACATGGTCACACCAATGGTAGCTTCAGTTGGTCCATATCCATTGTAAATGCAAGCATGTTCGCCCCATACGTCAAGGATTTCTTGCTTGAGTTGCTCGCCACCAGTGATAAAAACGCCTTTACACAACGATGGGACATCATCTGGATGTAAGAGGCGGGCAAGACTTGGTGTTAGATCAATGTGCGTGATGCCTAGTTGTTGAATGGCGCCTGGGATATCCTCGAATATCAAGTCTCGAGGAGCTGAAGCTACACAGATTCCTACACTCCAACTCCAGAATTGTTCTAAAACACTAACATCAAAGTGGAAAGAAGCAAATTGTAGCCACTTGGAGTCTGTGGTCCAGTGACCATCAAACAATCTTTGAAATGCGAGCATTGCTTGAATAGCATTTTCGTGAGTGAGCAGACATCCTTTTGGCGTCCCGGTTGTTCCAGATGTGTAAAGACAATAAGAGATATCCTGGGGAGTGATTTCCCTCGAAAGTTGGGGTGCTTCAGATGCAAATTCATGAAGTATGGTCGGATCCGTGAGATCAATCATTTCCTCATCTACAAACGATCTCAGAGTCTGTGCCCGGTTTCCTGCTGTGATAATCAACTTCGCGGCAGAATCTCCCACGATGAACTTCAAGCGATCAGCAGGAGCATTGGGGTCTAATGCAACATAGCCACAGCCTGCTTTCATAATACCAATAATTGCAAATGATGCCTCAGCGCACTTGTCGAAACAAATAGCGATGATTTCGCCCGGGGAAATGCCACGTGTATGAAGCATCTGAGCGACCCTGTTGGCTTCTCCATCCAACTGTTCATATGTCCATTTCCGGCTCTGATAATTGCCTGGCTCGAGACAAGTCGCGAATTCCAACGCGACCTTATCTGGCCATGTTTTGGCACCTCTTTCAACGTACTGATGCAGAAGGGTTACAGAGTCGGGAAGGACAGGGTCCTGTGCAGGAGTTATGGAGAGTAGGTCTGTTCCGACTTCGGGCGCTATATTGCATGAACGATTTGGATTTTTGAGCGTATCGAGGAGTAACGCATCAAATTGTTTGACCATTAGCTCGGCATGTGCTGCGGGTATAATATCTTCTCTGAAAGATAATCGAATTATGACTTCACCTGACGGTGAAGGTTGAACTTCAAGAGAGACGACATAGTCCACGGTAGCGTCTTCATCGACGATATTCCATGGCGGCCTCAATACATCCTTGTCATCGGACAATTTCTGGTACGCGAATAAAGTATCAAATATCCTTCCCTCGGGATATCCAGACCATTTTTGAATTGATGTCAGCGGTGTGAATTGATGCTTGTGAAGTTGAGCGTTAGATAACATGGTTCTAGATAACAACTCGCCATTACTTCCTGTCACGTTACAGTTGACCGGGAGTGTAACGATTGTCGGAAAAGTGACCATGTTGGCATCATCACAAACAGATCGACCTGAAAGTGTCATGCCGAAAGTCGTTACATTCTCTCCGGTGTATGACATCAACAACCTCGCCCAAGATGCTTGTCCAGCTGCCTGCATGGTAACTCCAAGGTCTCGACATCTGTTTTCGAGCTCTTTTATCGATGCCAAAGACTTGACTTCGCGAATTGCATTGCTAAGTGTTGTGACACGCAGTGGGGTTAAATCAGGAAATTTGTTGACGACGACCCGATTCTCAGGCTGTTCCCAAAACACCCGTTTTTCATCTTGATCGCCCTTAGTTGCTTGAAGCACTGAGCTTAGGAGTTTGTTGATGCTAGGGCGGCTGAGCACTGCTTGACAATGAAATAACTTCGTAAAATCCGAGAAGATCATCTGCATAGATTGAGCATCGTACAAAGCATGATGTGCAGTGAATATGAGCAGAGTTTTATTCTCCTTTTGATCTACTGTAATGCTCCATGGATTCCTAAGACGATTAATATCCTCCGAAGGTGTATGTTCCCGGCTTTCAAACCATGGGAGCACAAAGGATTCATTTGTGGATGTAATCATTACAAATGGATATTCTGGATCTTTGGTCTGGGCAAAAGTGGTCCGAAGCATCTCATGAGCTTTACAAACTTTAATCCAAGCATCCTTGACTCCTGTCATTGAGTGGTCTGGTAAAATTTCGAGGGACATGCTGTTGATATATTCATGTCCGTTAGAATGCAAACTTTGAGCAAGCATCCCTTGTTGTACAGCTGTACAAGGTCTGATTGCTTCAACATTTACATTCAAAAGTGCATTTTCGGAACAAATTGAGTCGCGATATTTTTGGTCAAAAGCGGCAAAATCAAATTGAATGATCTCCTTGCTCTTGAAAGCTCGACTTTGCTCAAGATGAGAAGCCACTTGAGCAATAGTAGGATGTTGAAGGATATCGCTAGCAAGAACATTGTGTCCTTGAGCTCTCAGGCGAGACGCAACCTGAACAGTACTGATGCTGTCGAGACCCAATCTGAAAATGCTTACACCTCGACCGATCTTTTCCAAAGGAACATCTGTGAATCCCGCAATAACATCTCGAACCTCTAATTCCACTCCCGTCATCACTTTGTCTTGACAGTCTGACTTTGTAAGATCTCGTCTTTTCTTTTCTCTTGCCTCACTTATAGCCATGATTTGCGACCTTGTGGAGGATGAGATGATTTGACGTCGTGGATTTTCCAAAGCCTTTTCGAGTATATTCTCGAATATTTTGATTATGTTATATGCGTCGTTCTCTGAAAGTATTGAAGTAGATGAATGAAAAATAATTTGAAGGGTATCATTGCTGGGTTTGGGTATAATTTCGCAAACAAGAGGGAAATCCATGGCGCCGTTATCTTCTACAATGGACCATATGGAAGAGTCGAGTTCCTCTGAAGGTTGTTGTAAAATGAAAAGGGTATCAAAAAGGCGGGAGCCATCTGGACTGAATTTAGACTGGAGCCGTCTTAAAGGAGTGAACTGAAATGGTAAAGAATCGGCATTCGCATTTTGTAACTTTCTGAAAGCCTCAAGATAAGTAGATTTATGGAGATCCCCTAGTCGACTTGGGATAGTATTGAAGCAAGGCGCGACTAGTCTCTCTATACCATCGACCGGAGCTGTGCGACCACTGACAACATTGCCAAAGCAAACATCTGTAGTTTTGAACAGCTCAGACAGCGTACTAGCCCAAATTGTATGGAACGCGGCTAGAGGTGTAGTACTATGCTTTTTGATTTTGCTTTCAATTTCGCTGAGAGGAGTCTTTGCTACCACTTGCTGAATACGAGTGCTACTCCTCTGGACTTCATTGGTCTTCTCCGAGACATTTTCGAAGTGGAGTGGGTAGTATCCTTGTAGAGTAGATTCCCAGAATTTATCGGAAGATTCGACGTCCACAGATTTCATGTGCTGTAGAAATGGGGTAAACGAAACTTGGTGCGGCAAAGGCATTTCATGATACAACTTCTCAACTTCATCATAAAGAACTGCTAGCGCAACGCCGTCGTAGAGAGCATGGTGCATCGAGACTAAAAGAAGCTGCTCGCCATCTGAGTAAAGAACGTTGATACTGTACGGTGGAGTACTTTCGTTGCGTGTTGAGTGTATCTCCATCTCAACGATGGCATCTTTCAAGGTACTAGAATCGAGAGAGCCAAATTCGAGCTTGAAGTCTTCTAACACGACTTGAACGTAAGGGAACTTTTGCATGTCCGTACTAATAAAGCAGGTTCGCAAAATTTCATGTCTATGAACCATTTCTTGCCAACAGCCATGAAGCCTCTCGAGGTCACCAAAGATATTGAACATCACATGGTTGCTATATGAAGCACCTGAGGAAGACTCGGCCGCTGACAGCATAGCTTCTTGCAATGGCGTACAAGGTGTGACCTTCTTTGCGATTCTACCTATCTTGGTAAACTGGGCAATAGTCGACTTTGAAAACTTTTCAGTGAGTTCAAAGCTCGAATCAACCGACATTGTGTGACCTTCTTCGATAATTTGAGATATTGATAAGTGTTCTGCAAGCCTGACTACAGAAGTGTATTTCAGAATGTCAGAAATATTGACTTGCTTGGTGATTGCTTGATTGAGCTTCCTTGCGAATGCGATTGCTGAAATTGAATCAATACCAAAGCTAAAGAAGGACGTATCTGGTTCAATATCTTCTATCGATGTCTTTGAAATCTCGCCCAAGATAGCGCGTATTTCAAGCTCTAATTCTTTCCACTGATGGTCTTTGGAAGACTTTGACGCTCTAGTGGTCGAGTCAAGATATTTCAACTCGAAGTTCTCATACAAGCTAATCAATCGACGCTTATCAATCTTGCCTTGCGATGTTGATGGAAGGTTCGAGATGGGTACCAGATTTGAAGGCACCATATAGTTTGGGAGCTTCGCCTCAAGTCTTTGGTAAAGATCGCTGACAATGGAAGGGTCGACAACAAGAGGAAGAAGATCTTCGGAGGCATTGAACTTGGACGTAAAAAAGCATACTAAGCGCTGCGAACTACCTTTGATATTGATGACCATTGTCACACAATCCTTAACTTCTGGTGATGAGATCAAAACATTATTAATCTCCCCAAGTTCAACGCGCTGACCCCTAATCTTTACTTGATCATCTTTTCGACCCGTGAAAACAAGAGATCCATCAGGCATCAGACGTCCAAAGTCTCCGCTCTTATATAGACGCCCGTATTTGGGATTATCAATGATCTTGCCCTCTTCCTGAGTTCTGTTCATATACCCACGGAAGATCTGAGAACCGCCAAAGCAAAATTCTCCTTCGCCACCTCTTGGAACCAAAGAGAACTCCGTGTTGGGCGCAAGTACAAAGGCTGAAGTGTTCTTGAAAGGTCGGCCAATGTTATGAATGTTATCGTCCGAGGTGACTTGTGGCTTAACAGTGCAAATATTAGTCGTTTCACTCGGTCCATATCCTTGATAGAGTCCACGATTAGCCCATGCATTGAACACCTTTTGTGTCACAGCTTCGCCAGCGGTCACCAAAAACTCCACCTTTGGGACATTCTGAGGGTTGATGAGAGCAGCAACCGTGGGTGTCAAGCTGAGATGGGTTACGCGCAGAACTCGAATTGCAAGTTCTAAATCTCGAAACAAGACATCTTTTACGGCAAAGCAGAGACATCCGCCAATCCTCCATGTAAAGAATATCTCAAATACAGACACATCAAAAGCCTGAGAGCATGATTGGAGAAGTTTAGAATCCCTGGTTGCCGGATAGATCTCCACTAAGACGTCAAGATTGCTCAAAAGATTTCCCTGTGTGACAAGTACTCCCTTTGGAGTCCCAGTGCTGCCTGAAGTAAAGACACAATATGAGATGTTCTCCGGCTTAAAGGCAGTAATCAGATCTTTTCTAGAATGTTGCTCTAGGTCAATCTCGTCGAGGTAGACAATTTCTTGCTCTGCAAACTTCTCCAAAAGTAGTCGTGAGGAAGAATGCCCAATCAACATCTTAACCTTGCCTTCGCTCAGAATATGCTGTAACCGGTCTTGTGGAATATCTGGTGTTACCGGGAGATAACCCGCACCGAGTTTCGAAGTTGCCAAAATTGAGGTGTAAAATTCAAGACTTTTTTCGAGACATATGCAAATAATATCATTTGGGAAAACGCCGTGATGAGAAAGATAATGCCCTAATTGATTTGCACGAGCATTGAGAGAACCGTAGCTCATGTATTGGATGTCGGAATTTTCCTCATCAATTCTGGTGGCAAATGCGATCGCTGCACGATCAGGATCCTCTTTTGCGATTCGTTCCACTGGGGATATCAATGTCTCGAATCCAAGAGCTATGCTAGGTGTAGGATTTTCTACAGAGAGAAGTCCAACATTACTCTCATTGAAAACATTGTTGGGTGATTTTTCTGCATGGTCAATGATTGCTTTTGTTGTTTCTTCGAGTTGACGCAAAAGCATGTCTATTTGGGATTCTGGGAACACCGACTGTTGATAGTTTGCCTTGAAGTGGATGGTATTAGAAGTAGGTGTTACCTCGAGAGTTAGATTAAACTCAAGTTGGTCAACCTGATCAACAAGTAAGACATTTTTTCGTCTGTGATCATAACTATGGAGAGTCTGTTGCCATATCAGGAGTGTGTCGAATAATTGCTGGCGTGGCTCGAAATCACTGACCGATTTGATATCGCGAAGTGGGAGGGTGCTATACTCGAGGTGTTTCCTATTCGTGCTGTTTAATTCTTCTACCAGATCCTGTAGGTTAGTAGCTACGGATGTATCTATGCGAATTGGTAAGGTAGCAAGACATGGCCCAATGATATCCTCTATTCCGGCAATAGGGAGGGTTCTGCCGGAAAAAACAGTACCAAAACAAATATCTGATGTTCCCAAGTAAGAGGCCAGAATAAGAGCGTATGCAGCTTGGAATATAGCCTGTGGACTCGAAGCCATGCGTTTTGCGGCCAATTCAATACTCAATGTTGAAAGTTGAGTTGAATAATTCGCAACAGCCAATCCAGCCGATTCAACCTTTTCTGTATGAAAATACGGTATATGCCTAAGTTCGAGATGTGCCATGTGATCTTTCCAGTAATCTTTAGAAGCTTGAGAATCAGAAGAAAGCCTGCCGTCAATATACCCGCTTACAACTTCTGCGAATGGCGGACGTGAAACTGGAGTTTCATCTCGCAACAAACAATCCAAATCATCGAGAAGAAGATCCAAGGACCAGGCGTCATAAAGAGCGTGATGGATATGTATCAATAGTTTCAGGCAGGGTTTTGTTTGGCAGATCTTGAAGCATACAGGACGATGAAGTGACCCAATTTCAGAAACATCGAAATCATGGGTAAAGGCGTCCACGGTCTCAATATGTGAGTCTGGAAACGTCTTCCAAACAAATTGTATATATCCACTACTATCGGAGGACTCTGCGAAACCAGTCCTCAAAACTGAATTGTGATCGGCCAGATCATGTAACTTTGTACAGAGGTAGTCGATATCGTTGACTCCAAATATATCCAATTCAACCCAATTTTGGTAAGCTCTCCGATCAATAGCAGTCTCTGCAAGCATTGCATTTTGAAGCGGGGTACATGGGTAAGAGATCTCGATATCATTTGCATCGCCATTCATCATAGCATGCATATCCGATTTGATAATTGCCGTCTTCATCGTGGCCGAACTTGGAGCCTGGGGGCAATTTTCGCAAATCTTCACAAGGGAGCTTAGAGTTTCCGCTTGTAAGACTGCTAAAGTGGTAACGTTAAACCCTCGTGATCGGAGATCTCTAGATACCTTGATAGAAACAAGCGAATCAAGGCCCACTGCTGCCAAGCGCATATTCGAGGGGAACGAACCAAGCATCTCGTGGAGCACCTCTCTCACGGCTACTTCAATTTGGGTGAAATTAGTGAGCTCATCCCCTCCTTCACGTTGTTGCTGGTAGGTTGCTTCCAAACTTCTCTTATCTACCTTTCCAGACGGTAAATAGGGAAACTCTCGCAGAAGAATAATTTCGCTAGGTACCATGAAGTTCGGAAGCCACTGTGAGCAAGTTCTCAGTACTTGATCTGGATGCATTGCATCTCCATTTGTGAGCGCGAAAACAATGAGTACCCCGCTTAGCACGACCGCTACCACAGTCTTAATGCCTGAATGTTTGTACACCGCATCTTCTATCTCGCCAAGTTCCACGCGCTGGCCTCTCAGCTTAACTTGTCCACCGCTCATGCGACCATGAATTTCTATACTTCCATCTTCAAGGATTCGACCTTTATCGCCAGTCCTGTAATAGCTTTTGTCTCCCACGGTGACAAATGCAGCCTTGTTCTGCTCTTCTCTATTGAGATAACCATTTGCTAGTTGCGGACCACCCAATATAAGCTCTCCAAGCTCGCCTTGGGGAAGAAATCGAAGATCCTGTTCTTTCCCAGAGCCAGGAGCCGCTTCCGCTATGAACGCAGACACTGTCTCAAAGGGCACACCAATATTTCCAGGTTTAGCATTTGCTTTCATTTTTGGATGGATGGTGCAATGAATGGCTGCTTCGGTGGGCCCATACATTCCATAAAGAAGGCTTTCTTTTGTATCGGACCCGCCAAATTCCTCCACGATTGGTCTCGTCAGCATTTCTCCGATCGTCATTAGCAGTCTTAGCTTAGGAACATAGGCTCTTTTCTGCAACAGAGCACCCACAACGGTTGGAGTGAGTTCGGCAGCATCTATCTCTAACTCGTTAATCATGCCTGGTAGATCGTTGAGAAGCTGACTACGATCACATCCAACCAGTGTTTGACCTCTAGTCAGAGGGAAGAAAATCTCGAATACAGAAACATCGAAAGATGGTGCCGCGAACTGAAGAAATCGTTCAAATTTGGGAATAAGACTCTCGTGTGCCAAGAAAGATTGTGATGCAGCTAAATGACTGACTGCCACTCCTTTAGGGGTTCCGCTCGAGCCAGAAGTGTACATAACATATGCAAGATCATTGCTGATTGGTTCACGTGATTCGTTGGTATCCTCCAGCTCTGTTGGAATCGCAGGAAACTCATCAACGACGATGATACTGGGGCCATCTTCCCAGGAAACAGACTCTCGGAATTCTGATGTCGTGATTATAATACTCGCAGAAATGTCGCCTACGACAAATCTTATTCTGTCCTTCGGTGCATCGAGGTTGATAGGACAAAAAGCCCCTCCTGACTGCAAGATAGCGAGTTGAGAGATATATAGCCCAGGAGATTGTGGCAGCAATATCGGCACGATGTGCTGCTGTTGGGATGGGTGATGGCTTCTGAGCGCTGATTGAATTCGGGTAACAAGAGATGTCACACAAGCTTGTATATCTTGGTAACGATACCTTTCTCGTTTGTCGTGACTAGTGAAGTCGATTGCACAAGAATCTTTGTGTTCATCCCATCGGATCAAATCATGTAAACATTGTGACCCGGACAAAAGCCTTGGCGGATCATTCAAACTCGAAATCTTGGTATCCATCATAGATCATGCAGGTCGATCCTCATAATCTGGATCACAGTAAGTGCATATGGTCGTTTATATGTCCTGTTGATGCATGAAATTATTTCGGAGTTCACTGCTGTGTATTTGTATTTTTGTCATGCCCAGCGTTGATGGTATTGTCAAAGTATTTAAGTAGCTATGATGAGTTCTTGGTTTATTCCCGTGAGCTGAATTAAACCTACTACAGCAAGTGGAAAGGTCATTAGTGCTAGGATTGAATTAGTCATAGAGCAAGAGATGTGAATGATGACCTTTAGAGAAGGAAGGATTGGTTGATTAATTTGATTTTGGGTGGTGCTTTGTATCACGATGAACGGAGATAAAAAGCTGAAAGTGGGTGTGGGTATATTTGCACTCCGCGTGTAAAATGGCCAGTTGGTGATAGGAACAAGACAAAAGGTATATAAAAGTACCTAGCTAGTAGGTAGTAGGTATTAGGTAGGTAAGGCGACGCGAAAGACGTGCCATCAAGTGTTACATTATGACCTGGGTAGGTATATTGTTAAGGAGATTCAAAGGCGTTATTATTTGTTCCGTGAAGTTGCTTGGCGGATTGATGGATTTGGAATGTTGTCATTCGCGCTGCAGGCGAGATATCACGTTTTGCAAATATTTCTTGATTTTCATTTGATAGTTACACTCCTTGTCAATATACCCTATAAAACTATTCTACTGATGATCATATGTTAGACATATATAATAATAGACATAGCACTAGTAGATTTGTAGTTATTTAGTATGTTCTTCGGGTTTATCACGTGACCATATATTTTCCAAGCTTATTGTTATTGCTGGTTCACCCAAAGTCATGAAAGCTAGAGTCGTCCCCTCACCTCCTAACCACAAATTCTGAGTACTTTTACTTTCGACATATTCAACGACTCGGCCCCTTGAAATTCACAAGCCCTCTGCAATGATATGATTTCTACTTGAAACCACATTCCCGTGGAAATGCCGGTCGCCTAGAATTGAAGAGAGTGGAGTTTTTCTCAGCTAATAATGCAATACCCATGTCAGCGGCGGCCGGTCATACTCACTGTCTCACTGCTGCAGAATGCGCAAACAAGGATTCAATAAGTGGGGGTTCTTTGATCCTGGCTGCATGCTCAAGCTTTTAATCTTATCAGATGAAAAGTTTTCATCTAATCTGATCCGCACAACCGATCTTCGGAGCAAACAGCCCAACGTCACCAAATACATAATATGTTAATATACGATTGTAGATCTTACCTGACAATTTCACCAGTGGCCACTACCTATCTCAAGAGTCGCCTTTGATAATGGAAGACGACATCCGCAGTGCTGACGCCACGGCAAGTCTCGTTACGTTCCATTTGCTGGGGAAAGCCGAGAATTTCGCACCGTCAACATCTTAGCCAAAGCTTAAGAGGAGCCATTCACAAGCCCTCGGATGAGATGAAACCCGCATTTTCATCGTAAGTTCCCTGCTAAAATCAATGGAATGTCACCAAATTTATCAAATACTCAAAAAATGGGATGTCACTGAGTATATCAAATCACTATCAGTCTTGGGCTTCAAAAAACACTACGATGACGCTGAGATTCTACACCATTCTGATGCCGCGCTATGGCACATTCTATTTCTTGCTTGTCTATGAATCAACCACTGCCACAGTGCCAATTGAATCAACTATCTAGCTATCATGAAGACCTATTTGATTTGTGGACTCGCCGCCTGGAGGGCATCTTTTCCCCTGGCAGTATTAAGCTTAAAAGATAATTTGAAGGTTTGCACTGCCGATGCGAGTAATCTTTCTCCATACTGCACTCCCATTTCTTACTATATTAGGACTGTTTTAGCGTCGAAGGTAGTTCCCTCACTTCATCGATCAACTTTGTTGTATCGTCATAAGTAGGAAATTTTTCTGTCAGTTGGCGTTGTTGGTGTTCACGTCAATCAATTTATTCGACCATCATACCTCTTGTGAAATTCAGTCTCTCAATATGGAGAATAGGAGATGAGTTCCAGATTATAAAATCTACGGCGTACCCAAGGGAAACAAGGACAGCCTCAACTCAGGGATAATTACTCGAGTAGTATACGACACTCGCTTCAGACTTCGGCCGCTGCAAATTCGACCTGGTTTAGGATACAACCTGCATAAACCATTCTTAAATGATGGAGACTATGTCGCAGAACATAGAGCATGGAGAAAACACCAAACCCGTCAAGCGATCGTGGATCTCACTCGTTCCGAGAGGACCTGGATCCTCTTATATTGCGCTCTTCAGACCTTTGGAGGACTTCCAGTCTCGCTTCATCTTATTTTGCGGAGTAGTGTTTGCGATTGCTGCTGGCGCACGTCAGTATACCTTCGTTATCTGTATAATCTCATTCTAATTGCACGTTACCATATTACAGCTCTTCCTATAATTGGTATCATATTTGCTCGCATCATTGATGTTTTCCCGCCCTCTGAGGAAGAAGTTGAAGCCCGAGTCTATCAATTGGTTGCTGTTGGTTAGGATTCATATCTTTCAAGGGTCGAGAAGCAAGTGCTAACCATGCAGCTTGTGCATATTTCATAGTGACATGGGGCTGGGCATTTTGCTGGGGCATTGTCGGTGCGAGAGTATCGCGAGGCTTACGGATACAGATGGTCGATAGAGCCTTGGGGCTGGATCAGACATATTATGAGACTCAATGTCCTGATGTAAGACCTAATCATCAGTGACAGGATTAAAGTTAATTATAAACAGATTACCAGTCGTCTGACTGCGGACGCCCAAATGGTTCAGGCCGGTACCGCTGAAAAGGTAGGCCTTTTTCTACAATCGTGCAGTTATTTTGTTGTGGCCTTTATAGTAGGATTCATACTCAACGCTCGTCTCACCGGAATTCTTTTCGCTGCAGTCATTCCTTCTATGGCACTGGTCGTTGTCGTCGGTACCTCCACGTTAAGCAAATACGCCAAGGCAGCTGCAGAAAGTAACACAATCGCAAACTCGATTGCCGAGGGGGCCGTGAAGGCTGTACAAGTAGTTCAAGCTTTTGATGCTTTTGAAGCTTTGACAAATTCTCACCATGCCAATCTAATTGAGGCGATGGGATATGGTGCGAAGAAAGCTATAACGGGCGCACTCATGCTTGGCAGTGTGTTCTTCATTGCGTACGTTATGCCAATTTGTACGTTTGTTTCCCGATGCTGACAATACAAAGATTTTCTGCGAATGCCTTGGCCTTTTGGCAGGGCTCCAAAATAATCGACTCACAATCATCGACTGGCAGTGCCGGCACGGTCTATGCCATCGTGTTCCTGATCCTTGACGCGTCATTTGTGATCGGGGCAGCAGGGCCATTTGTTCAATCTTTCGCTCATGCGGCTTCCGCCGGGCAACGAATATTTGATCTTATTGATTATCCCAGCATACCAATCGATATATACTCTGAGGATGGAATTAGTTGTGACAGCAAGATATTGGAGGTGAGAGGTAGTATCATCTTCGAAGATGTGAGCTTTTCTTATCCGGCGCGCCCACTGGAAACAGTTCTGGATTCAGTCAATATCGAAATTGAGACTGGAACTTCTGTAGGTATTGTAGGTGCATCTGGAAGTGGCAAATCAACCATCACTGCACTTTTGTTCAGATTGTATGACCCATCACAGGGGTCTGTGCGGATTAATGGACGTACGATACCTGAACATCACTTAGCCAGTGTCCGTGAGAGAATGGCTTTAGTTGATCAGGATCCAGCTGTCTTTTCGGGAACTATATATCATAACATCAAACATGGCTACAGAGGAGTTTTGTTGGAAGATGAGGAGATGAGAGAGAAGTGTATAGAGGCCGCGAAATCTTCTGATGCCTGGCAATTCATTGAATCGCTGCCACATGGGCTGGATACATGGCTCGGCGAGCCATCTGGTACGAGACTTTCGGGTGGACAGAAACAGCGGCTATGCTTGGCCAGAGCTTTAGTTGGTGATCCCCCTCTATTGATACTAGATGAGGCTACAAGTGCACTTGACACAATCAGCGAAGCGGCCATCTTGAGCTCTCTTGCAAAATCACGGTCCTCGAGCAATCGAACCACCATCATGGTCGCCCATCGTCTTGCGTCAGTAAAAGCTGCTGATGACATCATTGTTATGGGCAAAGGTCGGGTTCTGGAACAAGGAAATCACGATTTACTCATGTCAATACCTGATGGCGCTTATCGTCAACTGATTGAAGCGCAAAAGTTAAGTGCTGCCGAGGGAAGTTTTCGCGTTGAATCACTTGAATCACTTGAGTCGCTTGAGTCAATTGATGAACTCCCAACACTAGAAAAGCTATCCACCTCATCTGATAATGTTCTAGATGGTGATGACGTTATTACACAAGATTCGACCAAACAGAGCGACACTCGGTCTCCAAAGACTTTAGGAGCTTTATCCATTATCCGACGCTGCCTCTATTCAACAAAATCTAAGATTCTCTTTACTTTATTTGCATTCGTAGCTTGCGTCGCAACAGGAGGCTTAGTCCTTGGCGAATCGATTATCTTCGGAAACTTGGTGCCTTTACTCAATGGTGCTGCGTCCTCTTCCCGAGTAGATTTCTTTTGCTTAATGTTCTTCGTTGTTGCAATCATTGCTCTTGTTGGTTATACAACGTCTGGTTCCTGCTTTGGAATTGTTTCGGAAACTTTGATCATGAGAACTCGAGATCTCTCGCTTCGAACCATATTACGACAAGACATGGAATGGTTTCTAGCGCCTGGAAGATCTACTTCCTCTCTTATCTCTGTCATGAACATGGATTCGGGTCATCTGAGCGGACTTTCGGGAGTGATCATTGGTACCGTTATATCCGGACTTGTCTCGGTCATTGGTGGGGCTATTTTGGCACATGTGGTGGCTTGGAAAATTGCCATCGTCCTCTTCAGTACATCGCCAGTAATTCTGCTTGCGGGATACTTCAGAATACGTGTGTTAGCTCATATCGAAGAAAGGAACCAAGCAGCCTACATTGATGCTTCCACATTTGCAACCGAGGCTTTGGGGGCAATCCGTACTATAGCTGCGCTGGGAATTGAACGGAAAACTTTAATGAAATTCCAAGCCGCAGTCAATAAACATCGAGAGCAGACCTTTAAAAACACAGCGCTTGGGAATTTACTTCTTGCGTTTGCGCTCTCTATCACGTAAGCATTCAATCCATATGGTGAAGTACATTATTGACCATCTCCCAGATATTTTATATATGCTCTCGCCTATTGGTGGGGAGCTAAGCAAGTGAGAGAGGGATATTATTCCACTCGTCAATTTTTCATTGTTCTTCCTGCTATCCTGTTCTCCGCTCAAGCTGTAGGACAATTATTCAGTTTGGCACCGGACATTGGCAGGGCAAAGGGTGCTGCCTCTCGGGTTTTTCAATTGCATGATGAGAAACCAACTATTGACCTTGCCGATGGTTCCTCTCCCGCGGCCATTCCCCCCGATAGAACATTGACTGACGATTCGGACTTTTCTTCGGGTACAATTGAATTTCGAAATGTTGATCTGGCCTACAAATCTCGTGCCGATACGCCAATATTTACCAATCTAAATTTTACCGTGAAAGCCGGCGAGACAGTTGCTTTGGTGGGAAAATCAGGAGCTGGCAAAACATCAACAATCTCATTGATAGAGAGGTTTTACGATCCCACATCTGGAGCTATTCTACTTGACGGGATAGATATCAGGACAGTACCCGTGTCCCAACATCGAGCTCGACTTAGTCTGGTAGCTCAGGACCCGGATCTATTTTCGGGCAGCGTAGCGTTCAATGTCGGGCTTGGGGCTCGACCAGGTCACACTGCGACATTGGAGGAAATCATACATGCTTGTAAAGCAGTCGGGATCCATGATTTTGTCAACGGGTTACCTGATGGCTATGAAACGTACGTATCATCAATCTTATTCGAAGATTGTAAATTAGTTTAGCTAATAATCTCTAGACAATGCGGTGTAAATGGATCTCAGCTTTCAGGGGGACAAAAACAACGCGTTGCAATTGCTCGAGCATACATTCGTGACCCAGAAATTTTACTCCTGGATGAAGCTACCTCGGCTCTTGGTCAGAAGCCCTTTTCTCCAAGCCAAGATATCAAAAACTGACATGAAATGAAATATAGACTCACATTCCGAGGCTCAAATCCAAGAAGCTATCTCAGCCGTTTCTCGTAAGAGAACCACGATTATGATTGCTCATCGTCTTGCTAGTGTGCAAAATGCAGATCGTATTTTGGTTTTTGATAAGGGGAAGATTGTGGAGGAGGGGAAACATGGGGATTTGATGGGTGGTGGTGGGATTTATGAAGAGATGATTAGAGCTCAGGATTTGGGTTGATGGATGCGAATGAATTCTTGATGTTGTTTTGTTAGGTTGATGTATACATGATATGGGACGAGCATTCTACATTCATCTGTATTGTATCTGTACTTGTATAATACGATACTAAATACAGTACGATTCATAAACCATGGATAGATAGGTAGGAATTACTTAGTAACGCCGTGTGACGGACGGAACACAGCGTGAATCAAGGAATGGATATATAACTAACTAGATGATAACTTTTATTTTGTATAACTCTCCCTCCATTTGCTTAAAGAGAAGGGAAGAAGGAAATGATGAAACATATCAAGATGTTTTCAATGGGAACCTTGGGATACATATACATATTTACTCGAGTACATATATCAACCACAAAATCATGAGCGAATACCGGTACCGGTTACGAGTCGAGTATGATTCATAATCTCGTGTTACTGTGACTACTATATATTCAGTGCACTAACCATTACATTCATTCTACGAGTATACAAATCACAAATGTTTATGATAAGCAAGTACATAATAAGCAGTAATATTTTGGTCCATACAGTGTAGTACAGTACAGTACAGTATCGGTATCGGTATAGGTATTTCAAAATCAACTCACTTACTCAATAGATGGAATGATTTATGTATTATTTACTATATCCACTTTTCTATCTCATCTGCTTTGTCTGTCCTATCTTATTCTATCTTTTTCTTTTGGTTATTTCTTTTGGCTACAGTATGTATTGGATTTTATGTGCTCTACTCTACTCGAGTCTTGAGTACTGAGTAGAGAGAGGTCTACTGAATCTATTTCTACTTCTACGCCGGTATCGAGATCAATGAGTAGAATTTTTCTTTACGTAGTAGTGATCCCCGTCAACCCCACTCCAGTCCAATTTTCCAGCCATTAATAATTTTTATTGAAGTTACGAATCCCATGTCTAGTCGAGAACTCGAGACTCGAGCCTAACCCAGCCCGCATTATATCCATCCATAGCATCATAACATCCAGTCCATGTGGCATGTAGTAAGTGTCTCCACTCCCGACATCGGTGCACCGCATTTCATAACACATCTCGTTATCAGATCCTCCTTAACTTTTTCACCCAGGGGGGGTTTAACACCAGTTAGAACTTAGAGGGGAGAAGAGTGGGGGGGAAGGGGGGTGAAAATTTCTTTTTATCAGATGGAAAAGATAATCGTAATCCCTGACATTTCTTTCTTCCCTGCCCCGAGTAAAATTGTAAAATTGTTAAGCTTTTTTTTGTAGCTGGTAGGCATCAAATGTGCAGATCACCGTGACTAGTTTGGAATAGGCATGTCCGAGGTTGTGTGTTTCTTTTCTCTGTGTCTAATCGAGAATTGAGATTTGAGATTTGAGATTGAAATCACGAAGATTTTCCCGCCTATGGAATGAATTGGGTGTAGAAGAAAGAGGTACAGTACTGAGTATACATGTTAGTCTCAAGGAGAAAGGGAAATGTACGGTAGGTAGGTATAGCTCCCTAGCTACTCCCTACCCCCTGCTCCGCATTTATCCGTCGTCCCGTACAAATTTCGGGTCGGATCTGATAATTTGTCTTGGCGAGGAAGTGGGTTTAGGTGTATGCTATTTTCTAAGGTGTTGTATAGAGATATTTACCAGTTGGTGCCAGTGAGGTTAGTATGTTTGATTGTTTGTGAATAGTTAGCTAGCTGTTTAGTTATATATTAAGAAATAGCCATAGAATATACGACTAGATACAACCAATGCAACGCAATATTGAAATAGGAAACACATCTCCCGGGTCACATTCAAGTAATCTCATACCGGTCGGTAAACTCAGTCCTCAGTCCATTCACCCACTATCCTTACAAGTTACAAGTTACAAGTTATAACATCATCCTCATCAACCCTCATCCATCCATCAACATCCATGAATTATCCTTTAGCCGCCCCATAAAAAAGCATCAAAAGCATAACAAATACCCAAAAAGTTCACATCTGGAATCCAAAAAATATATATACTAACCAGTCATCATATCTTGGCATACATATTGAATTATTATTTCGAGATTCTATTACACAATTTATTTTCGGGAACCATATTTACAATTTATTCTTTTTTACTCAAGGGGTTCAAGGGGATGGATGGGACTTACTTATATCTTGTATAGGACTGCTTCTGGATTTTTCGGATTGTTGTATTAAATACCTGTCTTTTTATCAATTAGGCTTTATTCTCTCTATTCCTCTATTCGAAACAACTCGTACATATATGTATATATATATATATCATTGACGACATTACTTATTAATCAATCATCTCAACCATCTCATATCCGGAAATAATTCTAACGCTTCCTCCTTCATCTATATTTTATCCATCCATTTAGACATTATTCCAAATAACCCCCTTCCTACCCCAAAGATATCTATTCCATCAACTATCTAGCACTTGGACAACCGGCTATACATTTCTACCAATTTAGCTCCCAGTAAATCTATCAATCAACCAATTGAATATCGCAAACGACATTCTTCCTCACTAAACCACCACCACCAAATCACCACCACACCATCACTACCACACAACAAAGTAACCGTCAAAAAGTAGTACGTATTAATACTTACACCTTTGTACCGATCTACATAGCCAGAACTCACTCCGACCCACGGCAAATCTATATTTGTGTACATTTCCGTGTCACCAACTTTCTTTCCCAAGGAAAGTAGAATCTCCAATCAGAATCTTCGGATTGCAAAGCAGAGAGTTTGGTGAGAGAGGTATCGATCGGTATATCACTTGGAAAGTACGATACGTGGGTTTTTGGACGAGGAAAGAATTATTTAAAAGTTTTATCCTTCCAGTGTTGAATTCTTGGTCCATACGATACGAATTCAGAAGGTATCTTGGACGAGAAGTATATTCATATTTACTCGAGATTGAGAATTTGAACAAGTTCGCATACGTTCATACATACATAGAGAGAGTATCAATTGATCAGTAGTTTTGATCACGTTTCATCTATACATATCACATCACATTACAACGAAAACCCATTCGAAAAAAACTCAAGAAAGAAAAATGGCTCCTTCAGCAATCAGCACGGGTAATTCCCCCGAAGGACTCCGTCCTATTACCATCAATGGCGACAAAATCATGTCATCCCTCAAGATGGATAATCTCACCCTCTCCCTCTCCCCCAACCAAACCCAAACCCACACCAGTACCCCATCCCCCTCCGAATCCCTCGACCTCATCTGCGTAGGATTTGGCCCCGCCTCCCTCGCCATCGCCATCGCTCTCCACGACACCTACTCCAAATCCTCACTCGCACCCCCAAAGGTGCTCTTCCTCGAGAAACAACCCGAGTTTGCGTGGCACGCCGGCATGCAACTCCCTGGTGCGCGAATGCAAATTTCATTTTTGAAAGATTTGGCTACCCCAAGAGATCCCAGATCGAAATTTACTTTCATCAATTATTTGCATTCCAAGGGGAGATTGAATACGTTTATTAATTTGAGCACGTTCTTGCCCAGTCGCATGGAATATGAGGATTATTTGAGATGGTGTGCGAGCCATTTTGAAAAGGAGGGCTGTGTGAAGTATGGTGCGAATGTGGAGTCGGTGGTTCCTTCGTCGCCTTCGGTTGAGGATGGAAAGATTGCTTCATTTGCTATTTCTTTCTCCTCGCCTTCCGGAGAGGTGGTCACTCATGCTGCGAGGAATGTTGTTATAGCTGTTGGTGGAAAAGCAGTTATCCCACCGGTTCTCAGGAACAAACCTTGCGTATTGCATTCTTCGCAATTTGCAACCAGCATTGGCAAGATCGAAAAGTTGCAAAGGGAGAGCAGAAAACCGTTAAGATTTGCGGTGGTGGGTAGTGGACAAAGTGCTGCGGAGATCTATAATGATTTGTGGGAACGTTTTGGTGAAGAGACGGGTGTTACTGTTAAGTTGATTGTTAAGGGTCAGAGTTTGAGACCGAGTGATGATAGTCCTTTGTATGTTCCCCTTCTACATTTCCCATTACACCTCCCCCAAACCACACCCAAAACTAACCCTCCAAGCGTAAACGAAATCTTCGACCCGGACCGCGTCACCCCACACTACAACCGCCCCTCCCACATCCGGGCCTCCGGCCTCGCCCTCGACCGCGCCACAAACTACGGTGTAGTCCGTCTCGAACTCCTCGAGCACCTCTACGAAAAACTCTACCTCCAACGCATCAAATGCGAACGCATTGGATCTCCTCCCCGCTCCGCCATCATCACCAACCGCCGCGTCACATCTGCAATTGCATCGCCTTCCAACGACAGTTTACGTATTAAAATCGTCACTGAAGAGGGTAGTGAGAAGGAAGAGGAGGAAATAGATGTTGATTATATTTTTGTTGCGACGGGGTATCGGAGGGATGCTCATGTGAGTATTCTGAGGGATTGTGAGGATTTGGCTACCGGGGAGGGGGCGATGGTTAAGGGGGAGAATGGATTGGAGAAGGGTGTTTGGGAGGTTGGGAGGGACTATAGGGTGCTGATGGTGGAGGGGAGGGTGAGGGATAGAGCGGGGGTTTGGCTGCAGGGGTGTAATGAGTCGACGCATGGAGTGAGTTTTCTTTTTCTTTTTCTTTTTCTTTTTCTTTTTTTTTCTTTTCTTTTCACTTCAATCTTTTCCTTTCTTTCTTTCTTTCTTTCTTTCTTTCTTTCTTTCTTTCTTTCTTCCCTCCTGTCCTTATTTTTCCTAATCCTAGTTCAATTCACCCCGAAATAAAAAAAAACTTGCAAATACTAACACAACATTCCCCCCTCAGCTCTCCGATTCCCTCCTTTCAATCCTTGCAATTAGAGGTGGAGAATTAGTAGATAGTATGTTTGGAGAACAACTTAAAGTTGCTAGTGCGTAGGGTTTGTGTTAGGGTTAGGCTGGAAGAGATGAGAGATGACTGTTTTGATTTTTGGTTCTTGGTGAGGGGATTGTTGGTAGTGGGGAGTGGGGAGTGATTGATAGTGAGGGGATGGGATTGATATTGGATTGTTGAAAATATGTATAGCTAGCAGAAGCGGATGTTAGGGTGGAAGGGGGTGAGGAAGGTATGGGATGTATTGTTATTGTTTATTGTTTATTATGGGATTAGCCTGTTTGTTTGTTTGTTTGTTTGGTTGATTAAGGAAGAGGTGAGGTGATGAGATGATAGGAAAGGAAAGGATAGGAAAGAAGATGATAAAAGTAAATAGATGAATGAATCAATAGATGAATCGACAGATAAGTAAATAAATAAATGAATGAATAAATACCAGTGGATATATTTGTATGGATATTATATATATACTCGAGTATTAAAGTGGATGTGGAAATGGAAATGTGAGGAGAAGCAGAAGTGGAAATGGGGGTGGAAGTAGGAGTTAAAATATTATGATATAGGGAGGTAAGATTAATCATAGTGACTTTACTATTTACTATAATGATATTGGGCCTTGGGGATGTGAGAGAGTATATAGTATTTAGCTATATAAGTAAAGGTACTCGAGTATACTATACTATATAGTGTTAGTGTTATTGTTGGTGTTACTAACTTATTATTAGTAAGTACAGTAAGCAGTGTAGTGTGATATATTGATATATACTGAGTTATACTCGAGCGTATTTAGTTTGTTTCTGGTTTGGTTTGGTATAGTTTGGTATATATATAATATAAGTCTTGTTACTATATGTGGATGGGTGGATGGGGGGTACGAGTACAAGTAGATGGCTAATAAATAATTGAATAATAGTTTGATTTGAGTGTTTGCTGTAGCTTATATACGATTAGCCAGTCTATAGGTGATCAAGAGAGGGTTGTTGCTACTGGAGTATGAGTAAGGTTATCTATACTCGTAATGGATGAATGATTATGTTGATGAGATTTTTATGAAATAGTATACTGGTAGTCAGGAAGACCGACCGCGCTTTACTTCCTTCCTCTTATTGTACTTGAATAGGCGTAGGCTTAGCACTAATTTGATTAAACAGGGCTTGCTTGCTTGCTTCAAGGTAAACTTATATGTATATATACGAGGTGGAGTAGTGAGATGAGATGAAATTATATAATAATCGACTGATAGATACTCGAGTAGATAGAATGTAGAATAGAGAAGTATCATCCCGCTCCCCCCCTCCCCAACCCCAAAGTCCAGAAATCCAATCCTTTCGTCTAGCATATCAACACACACCACTATCTAAATAAATATTAAATATCCATTGTTATCGTTTTCCCTCTCCTTTCATCCAACTCCATATATATTTCTATATTTCTATATTTCTATATTTCCCCAATCTATTTTCTTACATTTACATTTACGGTTTACGTTTACCATTTACCCCAAATATCATATCTTCAAGTCTACAACTGAAGTTCTTTGGGAAATTTTAATGCTGAGACAGTGAGACCTCTTCTCGTATTAGATGTTTAAGTAACTGATTATTATAATCAACTACTCCCGGTAATCGTTGTATTTATTATATTTATTGTAATTACAATCTGTTCTGATGATTTTATTATTATTTTGAGAGGGATACTACTTACTGTATCTCCATCTTGAGACTTTTCCTTTTCCAGTCCGATCTCCGGTATGTTTGTTGTCGATACTTTTTAAAACGATGTTTCCTGTAGAAGTTCGAACCATTTTTTGTAGTTGGGCTTTTGTGAAATATGGGTCGGGTCGTAAGGTTGGAAGATATGCGCTTAATATGGCAATCTAATTTTGGTTGTTAAGTATACATTTGCATTTATTGATGTTCCTGGTAGAAGTAAAAGTATTAGATATGTTCAATTGGCTTGTTGTGTTAATACCCTGAGTACATGTTATATCTGTAAGTAAACTTGTTATTATATAGTCATGTAGTCGTGTAGCTATGTACAGTAGTAAAGACGGATTAGATTGATGATATACACACTTATCAATTATTAGCAGCCTGCGTCCACTTGAGCTGTAGGAGTATTACATGGTGTACTTCAGAAACCAGTCTTCCTTTCAGATAAAAATACTACTTAGTTGTAGCCTACGAATCTTTATCATGTTCAACTTCCATAACATAGAAATTGGTATTGCCAATTTTCTAATCCCAAAACATCAGTGACAACACTTATAATCGCTATTGATGTCAAGAAGAGTCCACTATTGATACATTTCCCAGCCACATTCGCATTCTATATTGTATTGGTAGGTGAGCACTGAAAGATCGACACCAGTATTGAAGTAATCATTCAAGTTAGTTAGCATAAGGGAAGCAATAAAGATAACTCGCATTTTCATTCTATTAGGAAGTTTGTTCCAAAAATCTAGACTTGTGAATAACAATCAATTGGAATAAGTAGATGTTATTCTAATCTCGCTTGAGGTTTGTGCAAGTACAGTAGTGGTGTCATAAATTGGTAATCTAACCTCTCATATTATAAAACACTGAAAAAACGCATATGGTCAATGTATAACAATAAACATTTTTTTGAAACTTCATATGCAATATCATATTCAATCTTCAATATTAATACATTTCTCATATTAATCAATGAAATGAAATCTGAAAAGATAATATTCAAAAATATTATTCAATATTTATAATTATCAAGTTAATAAGCTTCCGGAGGATAAACTGCAATATAGGAATCGAGGTACCCTGAAAAATGATTCGAAGAGTGTAGCGAGGCGAATTGTTTTTCCAGCACCAAGGGGCCGAAGTCAAAGCTCGTATGATATATGATACCAGCCACTCTGGACATGAACAACACTACTCGTACAGTATCTGGAATTAGGTCGGAATTCAAAATTAAAACGCTAATCTTCCTACCAGATATTCTCTGAATAGACTGTGTCTTCATGATTATTGCAATGTAGAACTGTAGATGCATGCACGAGTGACATCTCAATTCCAAGAACCCTCTAAACTGAGGGGTTCTTTCAACCTGCTCATTTTGTGATTTATATTTCTCTTAATTGCTAATTTCTAAATTGAAAGGATCGAAGAGATGAACATTAATTGATTTAGTATACACAAATGTAGTACTATATACATAAAGCTAGATTATTAAGTACTTAGTAATATATGCATATAGGTCCAGCCAGTAAGCTTACAGGGTAACTGCTCCATGAATCTAATTCTAATTGGGCGCAGCGCTCTCGTTTGACCTCTTCTGTTCTAACACTTTGCTTTTAGAATGTGGGTCAACATTAACAGTAGAGGTTTATACAACATATACTAGTGTTCAATTTCCTCAAGCTCGTGGTATTCAATCACAGCTGCGTTCTTTCTTTCCAAATACTTTCCATAGCGATCACCATTTGGCTCTGGCTGCATTAATCATCATATTAAGAATCTATTATTTTTGACAAGCGAAATGTACCCGAGTACCGGTATACAAACACATTAACTTAACCATACACACCATCAAATTGCAAACATACATTTATCTGCCTCCTTTCCTTGCCCTTACATTTCAAAACTCGAACCGAAAATATGGCACCAAGTATAGTCAAACTGGTTCGGTGTAGCCCCAAAACTCTAAGCGGGAGGTTATCGGACATGCGAACGAGAGATGAGCGCAGAAAAGATTCTCGTCGCGCGGTCGCCAAAGATTATTATATTGGCATAGTTAATTGACCTCTAGCAGACTAGCCTTATCGGCCTCCTCGTCTCTCAGAGATCCTGAAATTACACTGTTGAGAAGAAGATCGCCGCATGCATAACTCGAGTCAACTTATACTGGCGATAATCGCATGCGACATCTAAGGATTCCAAGTCGTAGCAGGCAGAGAGTCAGATACATCCCATCGCACCGCACAATTAAGATTGAGATTCCTGACGAAGAACTACTCATGTCCGCCAAGATCATTGCAAAATCCAAGTCAGCACTATGAGATACATGATTTTATCTCATCTGATATACTGATGGATGTACATGGCTAGAAATCCAACCATTGGTATAGTATAGACACGGCTAACCCCTCCCAGCTCTCCCCCCCCTAATATAGAGCTACATACCACCCTCTTCCTCGCAAGATATGTAACAAAAATATAGAATGAAGTGAACTATTTTTCCTAGTAGGAAACTAGCGTTTCTAGCTACCAGTTCTAGTATAACACTACTACTACTACTAGTACCCCATTTCAACTACTCAAAGTTATACACTTTAGAGGAATCACTCGTCAGAGTTGATTTATTTTGTCTTCTCTTCTCCTCGTAGCACAAACCCAGGTAATTGCTAGTTTGCTAGTTCGCTGGTTCGCTGGTTCGAAAGGTCGAAGATCCAAATATTGACCTGCTAATATTTCCACACACAAAAGTAAGACTTACTTCTTTGGGTATACGAAGAAGTAAACCTATATCTTTACCATTTAGATCTGCCACGATAGTGAGTAGGTGCCCCGAAAGAACACCAGAGATTCCAAGTTATGTACCTGGATGTACTAGTACTAAGACTTTTGCATTGTTTTCTTTTTTCTTGTTTTTTTTCTCTTTATCAAAAACCCCAGTCTCTAAGTGCGAGAGGATACATACACTGGAAATAATTTCTTCCCTTGTGTATAACAGACATCATTCCAGTCGAATGAAGTGTTGCAGCTTCCTACCCAGATTTGGAGCGTCTTTCTAACCATTGTATCTTTACCCTTCAAGTTTGTCGAGAGTGTATATATATTTTTGTATGCATAATAATGCGAAGTTTAACAAACAAACTAGCATTACTCGTATAACCAGGCCAATTCAATTCGTTCTCAATACTCGGGTATAATTTTGCTAATACTCAAGGTCTTCAAAGTTTGTTTGAAACGTAGGCTAGCTAGCTATCAAGTAATTGTGTATTTTCGATAACTTCTTAGACATTAACTTCAGATATTGGCCTCCAAATTAAAGTAATTTACTTGCCGATGACGAGCTAATCGGTCTCATTACCTTCTAATCTGATGTGGAAAGATGGCCACAACATTCAATCTTTCAATTTCGGAGTTGCGTGCCCCCTTCATACATTTATATAAGCGGCTGTGGAAATCCCCTTGCAATATATGGCAATCCCTTCATTTTCCAGCTTTATTCACGCAAGTTTAGCTGCAGCAAACCCCAAGTTTTTCCCAAAGTACCGGTAGTTGGTCACCCCTACGAGTATATCATTCTCTGCCACATCTTACACGAAAGGCAGCCCGATAGCCTAGATCATATCCCACAAATCGAATTCAACTGAGACTTTTTACTCGAGTACATCGCTAGGAATACGAGTGTAACATTACAAGTGCTAGTAGCCAACTAATTCAGCACCACAACTGTACTCGAGTATATCTGTATAAATTGTAATATACAAACCGTGCAATTCTCAATCCTCACTGCTCACTGCCCAGCTCAAAGCAACTATTCTAATCCATCACCAGTTGGTTCTACGCCGTAGTCATACATCCCATACGTCTCTTTCATTGCTTCCACTGTTTCCACCAATAGATGTGATATCAAACTAACTACTTACTTACGGGGACGATGCATTACATTTAAACTCGGTAAGCATATAAAACTGTATTGAATTATTCCACTTTCACTCCACTTTCACTTGTATTTAATTTATCATATACGCCATTTCAATCCCTCCCAGTGCCCACCAATCACATCAACATCTACATCAACATCATTATCCCCTCATTCCCTTTTTAATTGTCATTCCCAACCTCATCCCCATTCCCATTCCCATTTTCTTTCTCCTTCTCCCCCACCAACTTCAACAACAACTCTTTCAAAACCCCCACCTCCCTCCTCAACTCTCTAACCTCCACCGTCGCCTCATCCGACTCCACATTCGGTTTAACCCCCTGCACCCTCTTTTCCCACCCCTCTCCTTCAAAATCTACTTCTCCTGACAACTGTTCCCATTCCTCCACTGTATCATCATCATCATCACCTCTCTGTCTATTATTCTTGACTCTCGTTGCACTGCGCTGTTCAAACCATGCTGCGATTAGTAACAATGGAGAATAGATAATCGCCATGACGTAATCATTGAGCTTTGCATATTGTTTTCTTGGCATCCACCATTCGCATGGGAGGATGAGACAGAAGATTTCAATAAGGTTGGTTGGTGCAATGAAGACATTCTCGTCAGGAGCTCGGACGAATTGCATGGTTTTTTGAGAGAAGAGTGCCATGTATTCATCAATGGCATTGTCTGTAATATCTTCATAGGCTGAATTATAAAGCGCAATGAGGATATTCAGAAGGACGACCATGATAAGGAATGTGAAGATATAATAAAGAATAATTCCGAAAGGTGGAGCAAAATTATCAAAGCCGGAAAAATCTGGAGATTGCATTACAGCGTTGGCCATGGCTTGGAGAATGAAGGCAGCAGAGTCGACATGAGAATCAGCCATATCCATGCCAATGAATGCTTGCAAGAAGCCAATGATAATGACGAATAAGAGGGCGAAGAAAATGAGGGATTCTTTCATCATCACTTTGATAACAACAAGCATAGCACCGAAGAAGCGTATGGAGTCGAGGTAAAGTAGTAATCTCATCCAAAACATCGGTGCAGAGAAAGCTGTGAATGTTAGCAAGTATTCCAGTCCTAGACAGGAGAGTTTTAATCATACCCAAGAAATTATAACTGAGCTCATTGTATTTCCGTCTTTGCCCATCTTCATCTTCAAGTGGGTGACCCAGAGCAATAATTCTCGTTACCAGACTTGTCGTTAGTAGCGCATAAAGAAGTACATTGAAAACATTCCAGAAACCAATGTAATATCTTCCGACCTTCCAAAACTTGCTAAACTCATCACAAATGAAACCGGCCGTGAAAACATAAAGTATAATCTCCACAATGTCCAAATCTCCTGTGGGATTGACTGTATTAATAGCAGCCGTATACAGAGCCAGGTAGACCAACGAGAAGATAATCTGTGTAGCATTTTGGTATATGGGTGCGCGCATGCGGTCCGGATGAACGTGAGTCCAATAGCATGTATTGTCCTTCTGTTTGTAATCGACGAATTGGGAAGGATCATTCTCATCTTGTACGAGCCAGCCTCTCCAGAGATAATTGACGCATTTTTGATATCCAGAAGAACCTGTAACACGTAGAGCATGGAGATCCACCGCTCTTTCGATGACATTCGCAGGCGAAGTTTGTTCCCCATCTACCAATACCGAGTATCTCTTCAGAAGGATATCCTGTAAAAGATAATCCTGATTCTCTTCCGTTTCGATCCTTTAGCACTTATCAGCATTTCGTTTTCCCTTCATCCCAATCATAGTAAAACAAAACTCACAATTGTTTCGCAATGACCTCACAAGCTACCGCTCTCACATTATGCAAATCGGCATCCCACAACTCCAACATAGCCTGTTTCTTAAACCACCTCTTACACACCAGTAGCCCATACACCACACAGGCACCATATTCCTTGCCTCCTGCTTCCTTTGCTGCTGCAATAACATTTCTAGTTATAATCTTTGAATGCGCGCACACAATATTTGCTTCCTCGAGTTCACATGGCACAGTCTCTTCGATGAGGTAGCGCAGACGAAGGGCAGTTTTGGTTACTTCGAGAGGTGGGATTGCGCTGGGAAGCTCATCTTCGTGATATGATGGAAGAACTGGTAGATTATTAGTTGTGCGATTCAAGCAATAAGAGAATAGGAGAGAAGTTGACTTACGACGACGAGCTTCATCACGCCAGAGATGTTGATCTGCGCTATTCGTAGAACCTCATCAGTATATAATTCCTCATGTTGCGCTGTTGATGCGATAACCCTAGCCTTGTATGAAGCTAATCCATAGCTATCGCTCGCAGCGGGGTATAGTAAGATTTACCTTCCATCCAAACCAAATAACCTCCTCCATTGAACCATCTTGATTCAAGGACTATCAGTTGATACCGAGTTGAAGAAAACCAAAAGAAGTCTTCGCAAATGTTTTCTGTGAAGGGAAAACGTTTGGTCCTTTGGGATGTTACCGATACAATAAGGTTACGGGTCGCAATCTTTTGGTCCACTTCCCGGTTTCCATTATGCCTAGGTATTTATATCACTTGGCAAACAACATCTGCTCAATGAACCAATGAACCCTTATTTATTGTGCCAGCGGAATTCTCTCATACAACTTCATTGCACCACGATATCTCAATTGACAATAGTTATAAGGCTGTATATTTGAGGATATACTTAATGTCTCGAGCACAAATTAGATACCGGTACTGGTAGATCATTGTATTACAGCAATAGAATAAGGTGAGATCATTTGTGGCTGGCGCATAACATCTGATAAACCTCACCAGCCACCATGAGGTCTCATAGCCCATGCATAAGTAGACCATATGTTTAATGTATCACTGAACATAAGACAAGACAAGACAAGGCAAGACAAGATAAAACACAGGAGTACGACCAAAAAGATCCTTATATTATTCCACGACAATCATCTATATATCCTCAGCGGCACGATGACCAACTAGCCATAATACTTATATATATGTCCTAGTATATCCGTACTTCATATACCATACATTTTCCAAATGTCAATCCCCAAACCCACCAATTAAAAAGGCCAAAGAACTTCACATTTCTGAGTTTCACAGCCTTTGCAAAAACCAATTCCGTCAAGACGTATTAAATCAAACACGTAACGTTGACATTGACGCCGCGCAGGGGTAATTATTGATACACGCTCGCTCATAGTTTGAACGAACGAACGAACGCTGTATCCTCTCTCACCCAGGTATCATATATATCGTAAGATTACAAGATCTTCATATACGATCTCCTTCACACACATCTTTTTTTTCTTGTTTCCCATGCCGCTCATTCCCAATCTATTAGATTCGAGTCATCGTTTTATTCCAGCATTAACCTTAGGTGCTGGTATGAAATGGTTCCTTAATTAATTTTTCTCGATGAGTTTCGGTTTCCCTTCCATCCAAGGACTTGGCTTTGTTCCCATTCTCCCGGCGCAGAATGTCTATTATCGCTCGTGACGCTAACTTTCGTCTCTTTCAAAATTCGTTTCTGACTATCCCCATCCCCATCCTTTTCCACATCCGAATCACCTAATTGGTGAAAAGTATCTAAATTGATATCGGAACGATTGGTTTGATGTTGGGTCCTGGGAACGTTCATTTTGTTTCCCGAAGATGCATTGTTGTTTGAGTCTCCGGTTGAGCTCATGTTGAGGAAAGGGAGAGAGAGTAGAGGGCGAAGAGCGGGGAGCGATCCGGCGAAGATTCCCATGGCATCTTCGATGATGGACCAGAGTCCAATTTTTCCAGTGCCGAACATGAATTCTGTTGGGTCGCTGTAGGCACTTAGGTAACGAAGTCGGACAATTGTTGCACAGCTTGCACTAGAGAGGTATTAGCCATCTATATAGCTAATCTTACAGCCTTGATATGTCAAGTAAGATGATCCCCCAAGTCAACTTCAAAAGAAAGAAATAAAAAACTTACAAAGCAGCCAACCCAAGAATACAAGCCACAGATACCTTGACCCTAGTCTTCATCTGGATATTCCATAACAAAATCGCAGGCAAGATTGCTAAAGCCCAATCGGTTGCAATCTCCACGGCAGAGAAGAACAAACTAACATCGCTATTCAACTGGAGGTTGCAAGTTCCCTCCGATTCACCCCACAAGGTATTAATCGGATGACAGATGTTGGCGATACCAATCATGAAAATGAGGGCAGAAACAGATGTGATGATCATGATGCCCCACACCGTATATACATAACGACGACGAGTATCCGCAATGCGAAGTAAAGTGACAGCAATACTACACTTGATGGTAATGGCACTAGAGGCGTAAAAGAACTCGGCGATGAAGAAGAGCTTGTGGCAACAATTAGTTTGAATATCCAGAACCTTATAGATGATGTATTAGAAAATAAAATCTTACCTTGGTTCCGCGGGCGATATCATAAGCCGATATCATGGCAGCTTTCTGCCCACTTCCGTAGAAGCTGCACACAATACACAGACAACTAGTGACCGTATAAAGTAGCTATGTATTATTAGCATATGAATGCTCGGGGGGTGAAAACGCTATTTGCAAACATACTAGACCTATCGCCATGACAGTATCATCCAGACCCCAAATTTTCCGCCATATCCTCACGGCCGCCCTTAAAGAGAAAGTCATCCAACATAGCGCCAGCAACATGATGGTAGTCCAAAAGAGTGCCACGCCATCCCCTGCTATTTTCGACATAATTGCAGTACCGTAGTTGGTTAATGGAGAGAAGGGCCACAATAGAGTTTGCGTAAGGTTTGGTAAGAATGAAAAGTAAGTCACCGACTTAAAGTGGTCGAAGATATTCAATTGATTAAAAAGAATTTCCAAAGAACCTCCTCTTGGCCTCTCCCTGTCGCCAAGACCTTCTATCATAGGCTCAAAAACGCCCGCGAATCGAACCTACTAATTCTTGCTCGGGGGGACCATGTGGAATTGTGGAATTAACCTACAGTGTTCCCAAAGAGGTCGTCGTTTGAATAGCAGAAGTGTACAAGTTCGAATTGCGATTTCTGGTGGACCCCAAAACACCTGGCTAATCATACAAGATCTTCCCTTGCAGAAATTTCACAGGCTGATCAGGAGTTCGAGAACCCCTATCCCTGCACTCGGTAAGTATCAGGAATCAGGATAGCGAGGCGAATTATGCGAGCTTTTCCGATTAGGTACCCCTAAAGCTTATATAGAAGGCCTAATAAGATACCTCGGTCCCAATCACGTCTAGTTCATTTAACCGGCAATAAGAATTCGTATCCGCCCGCACTTTCTTCATCCCTTGAAAATCATTCTCGACTCTCGAGATAATCGGAATAATAAATGGTGAGACGGAAGACAGACATGCCGCCAGGAGGCCGACCAAATCGAGGGGTTACAAATTTGCGTGTTCCCCGCCCGTTTATTGTCTTGTTGTTTGATATAGATATGGGGATGCCCGTTTGAAGTTGCGTGCACTCTATTCTAGATTTTCCTTCCGCTGACAACTTTGACAAGAGGCCTCATCCAAGTCCCAACCTTAAATCCCATTTCAACGGCCTCTAAGACTGACTCTAAGTTCTAATACAAGTGATATCAAAAGGGAGGGGGGGATACCCTGGAGTCAACGCGGAACTGTAATATGAATGCATATCAAAATCTATAAACGATCGGCGATATTTGTCAAGTTGGTCGGCTAACACGAGTGAAAGCTTGTCATTCAAATTCTGGGACTCGGTTTCCACAAGGATTAATCTTAAAAGAGATCCACCCGAGAGAGGAATTAGTCCGTATTGTACGGAACTACACCTGGACTGGAGGGCCAGCCCGAGATCCGCATAAAGTGTCAAACACATGCCATTTAAATTAGCCCCTTCATTGCCCCACCAACCACCTGTCACATCGTCTCTTTGGGCAGTATATTATTGCTTAAGCCTCTCCTATCGCCTCTAAACATTCCCCAATCCCAAGACATACATCTCAAAATTCACAAGTACAAAACTCAAAATCACTTATCTTACCATTCATCCAATCAAATTCGCCAGCCACAAACATCATGTCTGAATTTATTATCAAAGATGAAGATTTGACCAGCCTTAAGGGCAAGGTAGTTATTGTTACCGGTACGCAAGCTCGGTTCCACCATAACCATCTGCGGGATATAAATCCGTCAGCACTCTAAATTTCGGGCCCCAGCTAACATCGTGTTTCATTCCAAAGGCGGTTCTTCAGGAATTGGTCTAGCAACTGTCAACCTCCTGTTATCGTTAGGTGCATCGGTTATCAGCGCCGACATCAACTCACCCCCGGAGCCAATATCGAACCCAGCCTTCTTATTTGTGCAAACCAATGTGTCTAAATGGACCGATCTTACTACTTTGTTCAAGAGCGCTAAGGAACATAACGGCCGCATCGATTACGTCTTTGCCAATGCCGGTATTGGTCCACGGGCCAATTACTTGGTCATTGAATCAGACGACAATGGAGATCTCAAAGAGCCAGTTCATGATGTGCTTGAGGTTAACTTCAAAAGTGTGGTCAACACCGCTTGTCTCGCCATTCATTACTTGAAGCAGCAAGCTGAGGGTGGTAACATTGTGCTCATGGGATCCAGCACCGGTCTACAACCCTTGAGAGCTCCCGATTATTGTAAGTCGAATTCAAGGACAAAAATAACCAAACATCCCACTAACATAACAATACAGCTGCCGCCAAAGCTGGTGTTTTAGGCTTTGGAAGATCCATCCAACGAACCATCAAAGCCGCCGGTCTCCCCATTCGCGTCAACACTCTTGCCCCATCCTGGACTTCCTCGCAGGTCTTGCCAAATCTGGACGGGATCATGGCCGCCATCTCGCACAAGGCTCAACCCCCATTGGTCGTTGCACGCTCTGCTGCTTATCTGATGACTACCACCTCCAGAGAGGGAGATATCATCTATGTATCTGACGGAAAATACACGGAAATCGAGCAGTCGATACTTGCACCCGCATATGCAACCATTAAAGGAGATGGACCTAGTGATGATGATATTTTGGAGCGTATTTTTGGATTGTGTGCATAGAGAGAATTGTGGTCTAGGAAGTCCGGTATGCGAGTTATGGGTATACGTACCGGTAGACGTTTTTTGATATGTTTAGCATGTTGGTGATTGGAATAGTTGGAAGATACCTTATTTATGTATGCATTAGTTATGAATTTGAGCGGTTCGTAACAATTATGACTTCTTGTGAAATGCTGTACTCGAGTACAGTTGGTACCGATATTCGGCTGTTAGACAATATCTATGCCTATGCCTCTCTAAAAATATCTGGTCAGAGTAATCAACAAAAGGCCTGCCTCTCTATTACAAATAATGAATCTGAATAAGATGTCGATTAATTGCTGGAAAGAAGGAGATTTAGTGAATCTCTACCTTTTAGGCTTTGCCTCCCTTTCCAATTCAATGAGCATGTGTATGTGTATGTATACTTTCAACAAAACACATTTTGGTTTTACTGTAATACCACGTCCAAAATCGATATTATTACCGTATTTGAATCCAAAACCAAATAGATCTCTATAACAAAAACATTCCACCCTCACAAAAATAAAAATCCTCAACTAATCGACTTCCATACTCAGTACCTCATTAGGAAATTTCTCGGTTCTTGCAACTTGCAACTCGCAACTTTGCAACGAAGTTAGAACATTCTGAACATCCACCCCATCTGCCAATCTTAACCGCTTTATATCATATCCATATCATATCATATCATATCATACCCCCTCTCCACAATACCTACCTACGTACAATAACTTATTAAATACATACAGCATTTTCAAAAATTTCTACCCAGAAGTCAGCCGCAAAGCTCGGGAATCGAGCCGGTGACCGATACCGAGGTACATGTACATACATGTACATATAAACTAAGAGAGAAGGTAAAGGTACATATTCTCAAAGAAGAGATGATTTGCGGGGATGAATCAAGAATCAGAATCAAAATCAATCATTATTACTCAAGTTATTTGTTGAAGATCAGATCTTGAGTACTGAATTCAGAAACCAAACCAATCAGTGACAGTCTGCTAGTGCCAATACTACCCTCACACGTGGCATAAGGTTTGTTTTCCCAACTGCCGAAAGTAAAAAAGAGTTCCATGTATGCGAATCTCAGACCTTCCCATCCCACTTACAAAATAAATGATATACACATAAATGTTTCACTCTTATTTTAACTCCATCAATAGTTATTCATTCATTATACAGTACCCATCCAGACTGATCCAGTACAGTACGTACAGTATTTGATTTTGATTCCGATCATACATCAGCCTTCCCATATACCTACTCGTACATCTAGGATATTCCCAGCCAAAGATCACTCGCTCGGGAACAACTTATAAGCTTCCGCTTCTAGTTCAGTTCAGTTCCCATTAGTTAGTGGCACAATAGACCCGCTCTTCCTAAGAAGTTCCTATCGATTATCTACATTGCATTCATTTGTCCACTTGAGTACGTACTGTATACGAATAGATGTTTTTCTAGCCCGAAATATCCGAAGAATACTCCTATGATAGGGTTGATGCGCTTAGCTATTAGATATACCAACCAGTAAAGTACTCGAGTAGAGTAGCTGAAAGTTATCTATGAAAGAAGCAATCATCTATCGAAACTAAATTCGAAATATTGATAGAAAAATACCAAGCTCGAGTATAAGGTTATTGAATATTCGGAAGTGTGTTTGACTTTTCCGCCCCTCTTTGCTTTTTAGCGGCAATCATTCATTCATTCATCTATTATGTCTAATACTACTGTTATCCATATCCAATCCATCCCAAAAAGAACCCAAACTAACTAAACAAAAGATGCAAAAATATGTACAAGTGAAGATCTATCTATAGCTAGCTACTGTACTCATACAAGTTATCTATTCATTCCTTTCATTCCTTTCTTTTTCCTTCCTATTCGTTCCTCCCAAGTCCCCAATACCCTGTCCCTCAACCCCTCAACCCCACCCTTCCCTTCCTTCCAAGTTCCCTCCCTTCCCTCCCTCCCTTTCCTCCCAAGCTGCCCCCACCCCACTACTATCACTACTATCACAACCATCATCTAGACCCCCCTCCCCCCCCCAAAAACAACAAAGATCTACTCTTACTCTTAGTACCTTTACTAGTACCTTTAGTACACGAAATATATCTTTTTCCATATCTATCTCCATTTCTCTTTCCCTTCCCATTTCCACTTCCAATTCCACCCCTCATTTCCAAATTCCAATATCAGACACCCAAGTAAAGATCTACGGAGAACGTACTTGCATGGTATGGATACATATGCATACGGTCCGGTTACCGGTTACCGGTACCCGGTACTGGGATTTGGGGTCTAATAGTAATATAGAGAAGGATGGGGGTTGGATTTAGTTGTGTGAAGATTGATTTCTGACAAGAGCTCTATACCTTGCGCAACAAATTTCTGAAAACGTTGACGTTGACAACTACTTCACATGTCGAATATTTTTGGATTTAAAGTGAAGAACATACATTATAAAACATGTACCAGCGCACACAAAACAATAAAACGAACTATAATGTACATAAGTTCTACCTAAGTATTACATCTACTTTACCATGATGGTGTATGTTCTACCTTCTTCCCTTCGCCATAATCTTCTTCTCCAACTCCTCGACCTCCTTTCGTGATTTCTCCTCCTCCGCCTGCATCGCCACATTCGATGCCGCCAACTTGACATCCTTAATCCTCTTCTGTTCTCTAGCCAATTGATCAGGTCTTCTGATGGCAATATCTTTCGGTTGGTAATCGCTGAAAAGTGCTTTGAGTACTTTCTCAATAATATAACAGGCGACATAATCGACAACCATCGTAGTTGTCATTACTACTTTGAAGTTATATGTAAAAGGCACAAGCCTCATCTTTTGGTTAATTTCGGGAATGAATTCGGTGGAGCACGCGAATGCAACTGCAGAAACTCCGATAATACCGTAGTACATTCCTTTGTTCTCTGTTGATCTAGTCAGCAAGTGTTTGGCAAAAGTTCATGATAGAGGTGCTTACCAGATATGGCTTCACGGAATGGTCGGCCTTGATAATTGATGGCGAAAGTTGAGACTTGTTGAATGAGTTGTAAGAGATACACGGCGCTGTTCAGTAGAGATGGAGCAAATTCTCCTTCGAGATCGACATCTGGGTCACGTCTGGCAAAGTATTAGTCTTTAGTTATTGCACGATGTGAACAAGATTTGAAAAGGTTTTACTTACGGGGCGATCTTATCGCAGAAACGGGCAATATAAATGAGTGTGGTTATGTGAACTGCAAATTGTCCGAGGATAGATCCAATGATGTAGAAGTTGAAGATATTTGGTTGTGGTCGTTCCTTAGAAAGACCTTCTACAGACTTGGCCCGAGAAATTGACAAAAAGCAAACACTCATAAGCATTCCACTGATTGTGACTTGGCCGTCACCGAACTTAATACCTTCGAGGTATAACACACTCAGACTGTAAGCGCTGATGAGACAATTCAAAGCGAGAATCTTGTACATTTGGATAGTTGCAACAAGTGTGCAGCGACCTTGACGAATGATATTGGGAATGGCAATTACATTGCTCAATTTACTGGTGAATGGAGCAGCAACAGATGCATCGCCAAGTTTGATTGTAGGGGGCTCGTCATCATCTAGTTCCGCCTCCATCAAGCTTTGAGTCATTTTATCAGCGAGACTAGCTGCTTTCTTCTGCGCATCGTTCAGGGCAGGCTTGTTTTGTTGACCATTAATGAGTGCTTGAGCGGCAGGTGAAGTAATTGTTTCCACGGCATCAGTTTTGTTGGCAGTTGTCTCCATGAGAGCCACGGTAGTACCTCTCTTTGCGGCCTCCCGTTGCATGGCTTTCTCGTAGTGTGGGTTTTTAGGTCCAGAAGGATACAAATGTGCAATCACTGCGGGTACCGGGGGCGTTGGTTGATTGAATCGTCCCATCATTTGACACTGTTTTTCATAGAGCTCCTTCGATCTGTTATTTCTGTGATGTTCGGCGATCTTGTTGAGATCCTCCTGTGAACCATTAAGTAATGCAACACCGATATGAGCTTGCTTCAAGGCTCCAACGTCATTTGTACCATCACCAGCCATAAGGGTATGATAACCAAGATCTCTTAAGCCGGTCAGAATCTCTTCTTTCTGCTTTGGTGATACACGGGCATATACCCATGCGTAACGATAGATGGTGGAAAGAGCAGATTGATCTTTGTACTTGGATAGAGCGTAGCCAGTGACACACAAGTCGTTTTCCTCAATGATCTTCTTGTCGATAGGTTTAGAAGGATCAACAGGAATGCTGATACTGTCATCAACACTTCTCCAAACAAGTTTGTCTCCCGAGTCATCATGTTCTGGAGCATCAAGGATGAGAACATCTCTGTCCACAATCTCAACCTCTCTGGCAACATGTATGGCTGTCAAAGGATTGTCACCGGTGATCATGACGACACGATGACTGCTTTCATTGAGCATTTGTACGGCCAATTTCGCGTCATCCTTGAGAGGACAATGTAGGACCAAGAAACCAGCGAAATGGAGCTGAGTCTCCACTTCTTCACGCTTCAGGTCATTGATCTTACCAGAGCCAAGTTCAGAATCGGTAGAGAGGTACTTGTAGGCCAAAGCGAGAACACGGGATCCTTTCCTAGTAAAGTATTTGTAGGTTTCTTCGTAGTCTGCAGGAACCTTCACCAACATTTTCATGATGGTTTCTGGGGCTCCCTTAACACCAACGAAAGTAGAGCGGATCTTCTTGCCAGTATGAGAATTGGTCGCGGTTAACGAGGCGACCGAGCTTTGGCGTTTGAGAGCAGATGAGAATTGGAAACGACGCTTGATCTGGACAGCGGATAAAGGTGCACCGGTTTGAACTTTGCTAGATAGAATGTCATTTCGGCCAAGGGTCCAACCCAAAGAAGTCAATGTAGCCTTCTCCATAGGGTCTCCAACAATATCACCCTCGTCTAATTTTACAAGAGCATGAGCTGTGGCAAGCACATACGTAGTTTCCAGTGAAGCTTGTAGAACGGGAGTAATGTGACTGTGGGCGCCATCCTTTTCACGAGGGGTATCGGTACCGGAATGGCCTAGACCAAGGCCAGCAATACCTTCTACGACCAAGTCTTCTCCAGTCAGGGTACCTGTCTTATCGAAACACGCAACATCAACCCTGCCAGCAAATGGAATGCGGAATGGTTCGGTACAATAGATAGCATAACGACTAAGAGCTGCCAAGCTAGTGTTGACTGCAAGACTGAGCTCCATTGGCAATTCGGGGGGTACGACACTAGTAACAATCAAGACGCAATCGAGAAGAAGCTTGGATCGTTTCCTATCCTTTTTGACACCTTCATCCCAAACATACCAAGATGCTGCGATTGCGAATATCAAAAGGAAAAGAATGAAGAACAATGCTTCGGCGTTATTGGCGGATACTCGCTCGGTGGAGTAAATCATAGTTCGAACCAAGCTTCCTTGCGCGGTCTCAAATCCAGTTTTTACCACAATAGCCATAGCACCGTTATCTGGAGGGGATGGAACGCCCGAGGCGATCTCGGGCCTTTCTTCTTCGGTATTTCCGTGTGTAACTTGCAGAACTTTTGTTCCTCCATAAAGAAATGCATTCTTGTCAAGACCTTCCGGTTCTAAGACTGCATCGGCAGGCCTGAGCTGGACTGAATCCTTCAGTAATGGAGTACTTTCTCCTGACAGCATAGCTTCGTTGACAATGACACTTCCTTCAACCAGAACCATGTCGCAGGCTACACCACTATCCTCCTTGGTTCGTCCAACGGAAACCAGATCTCCCGGTAAGAGCTTGTCGCTTTGTGTTTCCTCCCATTTGTTTAATCGGTAAACCCAAATGTCGTATGGCTTGATGCTCATTCCTCGAAACTCGGTCATGGTTCTTTGGCGTTGCCAGACTACGGTACTCTCAAATATTACCAACATAGAGAGGGAGAATAAGGAGTAGTACCAGAAATCATCCAACATCCATAACCCAACGCAGAAAATCTGGAAGACGAAGAATGGTGCGACTGCGTGTTCTTTGAATAGCTCTGAGAAAGTAGGAACCGGAATATCGAATGTATTATCGCCATAATGTTGATGAATTCTGGAAAGCTCGGATGCAGAATCTATACCTCTAGACTTTTGATATGTCTCCAAAAGTGGCTTGGGCTCTAAATCTATCGAGTATGTCAAAGGGGCAAAGGAATTCTTCGATGAATCGTAGAGGAATCGGCGCTTTTGAAAGAAGAAAGAGACATTGCTTTTACCACCAGCCTGTGAGGGGTTAGTTGAGACACACTATCCAGGGAAATCACTTTTGAGCCTACATTGTCCCTGTCTATTTTGCAGAAATCCGCAGAGCCAGCATTCGTAATTGGATTTACCTTGACCAACTGAGCGGTCGAAACAGTCTTTGCAGAGGTTGAGGTGAAGAGAGCCCTCAGGTTGATGTTCCAATGTGTGCTCAGCCATACTAAACTCTGCGCCGTGATAATTGTCCCACACCACACAAAGGTCCACTCCTGTCCGCCGATATGCAGGTCGTAAAGATCTTGTGAGAGATAATATCTAAAGAAGATGGGCCATATGATAACAAAGGGCCAGATATAAGTATGCAACCAAAGCGGCACTGTGATAAGTTAGGGTCATAGATCAACTATATAATGGGTAAATAGTTACTAACATGGATTATGCAATGTTGCAGATGCAATCATAGGATTATCCACAAGAGGCGCCATTGCGCAGGTTGATAATTGAAAAGCGTTGCGTTGAAGCTATTCACAAAATGTTCGAAGCATAGGTGGCACCGATAGATAATCAGCCAAACTTTCAATAACTCGGCGGACGGAGCTTGATGCGCTCGCTTAATTCCACCCCAACAACTATCACGTGCTGGTACATTGGACAAGTTCTTTGAGTACCCGTACTTATCTGATATGTTCTACGAGTAAATCCAACAAGTGTCAAATAGCTATACCGACTGATTGTAACCACCATGATCAAAAGGAGTTACCCTCTTGTTCTCGGCAGCCCCAACCAGAGACCTCAGAAAAGAATCAGGCAGAGTTTTACATTGGGGCGTGTACAACATTCTAGGATTCCAATATGCTGTTGGAAGGATCTATTATATATATGGGAGTCCGTTGCAACTGGTTTCCATGTTCCAGATGTCCACGATGTTCTCTTCAAAGCTCAGAAACTAACATTCGATTCGCATTGAACTGACATGCCGCTCTCAACAAGATTGGCCATATTCCTCTACACGAATTCTACATGAAGCTCGAGCAGTTGTTCCAATCAAAAGCCTTCAATTTGATAGTACAACATTTGTTCAGTGACAATGCACAGGTTATTCTGCCAATATACGCCTCAATCGGTGTTCTGATGTGTCCCCACATGCATGAGGGCTGATGTCTTTGCCTCGCTCACCTCCTTCACGAGCCGTGATTACTCTCCCAGACCCCCGGATAGGTTATCAATACTTTGGAGACTACTCGGCACCCTCCGTTTCTCATACCAATCTATAACCTCGGAGATGCCCTGACAGATGTGCAGATATGGGCGTGAAAGCTACAAGTTAAGTTATATTAATTATGTCCGAGGCAAGAGAAGAGGCTAGCTATTTAGCGCTCACCATATCTATCAATTTACCAGAAGTGTTTCCAAAATGATAATGAAGGATGTAAGATATCAATCAACACGCCAACAATCCGGAAGACTTGCCATATACACACCGTGCTAAGCCCGTCAAAGGGCTAGATCCGGTGAGTGTTATCTTCTGGAACGTTTGACTGGTAAATACGTTTAAAACTCAAAGCTGCCAAGTGGCCAAGCGACAGACTTAGCAGCTCGGTTATGGCTCGGCTGCTTGGCGGGAATCAGCACTTCTAGACGAACAAATAGAAACTTCAAACTTTTCATGATTATAAAGATAAGAGAATTTGATGCGGAAGAAGTCCAGAAGTAAGAGGTGGGTATATAACAACTGTTGTGGTACAGTATCTTTCGTTCTGTGCTTCGGAACGATCCGACCAAAGGTTCCAACTTCACTACATTTCATCATCTTTTCAGGGATTTCCTGATCATGACTGGTTGGACTACTAAGATCAACGATGCCGTCGCCGGCAGCATTGTTGGCAGAATATTTCGTCTTCAAGGTTCTGGCCATGTAAAGTCGAGAGAAGGATCACGGTTCCTTACTGAAATCCGTGCTGGACTCGCGACATTCTTTGCGATGGCATATATCATTTCTGTGTGTGCCATATCTTTTCATTCCTGCACCTGATATAATACTCTGGGGTGAAGGGGAGAATGATAGTTTCTCAACTAGAAGATCTCTTCTCATACTTTGGATGACTCGGTCATCGACATAAGCTGACATCATATATTCAGGTTAATGCTACTATTCTCTCAGATAGCGGCGGAACTTGCGTTTGTACTGATACAACAGACCCTACTTGCACCACGGATCTGGACTACAATCTCTGTCTTGGAGTTATCCGTCGAGATTTCATCACTGGAACTGCCGCCATTTCTGCTCTGACGTCATTTTGTATGGGATTATTTGCGAACATGCCAATTGCATTGGCTCCAGGAATGGGATTGAATGCTTACTTCACCTATAATGTTGTCGGGTTTCACGGTCTTGGACCTGTTACATATAGGCTTGCCCTTACCGCAGTCTTTGTTGAGGGTTTCGTGTTTGTCGCATTGTCGTTACTTGGATTGAGGCAATGGCTAGCCAGGATCATTCCCGCTTCCATCAAGCTTGCCTCTGGGGTAGGAATTGGTCTATACCTGAGTAAGTGCAGAAATTCCATCACCAGGGCTTGGTACTGACTACAAGAAAGCAATCATTGGTCTTGGGTACAGTGCAGGACTTGGTGTAATCACCGGAGCTACTTCAACCCCCCTCGAATTAGCAGGATGTATCAGCTCTGAATTCGTAGATGGTGTTTGTCCCGGGTCAACCAAAATGCGTTCACCAACCATGTGGATTGGTATATTTTGCGGCGGTTTTGTGACTGCCATTCTCATGGCATATCGTGTTAAGGGTGCAATCATAGCCGGTATCTTGTTAGTCGCCATCATCTCCTGGCCAAGATCGACTTCAGTAACCTACTTCCCTCACGATGCTGCTGGTGATGCCAATTTTGACTTCTTCAAGAAAGTTGTTACTTTTCATGGCATCCAGGAGACGCTAGTGGCACAGGATTGGAATGTAGCTGGTGTTACTGGTCAATTTGGGCTTGCTTTCATCACTTTCCTCTACGTTGATATTTTGGATTGTACGGGAACGTTGTACTCTATGGCACGTTTCGCCGGAGCTATCGATGAAGAGACACAAGATTTTGAAGGATCAGCGGTGGCTTACCTTGTAGACGGTAAGAACTGCGAATATTATTTCATGGCACCAGGGCTAATTCTTTCCACGCAGCTTTCGGTATTTCCATCGGCTCGCTTCTCGGTTTATCCCCAGTCACGGCATTCGTTGAGTCCGGTGTTGGTATATCTGAAGGTGGTAAAACAGGAATAACTGCCATGGTTACCGGACTTTGCTTCTTTATCTCAATATTTTTCGCGCCCATTTTCGCCTCTATCCCACCATGGGCCACAGGTTCCACTCTGATAATCGTCGGGGCTATGATGTGCAAGGCTGCCAAGGACATTAATTGGAAATATTGGGGTGATGCACTACCAGCTTTCATCACCTTGGCTGTCATGCCATTCACATATTCCATCGCCTACGGCCTGATCGCTGGTATCATTTCGTACATCATCATCAACACCACAACCTGGGCATTAGAAAAGATTTCCGGTGGCCGCATCGTACCCTTTGATAAAGAGTTCAAGGATCCCTGGACATACAAGATCAAAGGTGGTATTCTTCCAGCTTGGGTAGTACGAGCTTCGAATGGGTGAGTTTTGAAGTCATCTTCTAACATATAAAAGTAACATGTCAATGCTAATGCTCTCCTGTAGAAAGAAGGATTTTTGGCACGATGAGCCCCCGATCAATACTTCATCTGCGGCTTCTCTCTCGACTCCTGATGATGCATATAAATCACGTGGTGATTCTGAACCTGTAACTCATGCTCTCGACGAAGCTAAGGCTGGTGAGAAGTTGGCTTGAGATATAGTTCGTTTTCTGTTTAGCTCACGTATGGGTTAGATTGCCATAATAGGTGCGTCTATTCCTCAGGGGTGTGGTGGTCCGGCTACTTGGCTATTCGACGTCCTTGAGGCTCTTTGCATTCAGTAGGTTAAATAGGGTCAGGGTTATTTTGGGGGCATGCCATATTTATCAATATTAGATATCATGGCAAAATGGATGGATGGTGTGCAAAAAATTAATATTAACCATTCATTTTTTATGAGTTTTTTCTCCAGTATTTGATTATCTTTGCAAGGTGTTCTGGACGGTATATAAGATGTTTATGGTAGTGTTGATATTGACTTTGATTTTGATTCTGATTTTGATATAATATAAAAAAAGAAACACAGGAAAAGAAATAAATTCAAAAAATAAAATTAATAATAACAAGAAACTACGTTCTATACTCCTGAGAATATAAATCTAGAACTAGAGTAGAGTAGAGTACTAATAGAATGTTGGATTGGAGGATTGGAGGATTGGAGGATTAGATATTGATTTAATTGGGGAAAAAATTGGAATGCTTAATTAGCTTATGTGTATGTGATGTGATGTGATGTGATATAGTGAGGGTGAGACATTGGGTTTTAAGTTTGTCTTGGAATTTTGATATTGATCCTGATATCACTTGAGTACTTGGGACGATAGAAGGAGAACGTTCTAATTCGTATATAGCGGAAAATATATATGATACACGAAACTGGCTGTTTCGGTGGAGAAATTTATAGTGTATTAGTGTGCGGCTCTTGGTTCTTGATGATGTGATGATGATGCGATGATGCGATGATGCGATGATACGTCTGTTTGTATTACAAGAGAAAACTCGAATGAAAGTATGGTCTTTGCAGATATTGTATTGTAATGTGTTGTGTTGTATTGTGTTGCGGAGATTTCGGTTAAGACTTTAACAATAGTGAAAATCTCAGACTTTGAAAAGGGGGGGTGGTTTCAAAATAGATAATTATAGATAACCATGGATTTTGCTAATACCAAATTAGATTGAGGGTTCTCTGGGGATGGGACGAAGAAAAGAGAATTAGTTGTATGATTTTGTATGGATCGTTGTGAAGGTCCTCATACTGTGGTACCTCGGTTGTTTAGACGTCGGGCCTCGATTAGGCTTTTTGAGTATAAGTGTGCATTTGAGATTATTGATAGCTAGCTCGTGCTTAGGTCAACTTTGGAGCTTCGACTGCAAAGCTTCGAGGGGAGAAAAAAGACTAAATTGCATTTCTTGAATACGTTTGCTCGTTTATACTCGTAAAGGATGATTAGATTGGTGTGAGGTAGATATGTAGTTACTTTGTGAGAACCTCTAGTTTTATAATTTGATGTACCAGTAGTATTTATGAAGACTTGAAGTGGTGAGAAGGGATTAAATTAGGCTGAGGACACCTTTTGGCTGTCCTCCTTGAATCTTATTCTTATCCTCTTTCGTGATCTTCCATTCTCTATATCCTCCATATCACTCACTACCAAAGAATTTCGGGAGGTGTCCGGACTTCAATCCACTCAACAATGAATCTGTTTGGGCTCCCAGCCACTTTGACTGGTTTACTTTGAGAAAGAACATAAGTGCAGATAAACTCCTAGAATCCCATCTTATAATGAAAAAAAAAGAGAAGTTAGTGTCAATTTATATAATACTCGTAGTACTTCACGAGCCTCCCTTGGCCTAATAGAAGGTGGTTGATATGGCTTGGCCAAAAACAACTAACTCGACATTTTGACAGCTTGGATTGA